TTAACTAATGAACCTTATTGTAAAGTGTGACCAACAATACAAGGCTTTGAGCTGATGAAAAACAAGTTTATCTGAGAATTACTAGAATACTAAGTGATTAAGTTAAAATCTTGCAAAGATTTAGAAAAAATAAACTTAGTCTGGTCACTTTAGACCCATGTTGTGCATCAAAGGGTTAATAAACAACTTTTGTAGCCTTGTCACGATTAGTTAAGGTCCTGGAGGGCCGGTGTCTACTGAGTTTGGTTCCAACTTGCTTTAACACACCTGCGAGGAAGTTTTTAGTAAATCTAGTAAGAGCTTGATAAGCCGGTTCAGGTGTGTTTGATTAGGGTTGGAGTTAAACTCTCTATGACACCGACCCTCCAGGACACCCCTGAGTTTAGTGCATTCTGCCCCCTTGTGGACAACACTGGTATTTCCCCGATTGTCTCTTGTAATATCTACTTTGGAAATGGTGTTTTAATTGAAAACTGTGTACACAAGTTAACATTTAATTACTGAATGCATGTGTACAGGAGATCTGGGCTTCAGACGAGGCAGCTGGGGGATATTGAGTTCACAAACAGACACGCCGAACTCTTGAAATCCAAAGCTAAAATCACATCCATCTGCTCTTACTTGAAACACAAGGAGAGCAGCAAGAAAAGGTAAAGCAGGCTGTCCTCAGACCTGCCAGCGCTAATACATAACGTATCTGTAGATTGGAATGTCTAATATACACCACATAGAAATCTGATATGGCAATATATCCAAATAGCATATATGACGTACAGGTTTATATTTGGATTTTTGATGTAATATATATTTTGAAATATTTAATAGTTTCATTTGTTTTCAACCACTGGACTTTAAAAAATGTACATATATGTTTGAATATATTTGCTGTATTATTATATGTGTTCAGAATTCAGACTTTACAACTCAGAATTGTGACTTTATAACTCAGAACTCTGAATTTATAATTTTTTTATTATATATTTTTTTATTATGAAACTTTTTTCCAATTATTTTTTTAATAAATATAATATTAATATATTAACCTTTATATAAAAAATAAATAATAATTGTATTAATATCTATATATATATATATATATATATATTTAAAAAAAAAATATATATATATATATATATATATATATATATATATATATATGTATATATATATATATCTTTATTCGTGAAATTCATGTCATGTCATTTGCATACATTTTTATTATATGCAATTGCTGCTGTGTCTTATATTTGTTATTTACACACATACATAATTTCCCTTAGCAATTAGCAAGCTTAATTATTTTTCACATATAATAAATTGATTGTAAACAAACTGAAGAGATCATTGCACTTTAGGTACAGTGCAACTTTATTATATTTTATTAATGTTATCAGAAACCCTTATGATACATAACATGCATCAGCTGTTAACATTAAATGTGTCAATGTAAACCTGTAACATTTTCAACAAATTGTTGTATATCAGGGGTGGCCAACCCTGTTCCTGGAGAGCTACCTTCCTGCAGATTTCAGTTGCTACCCATATCAAACACACCTGCCTGTAATTATCACGTGGTGTTCAGGTCTTAATTAATTGGTTCAGGTGTGTTTGATATGGGTAGCAACTGAAATCTGCTGGAAGGTGGCTCTCCAGGAACAGGGTTGGTCACCCCTGTTGTATATATATATATATATATATATATATATATATATATATGACAAATCTACATTACATTTAAGCCTTTTTATTAGTACTTTATAATAACTTCACACTATGAATCAATTATTAGGCATTAGCAAATAATTAATTGATTATCTGTTAAGTATTAACTGTACATTAATAGACGTTAGTAAGCAGTTTATAAATGCATGTACAAATGCTGTGTTCTTGATTTAAAAGCACATGCATGATCTGGTTAATGAGTGTGTTTTCATACTTTGTTAATTTTTGTTTATTCTGAACGATCCTAAAAAGTAACTATTCTTTAATAACCCGATTGTAAATAGTGCAAAGGTTATTAATGAAAAGTGAATCATTAACAAAGCATGAAAACACACTCATTAAGCTGATTATATTTGTGCTTTTAAATCAAGAACACAGTCTATAAATGTAGAGTTATTGCTTAAATAATCAATTAGCTAAGGCCTAACAAATGATTCATAGTGTGTAGTTATTATAAAGTGTTACCAAGATTTTCTCTTTACAGTAAGCTTCTATAATGTTACCAATGTTTAATGTGTCACTAATCTGAGGATGATTTAAATTAAATAATCTTGCACGACTGACATTATAAACTTACATGTATAGTGTGTTTTATTTGGATTCCTTTCACAGTGGCGCTGGTGGAGATTCAGACGGTTTGATTTCCCTGTTGAGACATTCATGTCCAAACATGTACCACTGAAGACCAAAAAGTTTGAAGACATGCTTGAATGCACTTGAGATTAACTGTTTGTATATATTTGAATAAACAACTTTCCCCCTCCAAATGTCTCAAAACTGTAGTGTAAAGTAGTCATGCAAACACAATATCATGTGAAATGCAAATAAACTGTGGATTTGAGAACAGCCTCATGTCTTGTTTATGAAACACCACACCTTCAGCTCCTCATATGCACGTGCTGGTTCATATATTTAACGCTGGACAATAACTTAATGACTTTTTGTAAGAGCTTTTTTATAGTAGGCTACTAGGGAAAGCCCTTGGTCCGTAGTCTGCCTACTGAAAGTTTTCTGAAAATGTCAACAATTTTTGCAGTATTTATTTACAAATTTGGATTTAAACCGTAAGTTTATCCAGTTTTATAAATATTGTTATAAGATTTATGGCATTTAAATGTATTATTTTTTAAATACAAATGTATTATCATCCATCATTTACATAAAAATAGGAATCTGGTAAAACTTGTTTAAAAATAAATGCTGTAGCCTATGGGTAAATAAAAAACTGGCCAGCTCATTCAACTTTCCTCAGGCAGAATTAATAATTTAATTTGTCTTAAATCTTCTATCTATAATTTTCACAATTTATGATGGAAAAGCAGCCAAAAAAAAGGATAAATGAGCTTATATAGGGGTCAAATTTTGGGCTTTGTCGGGGGGGGGGGGGGGGGGGGGGGTCTTTCGAACCACCAGAACCCCCTCCTGGCTACGGGCCTGGACTTTATGACCAATGATATTGGTCTACTATCACAATTCAAGTGCATAGCCTACAAACACAACATTGTATTGTAGACTAGTATTAAATTGTATGTTTATTAAATCATATTTCCTTAAAAAGTGCTGTTTGAGATAAATTTGAGGTAAAATAACAGTGTATCTGAATTAAATCTGAAATAAGAGAGTCTGGTAACAATATGAATGAGAACTATATTGACTACTAGCCTATAAACTATTAAAATTCATGTACATAGCTAAGGCCTACCTGTCAACCCTCCCGTCTTTCCCGGGATTCTCCTGTATATTACAGGTCTGTCCTGCTATCATCCCGTAAAGGTATTTTCCCGTATTTCTCCCCTATTTTCAGTGTTTCTCTGAAGGGTGGCAAGAAACCTGTACGCAACCCATACCGCTGAACCACCAGGGGTCGCCCCTTGCTCTTAAATGTGTGTCTGTTCTGTGCTTTCGCTTTGTTTAGGCACGAAAACACTTTGAAATAAATATAAAACGGCGCGATTCCCTTTCCTTTTCATTACAGGTGCCGTCTCCCTTCCTATGCAATCCTCAAAACAGTCATATAGCAGTGCGTGACTGTCAGCTGACGCGCTCCATAGTGATAAACAGACGCTGTTTCCCAAACGGATTCTGTACTCGCAATTTGAAGCGGAGCAAAAGTCTGGCTTTTGGGTGCGTGTTTAAACAGGCATATACACATAATTAATAATAATAATATCTAAAGATGTCGATCTTTGTTTTGTTTTGTTTTTTCAAACACAACCAATTTCGTCTTAAATGTAATAATAAATGAAAAGTTAGGAAAGCAGTCGAATGCCTTCTTTATATTGTTAGATGTGTGCAGTTTTAAAGTGACACCTTATTAAATGTAATCAGATTCATTCATTGCTCTTTAATCAGAATATGTACGTTATACAGTGAAGAAACGGCTAATGAGATTTGATAGCTTGATTCTATTCCATTATAATAGCTATTAATTTTAATAAGCTGAACTGTTTGCTAATGTATTTGCTGCTAATGTATATAATTATTTTTTTCTATTGTAAATAATAATAATAATAAAACATATAACTGACCATTTAACTGTTTATTTACAAAGAAACAGCTCTAAGTGAACATATTTAGTAATTTGGGGATTTTTTTAAAGGAGGAGGGAGGAGGGAGGGGGGGTCCCTTATTATGGTGGGCATATCCCTTATTTTCACATCCCCATGTTGACAGGTATTAAGGTTACGTCAGCTTACAAATTTTGCTGGGTTGTCATAATAATTTGTGGTGGTCGTATATCTGAAAGAATATCTAAATATAGCCTTGATTATTGAATTATGAAATAACATTTCTTATCGTGTCTTTCGTCTATAATAAGTTGAAACAATACTACGTAGGTCCATTACGGTACATGAGAGGCTGATAAGATATCTTTGCTTGATGTTATCTGAAACTGTAATGTTAATCGAAACTAACGCATGTTGAATTTGTTTTTGTTTGTTTTGATTTTTACGCGCGCAGTTAGCATGTCTACTACTAGAGTCGGTCATAAACCGTCCTGAAAGCCACGTCAATAAATAATAATTTAGGATAATAGTCTACGAACTTCCTGAACCCCATAAACCATCGTTTAGTCGCAAAAACTGGAACTTTTGGATAGAGTGTGAGCTGATTTACAGACCAAACCATTGCTAAATTTAGAATATGAAATGACAGTCCCCTATCACAACGCCGTCCATTGCTTTTGGCACATTCCGTTCATAAATAAAAGCAGTTTTGCTAGATTAGATCTATTATCCCTGCTGGAAAAACAGCATTCTGGTAAGGTATGTTTTGATGCTGGTCTGAGTGCTGGTCCTGACCAGCAAGATCAGCATTGAAACCAGCTAATTAGTAAATAAATTAGCTGTATCTTCAACATCATGTAAATATTTCCAAGATTTCATCATTGTTACATTGGATGTCCAACTTTTAGGCCTATTCTTGCATAATATATCGGAAACAATAATTGATGCCATACAGCTTAAAAATATAATTTTGTAAACCACATTGTTCATTGTGAAGGTTTATGAGATGTACACGCACATTTAAAGCAGCTGTGTTCATGTGTACAGTATAAGGCAAAAGTCCACCTGTGCTCATCTTTATAGCCTATAAAACTGAGATAAGCCGGCGTCTATCTCAAAGGTTAGGATTGAAGTCTGTTTCGCACATCAGCTCACAAATGTCTGATGGGAATTTGATTCAGTCGGCGCAAAGGGATTCCTCTTCAGTATTCCTTTATTGATCAATCTTTTAAATAGGGAAATATGGATCTCAGGCCTAAAGGAGCTGCTGTTTTTATCTTTCTCTTGGTTATTTTCACATTCAGCAAATGTAGTGAAGCGCAAGGTAAGTACTTAGTTTTGTTTTTCTTAAAATGAGCTTATTTGTAAGCTCAAAAAGTTCAGAAATTCTATTTTTCAGGAGCTAAAAGGTTTACTTTTTACTTTATATCATAGGATTTAAAATTTTTTTTAAGATAGTTAATATTGAAAATACTGACTTTAGTTGTATTACTCATATTGTATGTGTGCTATTGATAATTAAATGACAAGACATGGCTGATTGAGGAAATCTGTCATGATGAATTGTCAATGTCTAGCTTTAATCAGACCTTTTTAACACGTTATTTTAACAGAAAACCTAGTCCATCTTCCTGTACTTTACCATAGATGCATATGGAATAAAATTATTTATAAATTTGCAACATTTCAGCCTTATTTGAGCTTTTATTCAGCCTTATTTTACCTTATAAAGTCTACTTTATGTAAATTAGAAGTACAAAAACACCTCAGAAAGGTCTATTTAATTACGTTATCATGAAAATTATTCCTTCATTTCAATGATTTTAAAATGGTTACATGTTGAAAGAAATTTCACCAAGATCGTTTGTTGTGTTTTCGTCTGTTTCCAATACTTTCTAACAGTCACTCTATTATTTTAAACATTTATTTATCAATGTCATTCATGAAAACATTGTAATTCTGATTTTTCTCCAAATGATGCAGATCTTTGTTCGGTGCCGTTGCCGTTCATTTTCATTAAGGAAAACAACACTATTGATGCCTTGGTCACAACAATCAATGCTGCCGAAGGAGTGACGGCTGTGATCACCGGTCAAAACCCACCAGATCTCTTCGACATCAATGATGAATACCAGCTCATAGCTAAAACCGTGATGGACTATGAGGTTAAAACATCTTATAAACAGTTTTGTTGTTGTGCTGCGTTCATAAATTGTGTTCATTTACAATCCCTTGTTACAGTGGATTGAAAGTGGATTACGTTTTTAAAAATGTTTGCATAAAATATATTTGGAGATAGTTTTTTTTTTATTCAGCATACCTTGATTCATTTATTTTTAAGTCTCTGTCAAAGACAATCTGGCAATTTTTGTAGCTTCGAATTGTAAAGAAACTGACTGACTTGTGCATTTTGTGCATCAATAAATTTATAAGAATGGAAAATTCCTTCTATTGGCATCAAAAGCTAATTTTGTTTTCAAGATTTAACACTCAAGAGCTGTTTTGGTTTGATAATTCAACTTTCAAGTCAAAGTCAGATTTGGATTAAGTGCTTCCTCTTTCAAAGAGACCAATTAGTTTACATCCATTGAGAATAATTCATTAACAAACACTTCTGTTTTGTTATTTTGACAGAAATTTGACAAGGACAACCCATATCTGGTCAATATTGAGTGTACAAAACCTGGTTCTACCTCTGTAAGTAAACTTTTATTAGCATTAAATTTTCTTTGTGCATTGCGAACATCTAACTTAACCACTGTTAGTACATTTGCTTATGTAGATGTAATATTTCATTTGTGTTTTTAGACCTCACTGCTTCTGAGGATCGTTCTCGAAGATATAAATGATAACCCCCCATCGTTTAAGGAGAGTTGGTACTCACTGGAGGTCAAAGAGGTGCGGTGTCAGGATCTTATTTTACTACTCAGATTACTCAAATTCGGTTCATTTTTAGATTTTAGTTCATGTGCATTTTCGAAATGTAATAATCTTTAATGATATTTTGTAGCTAACCAAAGTGGATACCAGCGTTGGCCTGATTACAGCAACCGATCCTGATGAAAGTGACAGACTTTACTATCGTCTGGAATCTCCTGAGGTACGAATGCTGTCTTATTATGGATTCATAATGGGACAGCAAAATTAAATTTGAATTAATGATTTCCATGCATATCGGAAACTATATGTGCGTCCAAATTTACATACTACCCTTCTATATAGTATGTAAGCTGAGTAGTAGGACCAAATTCAGAGTATTTGATGAACAGTAGCTGTGAAGATGACCTTATGGATACTTTACTGTTGTGGCCAACACAAACAAAAAATGCTTTGAGTTATTGGCTGCGTCCGAAACCGCATACTTCCATACTATACAGTATGCTAAAATTAGTATGTGAGACGAGTAGTATGTCCGAATTCATAGAATTCGAAAATCAGTATGCGAGAAGTACCAGGATGACTTACTACTTCCGGCGAGATTCTGGAGTGCGCGTCCCATGCATGCTGCGATATCCCATAATGCCCTGCAAGCGAATTCATGAATGGGAGTAAAGTGACACAAATTACGCAGGAACGTCACGTGACTATGTCAAAATAGTGGCTGTGTGTTCGGATTACACTCATGCTTTTCACATTCATACTGTATAGAACGCACTTTTCTAACGGCCGAGTAGTACGTTTCAATTCAAATGCAGGACCTACTGAGTAGTGGGCGGTTTCGGACGCAGACATTGTCTTAAAGCAGGATGTTAATGGTCTGGTCCACATCAATGAATTATTAAGCTAAACTAAAAGTGCCCCCAGCAGACCTGGAGATTGGCTAACTGTCAACTGCGCTTTAGTATTTATAAAATGAGGCGAGTTTAAAAACAAGTGGAGTGTTCCTATACGTTGCTGCTTTAGTTATACTTACATTAGGTGTTTTATAGCCCAGTTTTGTATGTTGGGCCTTTATTTGGTAATTCATATTAGTGTGATTTATTTATTTTAGTTATTTTTATTATAGTGTATGTCTGTTGTGAGACATATATTACTTTACTTTCTTTATTGTCCACAAGTGGAACTTTATCTTTGGCTTCACAACCACCTCAGTATTCACATTACACGCTTCACAGAAAACAGGCAACATAAATACATTCAATATGATCACATAAACCACATTAAAATCTCAATTAAACTCTGTGCATGCTTAAAACCCAGTATTTACAATTTAAGTGTCATCACAAAGGACATTTGATACACATTTGTCTTTACTTGAGGTTGCCTAAAACGTCTTTTTAAATGCAAAAGCTGAAAGTTTATATTTAAGGGATGGGAACAATCTTCAATAATGACATAATAATAAGAAATAATAAGTGTTTTCTGTTTAATTCTCATAATATTAATTTCATTCAGTTGTCGTTGTGCTTTACCTACAATTGGACTGGCAATTTTTACTACTCGCTATCACTTGAAAAGTGTTTATAAACTTGAAAGTGCTTCACATATTATTATTATTTTTGTAAGTTTTAAATAAAAAGGAGAGAAATAATGACATCTAAGTACATTATACAATGTAAATTTATAAATTAACTGAAACGACAGAAAACATTTCCTAAAATTTAAGAAAAATATTAGAATTACCATATTTTATGCATAACCTACAGAAGATAAAAAGTTTCTAGTCCAAATATCTCAAAATTCTTAAATCAAGAAGCATTTTCTATATACGCAAGAAATGTTGTCTTGTTTTCAGAAATAATATGTCAAAATTAAGTTAGTTTTTCCACATCAGCCAATGGGGTAAGCAAAATAATCGTATTTTTTGTTTTGACATTAGACTATTTTGCTTCCACCATTGGCAGATTATTTAGCTTGTTTTATTTAAGGAGAAACCTAATTTTGACGTATTATTCCTTAAAAAAAGACAATATTTTTTGCTCGTCTAAAAAATTATTCTTGATTAAAAAATTGTTCAATATTTGGACTAGAAACAAGACAAAAATTCTAAGTACGAAAAGCATTTTTTTTTTTTTTTTTGCAGTGAAAGGAGAGAATTTTTGAATGGAAGTCAAGTGGCGCAACTGAGGACTGTAGGTCATGTGATAATGACAAGATGGCAGATGAATTCAGTTCATACTGCTAACATTTATACTATATAGAACAAATATGCCCAAACTAGGGTGTAACACGTTGGCCCGTGTTAATTTTAGATTTGGCCCACCATCCCATCTGAGAAGAGAGGGACAATGCTGGGAATGGTCTATAGATTGTCATTTTAAATTGAATGTAACCTTTTGTTTGTTTGTTTTAATGTTAACCTACAAAAAAGCAAACTGAAAATTTCAATGTGTCAATTTAAATGCTGTAATTTAGTTAAAAAATGTACATACTGTCACCCGACAGATAAAGGACAATGCAGACACTTTGGTGAGCGAAGCAAGGCAAAGGCAGATTCTGCTTTTCTAGTATATTCAGCATTGAAATCATATTACGCCCCAAGTCTAGGGGAAACAAAAAGGGCATAATAAATGAAGAAAAAAAAACACAAATGTGTTGGGGTGGTGGATTTCCCAAACTAAACAAAACTTAACGCAAAAAGATTCCCTTCGGTCGACAACCAAACTCACACACTCAGTTGAGAGTATATATGAATAGATTTATTATAGAAAAATGTGGTTAATATAAATGAGCATTTCGTCAGGGTGACCATAGGCCAAAATAACAAACAAAAGAATCTATAAAATAAATCCACTAAATTACCTAAATTACCTATTACCTAAATACAAAAAAGCTTACCTACCTCCCTAAACATGAAGTCAAAAGTAATCAAACAAATAGGCAGGTCACCCCTACACGCTCAAACTCTCAAAAATATTTTAACGAATGATGGTCATCAGAACAGTGTTGATTGTTGGTAGCCGGCCGGAGGGGTGAGGGAAACCCAGGAGCTACACTCCAAACACCGAACACACAGAAATGAGCTCAACGATCCCTGCCGGAAGCTCCTTTTTATACATGCTTTTGAGACCAGCAGCCAATCAGAACAGGGAATCACGCCGGTATGGGAGCCTATGAGACAACAGAAAAACAACAAGAAGGCGGGACAAAAGAAAAAGACAGCGTACTAGCCGCAATAATAAATAAATAAATAAATAAATAAATAAATAAATAAATAAATAAATAAACTCCAGTCGTAACATATATATATATATATATATATATATATATATATATATATATATATATATATATATATATATATTTATCTTCAGCCTATGGCTCTCAATAATATTTGGTTTTTGGCTCTTCATACAAAAAAGTTTGGGCGTTCCTCATATAGAATGTAGTTATCTAATAATCATAAGTAATAAAAGTTTAAATTCAAATGAAGTACCTTCACAAGTAATATGCGATTTTGGACGCAGTTAATGTGTAAAATGTTGCAACTTTTTGGAATTTCAGAAATTCGGCCTTTGAATTCTAAAACTAAATTCCTAACTGTTCCAAATCTCTTCTTGTCCTCTCTCAGGGAGAGTTTGACGTGGAGACCAGTTTTAATCCCAACATTCTGGTGAAAAAACTTCTGGATTATGACAAAGTTAAACAAGTCACGATGACTCTATATGCACAGGTGAGTTTCTCTGATCTATATACAGTACATTTAAAAGGATAGTTCACCCGAAAATGAAAATTTACTCACTGTTTTGTTGTTGCTTCTACAAAAACAAACATTTATTTGATGGCATTTCAGGACACACAGATCGGATCTTCAGCTGAAGTTTCCCACACTGCCACAGCCACCGTTGTCGTCAACATCATAGACATTGACAATCGTCCGCCATGGTTCCAGCCCTGTACAGAATACATCTTTGAAACAAGCACAGTCTGCATAAATTCTGGCTATAATGGAGTTGTCACTTTAAAAGAGCAAGAAGTGAGTTTTATTAAGACCAATTTGAACTCCACAAACACCAAAGCTCATAAAGCTGGGTAATGGATGAAGGAATGCTTGAAAACAGCAAAACCCAACAAAAGTTACAGCTTGTTGGTGCATTGTGAATTTGTTGCATGTTAAACAGATCACCTTGGTTTGTCACAGACAGATCCTTTAAAACTGATGCCCGGTCCAGTTTACGGCATTGACGGTGACGCAGGCATTAAGGAGCTCATTGGTTACACCTTTATGGGAGGTGAAGTAATCCTTGTGGGTTGTTATTTTCTTTATGGTCACTTTGAGAAGAATCGAGAAGTTTTAAATAGTGAATTGTGTGTGTGCAGGAAATGAAGACGGGATATTTAATATCAACACGGACACTGGGAATATCACAATGCTGAAACCAGTAGACGTGGTCGGACCGTTTGTTCTTACAGTTATGGTAAGAAAAAAATACTGCATTTTCTTCATTTGACAATCACTATATTTATTCACTATATTGGCATTGATGGTTGCATTAGGATCCTTTAAAAAGGACTTATGATGCCCCTTTTTACAAGACGTAAAAATAAGGGCTCTATTTTGACGGTCCATGCGCAAAGTACAAAACGCAGGGCGAAAACGCTTTCAGGGCGTGTCAGAACTCGTTTTTGCTAATTTAAGGATGGGAAATCTGCCTTGCGCTTCGGTGCATGGGCTAAAAGGGTTGAGTTTATTTTCTTAATGAGTTATAGGTGTGTTTTAAGAATAAACCAATTAGAGTCTCATCTCCCATTACCTTTAAGAGTCAGCTTCGTCGCGCCAAGAGCGCATTCGCTATTTACAGAACGCAAAGTAAGTCTAAGTGGAAAAAATGAGCATTTCACAAGCAAACAGTTAACAGTTAACAGTTGACAGTTTTTTTTACCAGAAAACTGTTAAACAGAGCATCTACTGTGTGAGAATGAGAGATAATAGATCACTTTCACTTTCGCTCTTGGATAGGGAAACCTTTACGCACAGACATCAATTAGTCTATAAATAAATACTTTTGTTTGTTAAGCGCAAATATTCGTTTCAAAACTATTTCTAAATTCAGTTCTAATTTCCAGCAAACGAATAAATGAATAATAATAACCAAGTGTGGTCAAAATACTGAGTTGTATCCTAAAACACATGCTGTGCCCCATATGGTCTAAAACCTGACAGGTGGGCAAATCCAAGCTTGTTTTTAATAAAACAAATATAAATATGGATATAATAAATAATACTGCTAATAATAATAGCATTATACAAAAGCAAATTGTTATGAATGAACTGAAAAAGCCTCCCGAGATGAAGAAGACATAAAAGCAGTGATTTTTGATATTTATGTAGGCTAGAAAATAATATGTTTTGTAATATTTTAATCCTTTATATTTATATTCTATATCTATTCTTATTATATCCTATATATATCCTTAATATTAAAATTTTTTCATATGTAAAGATATTTGCCTATTGCTCTCTTGTGTGTATTAAGCAGTGTGTAAGCGAGGCACAACTCTGCGCCGGAGTTTAGACCGGGTTAGTTTTGGTCTAATGAAAAATCTATTATAGATTCTCAAAATAGCAACGCGCCAGCGGTCCGCCTCAGAACGCCTTCCTTTTTAGACCAGAACGCCTATGGGCGCACAAATGAGCGCTAATGCATTTGCTATTTAAACAGCGTAGCGCAACGCCTCAAAACCACTCTTGCGCCAAGCTGAAACTACCAAAAGACTATTGCGCCACGCCTTGCGCCACACTGCGCCGGGTGTATGATAGGGCCCTAAGTCTCTGATGTCCCTAGAGTGTACTGTATATGTGTAGTTTCAACTCAAATAACCACACAAATAATATTTTATAACTTTTTTGAAACTGCCCCTTTAAGACTTTGATCCTAATTATGGCATTTTGGTGGCTGTCGCTTTAAATTCAAATGGGATTGTGCTCTTTTCAAAAGAGGGCGGAGCTACAAATGCCTATGCATAAACATGGCATAGAAGTTTCTCAGAAGAGGGCAGCCTAAGGTGACTATTATCCTATAATAGTCTCACTCAGGGCTGTTTATGCTAATGAGGGAGAGATAGTCACTAGTGGGCGGTGCTTTCCCCCTCTGATGACACGTACAAGGGGAGAATGTCAATCAAAGTGATTACAAAAATTTGAATTAATAATTGTTTATCACTAGAGGCTGGTTATATTCAAACACTGCTGCCACACAACTGTGTTTAAACCTCTTATAAAAGTGATTTTTACATAATAGCTCCCCTTTAACCATCATTTAGTGAAAGATTAGAGTAAAATGAGTACTTCAAATTATTTGTGGGGGTATTTTTAAGAAATGTCTTGGCTATATAATGGTGAAAAATACCAACCAGCAATAATCTTACTAAAAAGACACAAAATCCCATGATACACTGGGGTTGTTGAGAAATCAAACCAATATTTACTGTCAAACTAAAATCTTCATGCAAAAAACTTCATGCAACACAATCTAATGGCAATTTACATGTTGGTGAATTAGTAGTAATTCAATTGGATTTGTCTCATTTGTTCATTTTGATATAATCTGCTTGTTAATGTGTTTATGAGCACTGTTGTTTTTTTGTCAGGATTTGTGTTGAGTGATGCATCCAATTTCAGTTTATTGTTTACCAAATACTAAAACATCTGTAATTTAGATGCTGCAAGAGATACTTTCTACAATACTTTTGTGTCTTTGTAAGTGAAGATTCACAAACTAATTTCGAGAGGAGCACATGATATGATTGCGTAATATGACTTGCGTAATCTACGTTCCGCTTCGGGGCTCACCTTGTTTCAGCCTCGTTGCAAACTTAGCACCATGGGAGGCAGGGCATTCTCTTATCGCGCACCTAAATTGTGGAATGATCTCCCCACAAACATCAGGAACGCCCTGACTTTTTAAAGAAACTTCTTAAAACTCATATTTTTATTATTGCTTATAACTTATGAGGCTTTCTTTTAATATGTATTTTTATCATTATTATCATTCTTACTTTTTTGTGTATTTCATGTTCTACTGTGTTTTAATGCTCTTGTTAGCGCTTTGAGTCTGAGAAAAGCACAATATAAATAAAATGTATTATTATTATTATTATTATTATTTTATTATTATTATTATTATTATTATTATTTCTATTATTATTATTATTTATTATTATTATTATTATTATTTATTATTATTATTATTATTATTATTTATCGCTGCTGGTCTCTCATCCGTAATCATTAGTAAGCCAATCAGATTAATCCAAACTCAAAATAAATAACCCATCTAGTATTACTCCCTTATCTTCATTTTGAAGAATCCCCCCATCCACCCTATCTCCCCCTTTCCTCCATTACCAGGGCGAGCTCTCGAGAACTACCTGATCTTGTACTCCCCTCACATGCTTATCAACCGAGCTCAGGGTTCTCTCCCGGGACAGCATGCCAAAGCTGCTAATATTATCAAGCAATATCTAAGTGCGAACTCTTGAAACAAGACATTCATTTAAAACTCTGAAATTTTTTTTTTTTTAAAGCTAATTAATTAAACTGAAAAGTAACTCACATTAAATTTTTTTAAAAAGTAAGTCAAATATTATTACTTAATTTTTTTAAGCATTGCGTAACTTTACTCTTTGAAAAGTTATATTATTATGTAACTCGCTTTACTTGTAATGTTACCCCAACACTGATCATAGTTTCTTCATAGCAAGTGTTTTTTTTTTGTTCTCTTTTAATAATCACAAGAATGGTATCTACTAAGGAATAACTAGGAAAACTCTATTTTAGCCTTATTTAATTGTTATTTTAATATAGTATTTGCTTTTCAGGCCAAATTTTGTGTGTTTCTCATTAGGCATTTCAGAAGCTGAACCCTGATCAGTTTGCCACCACTACAGTCATCCTGAAAGTGGCGCTGACGGCCAGCGAATTCCCTCCGAAATTCACCAAGGAAAGCTATGAAGGCTTCATTTCAGAGGACGCAGGTGTGGACAGTCTGGTTCTGGAGGGCAAAACGTCCAACAGAGCCCTCCGAGTCCAGGCCACAGATGAAGACTTTTCTAATGTAAGAAATGTGGATGTTAGACATAAACAAAGAACATAACTGCGTCAAATTTCATTCATTTTTGCTGTCTTTGCAGAAATATTTATGTTTTTTGTTTTCTTGTAGGGATATAATCCCAATCTCAGATTTGAGATTGTAGACGGTACTGACTTCTACATTACTCCAGAAGGTTTCATTCTCATGGCGAAGGCAGTTACGCCTGGCACTGTCAATTTAGAAGTAAGGACTGAATGACTTATCACTTATAAAATGTAATCAGTTACTGATTACCAATTACATAATAAAGTTTTTTAGTCAGTTATATGTTCTCTTAGATTACATGTTTATGGTAATGTAATCTGACTACTTGGATTACATTTAGATTACTTTTGTGCTCTTATTTGATGTCACATACAGTTGAAGTCAGAATGATTCACCCTTCTTTGATTTTTGAAATTATATATATATATATATATATATATATATATATATATATATATATATATATATATATATATATATATATATATATATATATATATATCCCAAATGATGTTTAACAGATTTAGGATTTTTTGCAGTATTTCCGATAATATTTTTTCTACTGGATGAAATCTTATTTCTTTTATTTTGGCTAGAATAAAAGCAGTTTTTAATTTTTTAAAACTATTTTAAGGTCAATATTATTAGCCCCCTTAAGCAATATTTGTTTTCAATTGTCTACAGAACAAACCTGGTATTTACACGGATGGCTTACGGACTACAAATCCACCCTTTCATGGACTACATATTTAGTCATGCACCCCACACACACACACAACCTGTTCCTGATCATGACTGATTACATACACGCAGCTGGAGGATCGTTACAAACTGATTACATGGACTTTAAATACACCGCACACACACACTTTCTGGCCAAGTCTTCTGTAACAATGGTGACACTGACAACAGGGGTGCGGATCCATGGACGGCAAAGCCAAAAAAGGAAAAGACGTTGTAGTGTCACATAAACAGTGGACAAGACTGTGTGTGTGCAAGGAAGTGTGTGTGCGCGCTGTATTTAAAGTCCATGTAATCGGTTTGTAACGATCCTCCAGCTGTGTGTATGTAATCAGTCATGATCAGGAACCGGTTGAGTGTGAAGTGCATGACTTAATAATATGTAGTCCATGAGATGGTGGATTTGTAGACCGTAAGCGACCCGTGTAAATACCAGCGATCTGCACAGGCTGGATCGCTGGTGACCGTGACAAAACCACTTAAAGCTGAATACTAGTATCTTGAACAATATCTAGTCAAAAATTATGTACTGTCATCATGGCAAAGATAAAAGAAATCAACTACTAGAAATTAATTTTCTAAGAATTTCGTAATAATAATTTTGACTTCCAATGTATAATCTGTTACCACCCAGCTCTGAATATTTCATACAGTACTTTGTGAATTTGGTAATTGTTTTAGTGTGTGATTTGGATTTATTGAATTTGATTCAGATGAGGGTGATCGACACAGAGAATGATGAATCAAGCACCGCTTCACTTGTGGTTGAAATAACGCCAGGTAAGACTAGACTAACGCTGCTATCAGTCATCCCTAGGCACTAACAGGGTGTGGGATAATCATGGCGCTTTTGTACACACTGGCTTTTAGCAGTAACAATTTGATCACTTTTTAATGCATGTGTTAGTGTCCTTTGCTAGGCTTTTGCTCAGCCTGCTGTCTTTTCAGTCGTGGAAGCTTTTTTTGCCACAGTAAAATTGATAAATAAATAAGTTAAAAAAGGTAATTGTGACTTTTTCCCAAAATTGACATTTGTCTCTGGAATTAGAGTTTGCATCTTGTAAATCTAAATTTCTTTAATGGAATTAGAAGCTTACAATTTGCAATTTTACTTTTTTTTTTGCTTAGAAATCTGTTCTGACACCTTGCAGTTCTTTCATTTTTCCCTGAAAAAGTTCTTACTTTTCCACTGGAATTGAGAGTTTAAATCTAGAAATTGTCAACTTTTACGAGGAATTCTCAACTAACATCTTGGAATTCTAAATTTCCCTCTGAAATGCTGAGATTACGTCTGTGAATTACATTTTTTTCCAGTTAACATCTAGGGATTTTATCCTTAAACTGGAATTCTTAGTTTACAGTACGCTTCATAAATCTTACTTTTGATCAGGAATTTTGAACTAACTTCTAGGAATTCTAGCTTTGCCACTGGAATTCTGAGTTAACATCTTTAAATTCTCACTTTTCTACTGAAATTGAGAGTTTACATCATAGAATTCTCACTTTTCACCAGCAGTTCTGAAATTACATCTAGGAGTTCTAACTTTTCCACTGAAATTCCGAAATATTTTCCACTGGAAATCTTAATTTACAGTTTACAGTACATATTGGAATTCTCACTTTTTACAAGGAATTCTTTGCTAAAATTTTAGAGTTCTAACTTTTCACATAAAGTTTTGAGTTAACATCTATTAATTTTCTAATTTTTTATCTGAAATTCCGAATTCTCGGAATTAGCAACTTTCACCAAGAATTCAGAACTTACATCTCGGAATTCAAAATTTCCCTCTGAATTTCTGAGATTACATCTGTGAATTCAAAATTTTCCACTGGAATTCTAAGTTAACATCTAGGAATTTTAACTTTTCCACTGGAATTCTTAGTTTATAGTACACTTCATAAATCTCACTTTTGACCAGGAATTCTGAACTAACATCTTGGAATTCTAGCTTTCCCACTGGAATTCTGAGTTAGCATCCCTGAATTCTCACCTTCCCACTGAAACTGAGAGTTTACATTTTGGAATTCTTACTTTTCTTCAGGAATTCTGAGTTAACATCCAGGTAATTTTACTTTTCCACTGGGATTCTGAGTTAACATATTTATAATACTCACTTTCCACTAAAATTGAGAATCAAAATCTTGGAATTCTCAACTTTCACCAGGAATTTTGAACTAATATCTCAGAATTTATTGGAACTTTCCCACTGAAATTCTGAGATTGAATCTATGAATTCAAAAATTTCCTCTTTGGAATTCTCACTTTTTACTAGGCGTTGACATGTTGTAAGTCTAACTTTTTATTCAGAAATTCGGAGATTACATCTATGAAACTTAACTTTATAGTGAGAATTCCACCTTTCACTGTAAATTGTTGGTTTACAATTTAGTATTCTAATTTTCCTACTGGATTGACGAGTTCACATTTTAGCATTTTCAAATGTTTTCCTCTGGAATTCTACATTTATGTAGTGGAATCCTAAACTTCTTGCAATAGTTTTTTCCCCCCAAGGAATAACAATAATGAGAAAATATAATTGCACCTTTAATCTTAAAATTTTGCCTTTTTTGAGAGTGAAAGAGTGAAAAAATTTATAAATTGGGAAAAAAGCACACAATTACTGTATTCATTTGTACTCTGGCAAAAACGGCGTCCAAATAAAAAGATTTATGACTGTAATAGACAAACCAATTAATTTGGTTCCAAATGTGAATTTCAGTTGATTCAGCAAATAGCAAAGCTCTGACTGGTGACCCTTTTCTTCTCCAGGGGTTCCCACTACCACTCCAGTTACAACTATCACGACGACAGATAACACAGATAGCACACAGCTCACAGACATCACCGACACCTCGCACCCAAGTACTCACACAACCACGCATCCTGGTACTTACACAACTGCGCATCCTAACACAGGTACACTTATGCTACGCTATCTAGCTATGCTAAATCTGCTGGTCTGCTCTGTCATATGCTTGGTTTGAAATTGCTTGCTATTATAGACAAATTAAAGGATTTAATCAAGAATATAGAGCATTGTCTTTAATTACAGAATCAAGGTCACATATTTTATGCTTAAAATCACTTTTGGATAATGGTGTATGTTAATATTTGTAAAAACAAATTAAATAGGCACTTTTTTCCTCTCTTGATTGTAATGTAATAACTAGGGATGTAACGGTATTGTAAATACCGTCATACCGCAATATTAATTTTTATCGATATTACCGTAGTCGCATGACTCTGTAAAACTATAGGTCTTCTGAGAAAATTTGCTCAGGCGAATGAAGCGAACGGGAGGTAGCGGAAACTACAATTCCCATCAGCCCAGGCTTGGCCATCATCCCTTGCGGTCTGTTGTCGCTACAGATCCAGTAATGCGGAAATGGAGTGTGCTGCTAGAAGCGGGGATGAACAAGAGCTGAAAAACCCTAAAGCGGGTGTTGTCGCCGCACGCGTACTGAGTAGCGGTGTTGTCGCGCGCGTTCTGATCAGCTGTGTTGTCGCGCGCGTTCTGATCAGCTGTGTTGTCGCGCGCGTTCTGATCAGCTGTGTTGTCGCGCGCGTACTGAATAGCGGTGTTGTTGCGCGCGTTCTGATCAGCTGTGTTGTCGCGCGCGTACTGTAAAGCGGGGAGGGGGGGGTTGAGCGCGCATACTCAAGAGCGGTGTTGTCGCGCGCCTACTGAAGGGCGGGACGGAGGGTGTGTCGCGTCGCGGGGGCACTTTTGATCATTTTGGAAGGGAACTTTCTATCCAAGACTAAAAAGGGAATGTGCACTGCACAGGTTGAGCCCTATGTGTGCACGAGCCGGCAAGTTGGGGAACACGACTAATAATCAGTCATGGGGACTGCAGAAACACAGCACACTGTTCAGATTGATGCAGACATGAGACCTCTATCTCACTCATGGTTTGCCCTCTCAAGTGGGGGAAAGACAATGCACAACGTTACCCACTGCTGTCAACCTGGGCCAAGTCATATCTCTCTTGTACCAGAAACCTCAGTCCCAAATGAGAGGCTTTTTTTCTGTTGCAGGGGACATTGTAAATGCCCAGAGATACCAGCTTTTACCAGATTATATTTATATGATAATTTTCCTTTAAACCCATCTCTATCTAAGTGAGTGAGTGATTAAATGTTGAATGTGATGATTTTCAACAATAATAAAATGAAACTTTATTTTTTTACATGGTTTAATCACTTTTTGTTATTAAAATTGAAGTTCCTGTTTCAAAGCTTACAGATAGATGGCTAATTTGTATGTCATTGACACTTTTGGCACTTTTTTGGAGTATTTTCATAAGTTTTGTTTTTTCCTGTAAATGATTCAATAAATACCGTACCGTGACATTCATACCGAGGTATTACTGTACCGTGAAATTCTGATAGGTTACATCCCTAGTAATAACGCACACCTTTGCTCAAGATTCTTTGGAACAGTAATTATTATTATTTTATCACTTACCCTTATGTACGGCAATATTGGTGATACTCCAATGTAAACAACAGTATGGATTTCATGGTAAATGTACCATGTAATACATTGTTCTACATATATATGCTGTCAAAACCACTGAAAAAATTGTTTGGAAGCTGCTAGATGATCATAGATATATACACTAGATATCGCATAGGGACCCTGAGCATGCGTCAATAGCGCCGCCACATTGGTACTGTGCTCCCAGGACAAATGTCCTTCAACCGCACTAGACAAGACAGTGTTATTACGTGAAGATGCGGGACTTTAGCACTGTCTACGGGTGTCGTAACGAGCAAACAAAGAAAACACAGCACAAAGGCAGAACATTTCATAGGTAAGATTAAATTTTTTCGTTTTTGTATGTTCTGAACTTTTGTGCTAAACAGGTCACGTTATTGATGATAATATAGTCACTTACTGCATTCACCATAAGGCAAAGCATCACCAACTCGCACTAAACACTTGGCTTATGCTAGTTTTGTTGAATAAAATCAGCAAACAATGCAAAAGAAATATGACAACGAGATGCTGCGCTGCCAGAAACTTGTATTATTATCAGCTAGTGAACGAGTCGTTCATAATGGAGATTCATTCACAAACGAATCGCTCCCTCCGTCAGTATGAGAAGTGAAACCAGGAGAGGAGGTGTGTTTCAGGACACGGATTAGATCAAATTTAACAGGGAGAGTGAATAGTACATTTCTGTACACACAAGCACAAGCTTTTTGTCAGGAATGCCCGTGCGATCACTGATTCATCAATGAAGAAAAGTGATGTAAAACTATAATTTTCTAAATAAAATTTAAAAAATTACTCACTAACATCCAGGAAAACTCCCGATCATAGATATATGTGTATATATGCGTATATCTCTGGCTCTGGATGGCCACAGTCCTCCTCTGTACCTTGGTCCCGCATTCATTTCAAAGGAGCGCTACCCTGTAGCAAGATGGCGGCGCTATTGACGCATTCCTATAGACAGCAACAGGGTAGGCGACATCTAATGTATATATCTGTGCTAGATGATATAGAGAAGGGCTTTATTAGGAGAAAAGTGTGAAAAATTTGGACTAAAGTAATTCAGGAGGTCATAAAACATATGTATGAGTAGTAATAAAGATATCAGTTTAATATTTCACCAACTTTTCCTGGAAATGATGAGAACAAACATAAATGTTAAGATTTTTGCCCTCAAAACGTAGCTTCAGAGTTTTTTCTCTCTTCTACTTTATTTGTTAGACCTTTTGTCTGTATGTAGTACTACATAATTGATCATTTTCATCAGAAATAATTAGCAAAATATGCCAGTTTCATTCACTTCAATGGAATTGTTTACGTTCTGTGCCTCCAATGTGGCCGCCAGATGGAAACACTATACCGGTGTTTCCCAACCCTGTTCCTGAAGGCTCACCAACAGTACATATTTTGGATGTCTTCCCTTATCTGATCCATTAACTTCAGGTTTTGGAGTCTCTTCTCATGTCCTGATGAGTTGACTGAGGTGTGTTTGAACAGGAAGAGGTTAAATGTTGGTGTGCCTTCAGGAACAGGGTTGGGAATCACTGCTCTTCATCAGTAAACTGAATTGAATTGATGTTTGGTGTTTCTCTCCTCCAGGTGGACAGCTGGGTAAAGCAGGTGATTTTACTTCAGGGGATATGGCGGCTGTTGGAGCCACTTTGGCTGTGTTTGTGGTCATCTGCTTGGTTTGCATTGGATTGCTGGCACACCGCATTAAGGGACATAACGCAGCCTGGAAGAAGCTTTCGGAGGCCAGCATTTTCCGTAGCACGGTGAGTTCAAACACAGAAAAAGGCAATATAGCTTTATATTTATTTTTTTAGGGGGGGGTGGGGGGTCGCCTCAAAGCAAGAAGGTCGCTGGTTCGATCCTCGGCTCAGTTGGCGTTTCTGTGTAGAGTTTGCATGTTCTCCCTGTGTTTGCGTGGGTTTCCTCCGGGTGCTCAGGTTTCCCCCACAGTCCAAAGACATGCGGTACAGATGAATTGGGTAGGCTAAATTGTCCGTACTGTATGAGGGTGACAGGCCCAGACGACCGGAATGTGTAAAAAAAAAAAGTCGTAATCATACGGACAACAAGTCTAAATAGAGGACTTGTTCCAAAGAGCCGACCCCGCAACCATACGGGACTAATAAATTATTTACGTTTAACAATTGCAATAACTGCACGAAGGCTAAATCAATAACACTGACATTGATTGGCAGATTTGAAATGCAGTTCCTAGAGAAACAGAATACTAAATGAGAAAACAGTGGGCGTGGCTTGATTTATCTACTGCGAGCTGATTGGATGTAGTAGAGTAGGCATTTCTTTTGGAAAAATCAGGAAAAGGGTTTGGGGAGAGTTAGTACAACCTAACAGACTCCTCCTCCTCCTCACCATTTCTGTTGGTGGTTAAGTATGTTAGCCACGCCCAATACCTCAGGCAGACGTAAGGCCAAAGAAGAAGAAGAAGAATTATTTTTTAAGGGGTTATCACCTTTATTAGATAGGACAGTGGAGGAAAGACAGGAAAGCATTGTGAACAGAGAAAGGGGAAGGATCGGCACAGGACCTCTAGCTTTACTACATCCAATCAGCTCGCAGTAGATAAATCAAGCCACGCCCACTGTTTTCTCATTTAATATTCTGTTTCTCTAGGAACTGCATCACAATATGAAAAAAAAATGTTGCAGCGTCTGGTTCATGTGGACTTTAATGTGTTGCGTTTAACTATATTTGTACATATTTATACTGTGAATGTGGAATTATTTTGTTCATTCATGTGTCTGTAGAGTTTGTTGGTTTTGATGATTGTGAAATAATACTGAGCCTTTGTGCACCCGTCCAAATATGACATGAAAATAAAAACATTGCACACGCTGATTACGTTTTAAAGTAAATGTTCGTTGATAATTTGGTACTGTATGAAGTAAATCTTCATTTCAAATCTGCCAATCAATGTCAGTGTTATTGTTTTAGCCTTCATGAAGTTATTGCAATTGTTAAACGTAAATTATTTATTTAAATTATTTTCAGCTGTGCGTTTTTGTTTGTTTTATGGGTTGGAGATAATTATTGATTTAAAAAGGGATTTTCACTAGCTGTGTTTTCAACTACCTATTTTTATGCACATTTTGGAAGATCGCATACAAAATGCACAATGGAAATGCCTAGATGCGTATAAATAAATGGATACACAACTGAGTAGGACACATTTTTTGCCCAATAAGAAAAACTGTCCATAAACTATGTTGGAAAAACACATAACAGCATAAATGTCAGCTTGTGTATCAAAAAAGTCTTGTGATTTTGTTTTAACAGATCATGTGATGATAAAATTGTGTCCAATGGGACACATTAATGGACAAACCAGCAGAGCGAGCACCGTGTAAAACATCTGAAATGTTGTTTTGCTCCGTTCTAAAATTCCTCAGCTAAAGTCCATCATCATAGTGGTTCAGTTTTATAATTATTATATTATTATTATTATTATTATTATTATTATTATTATCTCCAGAACAGTCCTAAGCATCTGTCTGCACCCCCAAAAAGCATCTAACGCCTCCAAAATCCACAGCACGTTCATTGCATTTCGTCTTCTGAGGTGTTTTTTAATAATTTATTATACAAGATTAAGGCCCGCAGTGGCTTCAACTCCATTTTTTATTTTTTATATTTGGCAGCAGTTTATCAGGAAGTGATGATTTTGTTCTCTTTGACTCATTGGATGGAAATTCTGGAAACATTTTATGCGATATTCCGATTTTGCGCACAAATTAATTTGTGTAATCTTTCATGTTCAAATTTTTTTATCGCAGAAAAAACATACTAATTGTTACATATCATTATCATTGTTGTTGTTTTGTTAAAAATAGGGAAGAAAAAATTATTTAAAAAAGGAAAGGGGGAAAATAATAGTAAGGGAAAGAGAAAAATGCAAACAAGATTTAAAAAAGTGTACAGAAAACGTACTGAAAACCTACTGAATGCAGCCTTTTAACAACCACAATCAAATGTTGAGATACGCTGTCAATGTTGAAAGTAAATATGTGCAGTTAAACAGTATAAGATAATAATAGTTAATAAACAAATAAATTAAATCACTAATAAATAACTCAGTTAAAAGGAAGGAGAGTGCACCTATTAAATGGAAGGCACAGCTACGGATCTAGGGCAGTGTTTCTCAACCACACTCCTGGAGGACCACCATCACTGCACATTTTCCTGGTCTCCTTCACCAAACACACCTGATTCTGATCATCCGCTCATTAGCAGAGACTGAAAGACCTGTAAAGGGTGTGACAAAGGAGACATCCAAAACATGCAGTTCTGGTGGTCCTCCAGGAACGTGGTTGAGAAACACTGATCTAGAGAACATTTTTAAAAGCATTTCTCCTTTTTTTCCCACAGCTCGGTGGAGGCTCGGGAGGCCCAAAGGAAGGCATGCAGTACATCAACGAGAGCTTCCAGAATGATGGCGATACTCCTGATAACTCCAGATTCGCCGCAGACCTGGAGAATAAACTGGAGCCGGAGCAAAGTGGCACATCGCAGGAGAAAATAACCCGCAGCGCTTTCCTCCAGACTAACAGCAAACCTCCCGCCGACTCCAGCAGCCTGGCGGATTCAGAAAACACCGACGGAGAGAAGGAGGTCAAACCGATATTGACCAAAGAGCGGCGCACCGACGAGGGCTACAAGTCAGTGTGGTTCAGGGAAGACATCGACCCCGACACCAAAGAGGAAGTGGTCATCATTCCTGACACCGGAGAAGCGGATGGAGACCATGAGGATGATGAAGATGATGACAGCGAGGAGGATGATGAGGATGACCTGAGGACTGACATGGATTTGGAGGATGACGATAGACTGACGTCAATGTAGAGCTGATGGTTTGCTTTTTTGGTGTTGTTATGTGTGTAAATATGAGGTATATTTACAGTTTTAGTCAACATGAAATTAAAACTGACCCTATGTACTGTATATACAATGGCAGTGTTTCCCAACCCTGTTCCTGGAGGCACACCAACAGTACATATTTTGGATGTCTCCTTTATCTGATACATTCGTTTCAGGTTTCGGAGTCTCTTCTAATGTTTTGATGACTTGATTCAGATGTGTTTGATTGGGAAGAGGTTGCAAATGTGGATTGTTTGTGGTGTGCCTTCAGGAACAGGGTTGGGAAAAGTCGCGGTCACACTGCACTTTTTGCCCCATAGACTTGAATTCATACGCATGCGAATGTGACAGACCGGAAATGCAAGCTAATGCGACAAGTTTCGCATGTCGCTGCATTGCAAAATTCAGGCTTGGTGAACTCTGACCTTCAAAAACGCATCACATGATTGGCTGAGACTAATCGAGAATCAAAACATGACCTCTCTGTACAAAAATGTTATATATGGAGCAATCGCTCCCTTTTTTTAATGTCCAGTCATCTTGTTTAATCTCAACTCAACTCACTTTATTTCTATAGCACTTTCACAAACCACATGGATTGTCTCATAAAACGCTACAGGAAAATGTAAATATTCGCCAACTTTGGTGTAGTATCCGATCACTATTGCGGCCCGAAACCCAGCCCACAGTACAGTTACTTACATCACAAACATCAGCACCCTCCCCATGGTTCTCAAACAAACCATCCCCTCCCCCCAGTCTTCCAGAATTTCAGAGACAAATGTTGGCAGGTATGAGTGTGAGATATATAAACTCATGGTCGGTTTTCTGAGAAAAGAAAAGTCAAGTGCAAGATACTGTATAAATATATTTTGCTTCAGAACGCAGCAGCATGAGTGGTCTTTAATAAACCTAAAAGAGCACATGTCACTCCGCTGCTCATCCGTTTGCACTGGCTGCCAGTTGCTGCTCGCAACAAATTTAAAGCTCTGATGTTTGCTTACAAAGCGACTTCTGGCTTTGCTCCTTCTTATCTGCTCTCACTTCTGCAGATTTATGTGCCCTCCAGAAACTTGTGTTCTGTGAATGAACGTCGCCTCGTGGTTCCATCCCAAAGAGGGAAGAAAACACTTTCCCGAACTCTCGCATTCAATCTGCCCAGTTGGTGGAATGAACTCCCTAACTGCATCAGAACGGCAGAGTCACTCGCTGTCTTCAAGAAACGACTAAAAACGCAACTATTTAGTCTCCACTTTCCTTCCTAATCTGCAATTGCCTCTCTGGCTCCACCGCTATCTGTATTACAAAAAAAAAAAAATTTAATTAAAAAAATAATAATAGTAAAAAATACTATTGTTTTGCTTCTTACACTTTACATACCTGAAACTTGCCTACAGCACTTATCCATTGTTGCTCTTAGAGTTGTGTAAATTGCTTCGTTGTCCTCATTTGTAAGTCGCTTTGGATAAAAGCGTCTGCTAAATGACTAAATGTAAATGTAAATTTGTGAAACGTTTGGAAAAAATTTTTTTTGCAATTCTGAGAAGTATTTTTGTGCTTTTATTACTTAAAAAAAAAAAGTAACATTTTTAGCAATGTAAGTTGTTTAATATTAGTTCGTTGAAGAAATTATCGTACTTCAAAACGGTATAAATGGTTTGATATCAGTTCTTTCTAGAAATGTATGTACTTTAAAACCTCTGAAAAAAAATCATTTCAATTTTACATTCCTGGCACAACAAAATCAGATAGCAAATGGTTTCGATCAATGTTTCCTTATAGTTGACCGTATATTAGCCACATTTTACCACTGAAGTCACTCCAGGTCTGATTATAAATCTGGCTATATACAGTATGGCAGTACAGTCACTATGACAACCCTGTGCCATAAACAGTGTTTGTTTATTTGTTTGTGACGTTGCGGTGGACTGCTGACCTTTCTCTTAACTCATAACTCATGGACAATAATCATAAATTCTTTTATAACAACTTTCGATAAGCTTTAATAATTAACCTGAGAACAGTCACGGGTGATCTGCCTCTGAATGCTGTATTGTTTGATCATTAGATGCTATTATATAATCATCAGCACCGCAAACAAACTTGATGAAACAGATCAACCCTCACTTACAAAACATATTTTGTTTATTTTGTAAATCTTTTTCATAAGGGGTTTAAACACAGTTGTGTGGTGGCAGTGTGTCAATATAACCAGCTTATAATAGTAAAAATGTATTAATTCTATTATTTATAATCACACTTGATAAAAACAGAAACACTTTGATTGACATTCTCCCTTTGTATGTGTCATCAGAGGGGGAAAGCCCCGCCCACTAGTGACCATCTCCACCTCATTAGCATTGGTCTTGATTTTGAATCTGACACTATGCTGACACACAGGCATTTGTAGCTCCGCCCTTTTTTTAAAAGAGCATCTCATTTGAATTTAAAGTGGCCAAAACGCCGCAATTAGTATCAAAACCTAAAAGTGTCAGATTCAAAGATTTATAAAACATTATCTGTGTGGTATTTTGAGCTGAAACTTCACACACACACACAAACACAAACACACACACATACACACACACACACACACACACACACACACACACACACACACACACTCTAGGGACATCAGAGACTTACAAAGAATTCAATAATTTTCTTAAAAGACTTTTAAGTATTAAATCTGTCATGATTTATTTACTCACCCACCTCAAAATATCACTGTTATAATTAAATCATGTGTACAGTTTTAAATTAATATCATCTCAATTCATTAATTTCTTTTGTGTAATTTACTTACTTTAATGTTTTTAATGATCAGACTCAAATGGAGGAACAGAAATATATTAGATTTAATTAAATATACGTATTGGAATGGGTTTATGATGGATTTATATGTTAATGGGTCAGTAAATAGTAACAGAATTAGTATTTTTAGGTGAACAAATTCTTGAACCTTTACTGTCGTCTCCTTTTTGGAGTTTAGACTTAAAAATTATATTTATGTGGGGAAAAAAGTAATTTATTACGATCTTAAGTTACTTTTTTAACTAAAGGTGTTACTTAGTTACTTATAATTGAAGGTAATGTGAAGCTATATGTTATTTTTGCGTTTTGTAGTTTTTTTTATTTTAACAGTAATATAGGCTTAAATTGTAGTAATACTTTTTTACTCTACATTTGAGTTGTCAAGATTAGTAAAAGAATTATTTTAAAAAGTAAATATACACTGGCAAACGTGCCACGTGTAAATACACAGACGGTAAGTATGTTTATACTTTTGTATTGTTTATTTTTTTAATAAAAATTCTCTTAATCTGGTAGTATAAACTGGTAGTGTAATATCAGCGATAAATTGTGTACACTGAAAAAAAATATTCAGAGATTATTCCTTGGATTTACTCAATTTTTTTACGTTAAGTGGCTGCAAACAATTTATTTGGGCTGAATTTAAACAAATAAATTAAGTTGCTTTTGTTTAAATTCAACACAAGTTGTTTGGAACAGTTTTGCAGACATCATTTTATTCAGTGTAATAGCGCCATCTAGAGGAACATTACAAACAAAGGTAATAATACCTCAGTGATTCTAAATAACACTAGTCTGATGCTATTTTAATGTTCTTCTTTCATTCGACCTTTTGTAATGACAATTCACTAATGGAGCGTTATCAAATAAATAATGATTTCATATTTAAATTACTCAGTTTTTTACATAAATCATCTAAAAAAAATTACACACAAAAAAGCAATAATTTAACATAAAACTCAAAGGTTTATACATAAAGCGGTTACTAAAGGACAGTAACCGACTAAAGGACTAAAGGTTACTTAGGACAGCTTTTATACAGGATTTACAGCTTGTTGTTTTAACCTTCAAAATGTATCATCTATTATCATATAGTCTAAATTATTCCGTTTAACCGCGTAATGTATGAACTTCAGATTTGTTAAGGGATTAATATTTTACATAGGCGTATTTTACATCTATAAAAGAGAGGGAATCTGAAATAAAAAATCTTTTATATTATTAGATTATCCCTTAGAAAAAAATAACCATGGATTTATTAGAGTAAATTGCCGTTTTTAGGCTATTGTAAATATACTTGAAATAATGGTTAAATTTCAGACTGTTTGTAATGTTTATAGATTTGTAAAGTGTTTTTTCCAGCGTGACAGGGAGGATAAACTGGTATTACCTGATTTTGCTGACTGCTGGTGTTGATCTAACTGCAGGTTTCACTTTTTTTGGCGGCTTTTTACCTCAATTACATGCTAAAATGCACGCTATGGAAAGTTGTTGTTTTACATTGCAGTAGCTCAATGCATTCGACATGTAGGCCTAGATCTGTAAAGATGGCCTTCTGGATAATATATCAAACTGAACATCAGGAAAGAAGAGGCGATTGAAGTCACTTGACATGAGAAACTGGTGATCTGGGATTTTTATTTATTTATTTATTTATTTAATTTATATTACCATATAACCAGTGGCAAGAAAACAAACTAATAAAAAATTATAATACATATATAGTTGATGTCAGAATTATCAGCTCCCTTTTGATTGTTCTTTTCTTTTTTTAAATATTTCCCTAATGATGTTGAATAGAGCAAGGAAATTTTCACAGTATGTCTGATAATATTTTTTCTTCTGAAGAAAGTTTTATTTGTATTATTTCAGCTAGAATAAAAGCAGCTTTAAAATTTTTATGAACCATTTTAAGGACAAAATTATTAGCCTCTTTAAGCTTTATTAGTCCCTTTAAGCTTATTTTTTCCAGACTGTCTTTAGAACAAACCAATGTTATACAATTAAATGTCACTTTAAACTGTATAGAAGTGTCCTGAAAAATATCTAGTCAAATATTATTTACTGTCATCATGGCAAAGATAAAATAAACCAGTTACTAGAAATTAGTTATTAAAACTATTATGTTTAGAAATGTGTTGAGAATTAAATGAGTATAAAATATAATAAAATATTGCCAAACATATTCTCACAATAATGCATAACCTCTAGAATTATGTAAATGTTCAATTATAGATAATTATATTGTCGTTGTGGAGAAAGCTAGCCATTTACTCCATTTATTTTCAAAGAGCTCTAATTGTAATCAAAGTGCCTGTGTCATTTTCTCCATTTCCTCAACTTCTGCTGTAATTTTGAACCATTTGTCTTTAGTTGGTGGGTCTTCTTTATACCATTTCCGGGTTATATCTTTTTTACTTGTTGCCAAAAATATCTTAAATAGATATCTATCCTCCTTTTCAAGTTTAATAGGAATGATCTGGGATTTTTAAACGAGTGGAATGTCTAAATCAGGGGTGTCCAAACTTGGTCCTGGAGGGCCGGTGTCCTGCATATTTAGCTCCAACTTCCTTCAACACACCTGCCTGAATGTTTAGTATACCTAAAGAGCTTGATCAGCTGGTTCAGATGTGTTTAATTGGGGTTGGAACTAAAATAAGCAAGACACCGGCCCTCCAGTACTAAGTTTGGACACCCCTGGTCTAAATGGTGACATAATTTTACTTTTTGGTTGAACTGTTCCTTTAATCATCTCCAAAGTGGTCCGTTTTGACTTCAGAAGTCATAATAATCAAAGTTATAGTCGAAGTCTGTGTATAATCAAGCATCTCTGAACACACAACATGCTTAACTTTGAAGCAGATGAGCTACAACAGCAGAAGAACAGTAAACTACTATAGATTGGAAACAGGTTGTTTGGTTAGATAAATCTTTATTTCTGCATGCTACAACAAAAATTAATAATCTTTTCTTGCAGTATGTCCATAGACATTAAAGGTCTAGAGTCAATAAAGCTCTAATTGACCAGACTTGACTAGTGGCTGGTGTTATAGAGATTTTCTTGCTACTTCGGACCCTTATTGAGCATTATTTTAGTCTAACTACTTTGTGTATTTTTGCTGACTAAGTCCTTGTTGACAGAAGTAGGCTATAGTCATCTTTTAATAACCATAAGTCACAAGCTCAAATAATTTCAAATTTACTCAAGTGTTGCTCTTTTAAATTGATTGGTAATAAAATAAACATTTGAGGTAATGCAAATGTTTTGATGAATTTTGATCTTTACTTTTGTTTTGATTTCTAATCCAAGAGAAAACATGTCACCGTGTCGGATCTTCTTAGGATCATACGTCTGCATACTTGTGCAGTGTTTGACTGAATGAGTAAGTGCAGCATCCTGTTCTTTTGCTGTCAAATCCTTGTGTAAATGAACACACCCCTACGGTAAGCAAAGCGTCACGAGACTTGCTCGCGCGCGCTGGAAAGTGTTGAAAGTTTACCACACTATGGTGAAGGACTGTGTCATGAATATTAATATGGTCACATGACGACCGATGTTTTTTGCATAAAGGCCATTCAATAGTATAACATATTACTATGGTTTTATTCATGTTAAATTTGTTTTGTTAAACTAATCATAATTTCGTGGTTTATTTATAATAAATCTGTGGTTAAACAAAGTTGTAAACGTGCTAAATATGCTATAATTTTGCTTAAATAACAATGGTTATTTACAGAAGGTAAAGCACTTTCAGTTTTATCATTAACAAATATCATGTCCAACTGTTATTGTTTACATCCATTTTAATTTCAACGCGATTTTAAAGATTAATTACTGTCAAATTTGAACACATTTACCTTATTATCTCAGTTTGTAGTGATATACTTTTTATTTTTATGAGAAAAACGATTTATTTAATTTAAACGTATATATTTATTCACGTATTATCTTCCGCTTTGTTATTTTAACATATTGAAATGTATGACATCGTGAAATAAATAAAAAAACGACAAAATGACACGCTCATAAATATTACCACTCGAGTCCTGCATGTTAAGCAGCTCTCATGAATATTAATGAGCAATCCTTCACAATAGTAGCACTTGTAGTTTCGCCGGCGCTCGCAGGTGAGCGAGGAAGTTCCCTTCCCAGCGTCACTTCCAGACTTCTAGCAGGTGCCATGGCCAAAAAGTTAGTCTTATAAATATTAGTTTCGCGTGTAATTATGAGAAAGTGCGTTAAATATGAAATAAATCTGTGTGAAGGGACGCGACTCCTGTTGCCATGGCTTTGTCGGAGTTGTATACAAAGGTATGCTTCACTTTCAGAAGTTTTTAGAAAGTTTTTAAACACGATGTTTTATTCTTGCTTGATTAGCCTACATTTTCGAAGATTATAGTGTTGTCAAGCATTTCTGAACGATATTATTGAGTTTAATTTAGTTGCAGCTGTGACATATGGTGTTGGTGTTGTTATTGTTGACAGCGCAGTGTTAGCACAAAAACAAAATATACACACGTCTTTCAAAGCATAATCTCTTATGAGATCGCGTTTTGTATTGTAGTATAACAGGGTGTGGATCCCTGATGCTGAACATGTCTGGAAATCTGCGGAGATTTTGACAGATTTTAAGCCTGGTGATTCTGAGTTGGAACTACAGCTGGAGGATGGGACGGTAAGACAAAATCATCTTTAAATATTAAAGCTTACTGACGAACTGTGTATAGAGTATTTTCATCAATTAATAATGGTGGATTTACCATACTTATTTTGGTTTTATGCAGCACTGTTGCCTCCAGAAAGCTTTCTTAGGGGTGGCCGAGTGAGGCCACACCAAATCTTGAGGGGGCACACAAAAATAATGAATTGTTTATATATTGTGAATAATGAGTAATGTTATGTTTTTGTTTCTGGTAAAGGAAATAATGAAGTTTTACTTAATTCCATTAATTACTCTTGAAATAGTGTAGTTTATTCCTTAAAATAATTCAGCAAGTACACATGCAAACCAAATAAAAATCAATGTTTAGTTTAAAAACATTTTTCAGGTAAGTTATTTTTCACATACTTTTATTGTACAGAATACAGTATATGCCATGTCTAAAATTAATGAAGGTTAATGAATGAATTAATTAATAAAACAAACAAATGAACAAACTGAACAAAAGATGTTACTTCATATACACACTTACTATAATGGACCCTAATATTATCATTTATCCATGTTCCTTTTTGAGCCACAATATTATTTATACATATTCTTCTATTGATTCAACACAAAATTAGTGAGATTTATGGCCCTTTTAAGTCCACCAGCAAAATAATGGAGTTGCTAAATAAACTAGATTTTAAAAATGCTGATTTCTTTTTGGGGGATTTGGGATTTTTTATCAGATAAAACACACCTTTTTAATTAAAAAAATAATAATTTCTTAATAAAAAGTGTGCAATATCAGTGAATCAGCTACGTCGGTGGCGCTGATCAATCCACAATAATTTAGTGGCTGCATTTTATTTAATAATGAATCAATTTTTTATTGAAACATTGTGAATTTAAGTAAGTACATTTAAATAAATAATATCAACAACAACATTCATATTGGGGTGGCCAGAATTTACACACCCTTGGGGCGTCCCTGCTATGCAGTTGTTTTTTCAAATCATAATAAGTTATTTAAAGGTAAACACTGGTTTGGTAAAATTAGGGAACGGAAGAAATGTAAAGCAAATTCTGTAAAAATAAAAATATAATAAAAGTTTAGCATCTTATTTTTAAAATGTTTATTAACTAATCTACATTCGAAACTGCATTAGAAAACTACATTACCCTTGAAGAACCACAAATTGCATAATTAAAAATTAAATCTAGAAGACATATTTTGATAAAAATCCATATTTTGCATGAAGTTTGAAAAATGTAGCTTTTATAGATACAACAAATAACTTTTATGGTATTGTATTTTTCTGTAGTTTTTAATATGTTATTCGCAGTGCTTCATGGGATTGTAGTTCTTTCCCTCATACATTTCTTAGACTTTTTTTAAATAATTTTGACAAATTTTCATCAATTGTTTGCATTAAAAATCAATGTTTGTAATATTGTGATTCTCCTCCTCGCTAGTAGATTTGATTTATTACTTTTAACTCTTTTTACTATTTTTATCTGTTGAATGCTTGATTCTGATTGGCTGGTAAGCATTCTAAGGCGTGCAGTTGTTTTCAGATAAACACACAGCTAAAGTAGTTCCGGCAGGTTTTGAGTGCATTACAGAAGGCACACACAGAAGCATTTTGAGGGCAAAAATATGAAAATGTCTGAAATATAACATCTGAACAGTAGCTTTTGGTGTGGGAACTGTAGAATAAGCTGAATTAACCACTACAGTCTTTTAAATTATTAGAAAACAATGCACACCTGAGTTGGTTATTCATCTAATAAACAGTCCAATTACTCCTTACTTAACAAAGACTTTTTTAAAAAGTTCTCTGTGGCCTGGACTAAGGCACTCTACAAAAAGTGGGCGGGACTAAGACAATATATACAAAATTGGGCGTAACTAATGTGCTCTATACACAAAGTGGGCGGGACTAATACACTACAAAATGGGAGGGCCTAATGCTCTTTATGCAAACAGTAAGTGGAACTAAATGCACTGTATACAAAAAGTCGGCGGACTAATGAGCTGTATACAAAAATTGGGAGGGACTAATGCACTTTATACATAAAGTGGGCGGGACTAATTCACTCTACAAAAAGTGGGCGCAATTCATGCACTCTATACAATAAAGTGAGTGGAATTAATGCACTCTACAAAAAGTGGGTGGGACTAAGGCACTACAAAAAGTGGGCGGGACTAATGCACTTAATACAAAAAGTGGGCGAGATTAATGCACTCTACAATAAAGTGAGTGGAACTAATGCACTCTACAAAAAGTGGGCGGGACTAAGGGACATTACAAACAGTGGGCAGTACTAATACACTTGATACATAAAGTGGGTGGGACTAATAGACTTTATACAAAAAGTGAGTGGGACTAATGCACTTTATACAAAAAAGTAGGTGGGACTAAAGCACCCTATACAAAAAATGGGCTGGACTAATGCACTCTATACAATAAAGTGAGTGGAATTAATGCACTCTACAAAAAGTGGGTGGGACTAAGGCACAACAAAAGTGGGTGGGACTAATGCGCTTAATACAAAAAGTGGGAGGGACTAATGCACTTAATACAAAAAGTGGGCGAGATTAATGCACTCTACAATAAAGTGAGTGGAACTAATGCACTCTACAAAAAGTGGGCGGGACTAAGGGACTCTACAAACAGTGGGCGGTACTAATACACTTGATACATAAAGTGGGCGGGACTAATGCACTTTATACAAAAAAGTGAGTGGGACTAATGCACTTTATACAAAAAGTGGGTGGGACTAAAGCACTCTATAAAAAAATGGTCTGGACTAATGCACTCTATACAATAAAGTGGGTGGCACTAATGCACTCTACAAAAAAGTGGACTGAGTCTATGCACTCTATACAATCTAATCTAACTTGTGAATCTTTCTTGGAGGAGTTGCATTATCCTCTGGAAGGGGGTGAAAAGTTGCCACCCCTCCGAAACCCCGATATCCTGGTGGGTGAAAACGACCTGACGGCTCTCAGTTACCTTCACGAGCCGGCCGTGCTGCATAACCTCAAAGTCCGATTTGTTGAGTCCAAAATCATCTACACGTATTGCGGTAGGTTGGATATTGAGTGGGTTTTTGGTCATGAACATGTTTTTTTTTTTACTACATCAAGCTTATATTTATTAATTTATTATTTGTAGGAATAATTTTGGTGGCTGTCAATCCATATAAGCAGCTTCCCATCTATGGAGATGCAGTCATCCATGCATACTCCGGGCAAAACATGGGCGATCTGGACCCTCATATATTCGCTGTGGCTGAAGAAGCCTACAAACAAATGGCCAGGTGATGCAAATTTTATAAATGCTGTTTTGACTTTAAATTAATTTAATAGGAAAAATTATTGTGAGAATGCAAATTCAAAAGTGCTTATGGGAGTTAAAAGTATATAAAAAAAAAATTGGATAATGTTTTGCTAACATTCATACTTGTTTGGGGGGGGGGGGGTGTTAAAATTCATTAGACTATTAGAGGAACTCCATTTTAAGTCTATCATACTCTCTTTGATTTTAAAAAAAAATTCATTTTAAGAGGATTTCTATTGGTTATATTATTTTATTTATGTATGTTATGGAGTATTTCATTTTATTTATATATACTCTATTTGAAACTATTATTTATGAATGTTTTTTTTTCCACTTTTCAAATGTAATTTGTTTACATGTACTAAGATCTTATATATATGAAAAAGTTCCATAAATATTTATTTTAAGAGTCTTCTATTCTAATATTTACATAAATGTTAAAAAAAAGGTTATAGAATGTTAGAGAACAGTCCCTTTTGGGTTACTTTTTTTTATTTATAGTGCGAATCCGAGTATATTGACTACTGCAAACTTAGTAAATCACAACGAATAACTCATTGCAACAAGAAATTACAAATTCTGTCCTTCCATAATTTTTGTATCTGAAAAGAAAACTCGAATGAATGTATGTGCAATAAGGTCAGCTGCAAAAATAACAGTGTTAATGCCGTTTAATCATAGTTTTATTTTTGGATAAATACAAACATTGCAAAAAATGCTTACTTAGATTTTTTTTGTCTTGTTTCTAGTCCAAATATATAAAAATTATTGAATCAAGAAGCATTTTATAGACAGCCAAAACATACTGTCTTGTTTCAAGAAAAAAATATGTCAAGATTTAATGAGTTTTTCCTTAAAATAATCAAAAAAATTAATCTTATGTTAAAAGGAAAAGCCAAATGACTTTGCTTACCCCGTTGGCAGATTATTTAGCTTGTTTTAAGGTAAATCATGCTTAATTTTGGCATATTATTTCTCAAAACAAGACACTCTTTTTCTTGTCTAGAAAATGCTTCTTGATTTAAGATTCTTTAGATAATTGCACTCGAGACAAGACAAAAAATGTAGATAAAGCATTTTTCGCATTGAAGAAATGCAGAATAACCAACAAACTTTATAGGCTGAGCTCAAAATGAGTGAGCTCATATTTTAGTGAAGCATCTTTTGTTCAACTTTCAGGAATAACAAAAATCAGTCCATCATTGTGAGCGGTGAGTCCGGGGCCGGAAAGACTGTATCTGCTCGCTATGCTATGAGATACTTTGCCATGGTCAGCAAATCCGGCAGCAAAACCCGAGTGGAGGACAAAGTTTTGGCGTCCAATCCGATCACTGAGGTAAAATGTTCGAAATCTAAGATCAGATCTTAGAATCATCATACAATTTCTTTTTTACTGATCTTATTATTATTATTATTAATTGGGATAATCGAATGCGCCTGCAGGCCATTGGAAATGCAAAAACAACCCGAAATGACAACAGCAGTCGATTTGGAAAGTACACTGAGATCAGTTTCGATAAAAGATACCAAATCATTGGTGCCAACATGAGGACGTATCTTCTGGAAAAGTCCAGGGTGGTGTTTCAGGTGAATATCATTCGAGAGACGTGCTGAATAATAAATGTAGATTTCTCATTGTGTCTCGTTTGTTCTCCCTGCAGTCGGAGAACGAGAGAAATTATCACATCTTCTACCAAATGTGTGCTTGTGCAAATCAGCCGGAGTTCAAAGGCTTACGACTGTGTGAGTGTCTCTCTCCTGCACGTGTTACATCAGTCTTTAACGCAGCACAGAAATCAGCGGAGTTAAAAAATGGTTTGAGAGGTGTCGGCACCAGTGGTGTAGTGGTTAGTGCGTCAACACATGCACTCCGGTGCTCAGGGTGACCCGAGTTCAATACCTCCCTCGAAGACCTATGCTCATCCTTCCCCTTTCTCTGCTCCCCATGCTTTCCTGTCAATACTCTACACTGTCCTATCCATTACAGGTGAAAACCCAGAGAAAAAAAAAACTGTTTTGAGAGGATTGTGCACAATCCAGTCATAATTATAAGTGTGCTACTAATACTATTTTTGCATTCTTGAAATGTTCTAGACTTCACAAGTGATTAATAGATTAATGCATATATTGTGTAGGTTTAATGGCATCTTAAATTCTTATGTAAATTTTAGCTTTACATTGTAACTCAATATCTGATACCATAAAAAACATGTATATTTCTAAGATAGATAGATAGATAGATAGATAGATAGATAGATAGATAGATAGATAGATAGATAGATAGATAGATAGATAGAGGGATAGATAGAGGGATAGATAGATAGATAGACAGATAGAGGGATAGATAGACAGATAGATAGATAATTTGATAGATAGACAGACAGACAGACAGACATATAGATAGATAGATAGATAGATAGATAGATAGATAGATAGATAGATAGATAGATAGATAGATAGATAGATAGATAGATAGATAGATAGATAGATAGATAGATAGATAGATAGATAGATAGATAGATAGATAGATAGATAGATAGATAGATAGATAGATAGATAGATAGATAGATAGATAGATAGATAGATAGATAGATAGATAGATAGACAGACAGACAGATAGATAATTTGATAGATAGATTATTTGATAGATAGATAATTTGATAGATAGATAATTTGACAGACAGACAGACAGACAGACAGACAGATAGATAGATAGATAGATAGATAGATAGATAGATAGATAGATAGATAGATAGATAGATAATACAATAAATGTATTGTATACTATGTATTTATATACACATACAGATTTTATTCCTGTCTATAGTGCTCATGTTCTTCATCTGTTGATAGTGGGCGCAGAAAAGTTTAATTACACACGTTTGGGTGGTGAGATCGAGATCGAAGGTGTGGACGACCGTGCTGATATGGCAGAAACACGCAGAACCTTCAATCTACTGGGTAACAGATGTTTACAATAAAAAACATGATTAATAATTACATCGCTGCTGTAAACAAAAATGCATCAATGTTTCTCTTCAGGTCTCAAGGAAAACTTTCAGACTGACGTGTTTAAGGTGCTCGCCGCAATCCTGCATTTAGGAAATGTAATAATCAAGGCAAAGGACCCAGAGAAATCATTCATCGGTGTAAGAAATATTCATCCGTTTACTCGTAGACAGTCAGTGTTGGGAAAGTTACGTTTAAAAGTAATCCATTACAATCCTGCGTTACTTCTTTCTAGCTAAATAAGTTACTTAGTTACTTTTTAACAAAAGTAATGTGCTACATTTGTGTTGCTTTTTTCATCTGTGCTGGACTTTTTTTATAATAACAAAAAACATCTATTATTCTGATAAGTTACTTTTAAAAGTAATCCATTACAATCTTGTGTTACTTCTTTCTAAAAGTAACTAAATTAGTTACTTGGTTACTTTTTAACAGAAGCACTGTGCTACATTTGTGTTGCTTTTTTTCAGGGATGTACTTGCTTGTTTTTTTAATAATATCATAAACAAAACATCTATTTTGCTGATAAGTTACTTTTAAAAGTAACCCTTTACAATCTTGCGTTACTTCTTTCTAATAGTAACTAAATAGGTTACTTAGTTACTTTTTAACAGAAGTACTGTGCTACAATTGTGTTGCTTTTTTCATCTGTTCTGGCCTTGTTTTTTCTTTATGATAACAAAGAACATCTATTATGCTGATAAGTTACTTTTAAAAGTAATCCATTACAATTTTGTGTTACTTCTTTCTAAAAGTAACTAAATTAGTTACTTAGTTACTTTTTAACAGAAGTACTGTGCTACAATTGTGTTGCTTTTTTCATCTGTTCTGGCCTTGTTTTTTCTTTATGATAACAAAGAACATCTATTATGCTGATAAGTTACTTTTAAAAGTAATCCATTACAATTTTGTGTTACTTCTTTCTAAAAGTAACTAAATTAGTTACTTAGTTACTTTTTAACAGAAGTACTGTGCTACAATTGTGTTGCTTTTTTTAACAAGGATGTACTTGCTTGTTTTTTTAAATAATATCATAAACAAAACATCTATTTTGCTGATAGGTTACTTTTAAAAGTAATCCCATACAATCTTGCGTTACTTCTTTCTAACAGTAACTAAATAAGTAGTTACTTTTTAAGAAAAGTAATGTGTTGCGTTTTTCTGCTTTTTTATGTAAAATGGACTTGCTTGTTTGTAATAATAACATAAACACATTTTCTATTTTGCTGATAAGTTACTTTTAAAAGTATTTCTATACAATCTTGCGATACCAATTTCTAAAAGTAACTAAATAAGTAACTTAGTTATTTTTTTAACAAAAGCAGTGTGCTACATTTGTGTTGCTTTTTGTATACAAGATGTACTTTCTTGTTTGTAATATTAACATAAGCCATCTAATATGATGATAATTCATTCATTCATTTTCTTTTTGGCTTAGTCCCTTTATTAATATGGGGTCAACACAGCGGAATGAACCACCAACTTATCCAGCATATTTTTTATGCAGCAGATGCCCTTTTAGCTTCAACCCATACACACCCATTCACACACGTACACTACGGACAATTTAGCTTACCCAGTTCACCTGTAGTGCATGTCTTTGGACTTGAGGGGGAAATCGGAGCACCCGGAGGATACCCACGCCAACTCAGGGGGAACAAGCAAACTCCATACAGAAATGCCGAATGACCCAGCCGAGGCTCGAACCAGCAACCTTCTTACTGTGAGGCGATTGTGCTACCCACTGCGCTACCGTGCTGCCCAGTTATGCTGTTCAGTTACTTTTAAAAGTAATCCATTAAAATCTTGCATTACTTCTTTCTAAAAGTAACTAAATAAGTTACTTAGTTACTTTTTAACGAAAGTAACCTGCTACATTTGTGTTGCTTTTTTCATCTGGGCTGGAGTTGCTTGTTTGTAATAATAACATGAACAAATGATCAATTTTGCTAATAAGTTAGTAAACATGCATTAGTAACATTGCAACATGCAACAGTTTACATTGAACTACCCTTTAGTAAACACTGTTTATGCATCATACACTCTGAAAATTAAAAAGTAATGCATTACTTTACTTAGTTACTTGAAAAAGTAATCGGATTACATAACTCAAGCTACTTGTAATGCATTACTCCTAACACTACAGATAGTATCAGATAGTATCAGAACACTACAGATAGGATCAAAGATTATTTTGTAAATTAGGATAAGATAGTATGTCTCAGGGTTATTTAAGGCCTGGGAAAGTAAATAAAAACAAACACAGGTCCTTGAAAGTGCTTAAATTAAATTGGAATCATAACTTGTGTATGGTGTTGTTTCAACAATTGTGCTGTGCTGCAGTCAAAAACAAAACGAAAAAACTGTGAGAAATTCTTAATTTAAAGATTCATTCATTCATTTTCCTTCGGCTTAGTCCCTTATTTAGCAGGGGTCTCCACTGCGGAATGAACCACCACCTATTCCAGCACACATACAAAAGTGTGTGATTTGAAATCAATGGTGCTTTAAAAACTCCTTATATCTGCTGTTCGTGAAATAGTGGGAACCCTGATGTTTACTCTGCTCCTTCTCCAGTCCAGAGACCCTCACCTGGCCATATTCTGCGACCTCATGGGCGTCAGCACGGAAAACATGAGCCGCTGGTTGTGTCATAGACGGATAGTCCTGTCAACAGAGACCGTAGTCAAACCGCAGCCCCGGGAACGTGCTGTCAATGCACGCGACGCTCTTGCTAAACACATCTACGCCCATCTTTTCAACTGGGTCATTCACAAAATCAACCACGCGCTGATGGTCCCTGGCAAACAGCATTCGTTTATTGGGGTCTTGGATATTTACGGGTACGTCAAATTAAATTCAATTCAATTCAATTTAGCTTTATTTGTATAGCGCTTTTACAATGTATATTGTGTCAAAGCAGCTTCACATAAATGGTCATAGTAACTGGATCAGGGTAGTTCAGTTTTTAGTGTTTAAGTTCAGTTCAGTTTAGCTCAGTTCAGTGTGGTTTTAAGTCATTACTGAGAGTCCAAGCACTGAAGAGCAAATCCATCGATGTGTAGCTCTACAGATCCTGAACCATGGCGAAAGCGGAGAGGGAAAAAAACTTCACCAATAGGAGAGTGAAGAAAAAAAACCTTGAGAGAAACCACACTCAGTTCGGCAAGACCATTTTAAATTAAAAGAAATTTAATTTTTAAATTAAAGAAATCAGAATTTACTATGTTTACTTTAGCTAGTGAATTGAATTAATAAAAAAAAAAAAGTTTGCTTTTGGTAATCTTCAATCTGCTTCTGTGTTTTGATTGGCTGCTTCTCTGATGATGTTCAGCCACAGTATTCTTAGCCACGCCCATCTTACCGTTAGTTTGCTATGAGGGAATGATTCATGAAAAGAAAGCTCCGTTTCCCTACTTACGATTCCATTTTAGTCGGAAATTTATCAATGTAAAATAAAAATAAAGACTTTAAAATGATATATGTGAGAATTTTCATATATTTATGTTGTTTTTGATTTGATTTGATTTGATTTCATCATACATAAAATATCATTAACAAAAAATACATTTAAACATGGTCGAAAATAGAGCGGGACGAAGCATAAGCTTATTATTCTCCCACCCCATTACCACATACATCATTCGTTTATTACTTAAACTTATTTATTCTTTTACTTATCTTTTATTTTTACATGCAACATATTTGATCCTTTTGGCATCTTTGACAAATAATATGTTTGATTCTTTTTGTACCTTTTCAATTTGTAATGTAGCCCCAAAGAAGAAGAAAAAAATATATATAGTACTGCAAATTGATAAAAGAAAACAACAACAACAACATAGTACTGCAAATAGCCATTAATGAAAATTTCATCATACCTTTCTCTTTTATCCTTTTTCAATCACCTTCCTCATTATATTCCTTTATCATTATATTTCTACAGTTTTTTTTTAAAATTGATTAATATCCTGATGTTGTTTTAGAGTCTGATCTAGACTGTTCCATAGTTTTACACCACAGACAAACATACACAAACTTTTTAAAGTTGTTCTTGTTTTCAACCTCCTAAAATGTAGTTCTCTCAGATTATACCCCCCTTGTCGTTTTTTAAAAAACCCTTTGTATACATTTCGGAAGTTTTTTTTCCTAAACATGAATTGTGCTGTTTTAAATTTCCTGTTTTTATTGCCAGTGTATGAACAGCTTTTAATATAAGTCTCAAAATAAGATCTTCGTGACCTACCAGGTTGTCTGAAAGCCTGTAATGTGATTTTTAAGTTAAAGGATGATTTTGCTTGAACAATTGAATGGATGTAACATTTATGAGCTCCTTTCTGTCTTTCTATGGCACACTTCATTCTTATAATGTTCAAAATAATGCAGAAAGACACATTCTATACTGCAAACATTGTAATTTGTAGTATATAGTTTCAAATATACTTTTTAAAATCATATCTATCCTAACACTTTGTATCAGAATACATTTTTTGGTCCAAGGTTATATTAATTGGCCTTAACTAATATGTACTTAGACTGAATGAATAAACTGTTACAGTGTACTTACTTTGTAAATACAGTGTACTTATGCTTAATTAAATAGCTGTGCATAATTGCATCAGTTATTCATTTTTGTTTAATAGTTACAGTACACTGTTGACCATCCCTTACACTTTAACTCGCTCTTAAACTTAAGTATACAACCAAATATGTCCCGAACCCCACCTCAAAAGCACCAGAAGTGTTGAGCAATACCTTATGAACACATTTAACACATAATATTTATTATATATTAAAGTTAGTATATAGCAGTTAAGGCCACTTAATATAAAGTGGGACCCATTTTTCTAATGTTGTTCTGTCTTTCTCTAGATTTGAGACCTTCGAAATTAACAGTTTCGAGCAGTTCTGCATCAACTACGCCAATGAGAAGCTGCAGCAGCAGTTCAACCTGGTTAGTCCATCTTTGCTGTATTTTAAAGCATTTTATTAATATAATTATTTCTGTATACAGCTATTCAGATCATCCAGTGAACATGTTTTTTCATTTTCTTTATGTTTGCAGTATATAATCGCAGAAAAAGAGTATCAGACATTCAATCGACGCATTCAAATATAGTTTTTTATCTCTTTATTTTTGACATTTTTGAAGTAAAAGTCTAAAAGTGTCAGATTTGTTTACAAATGAATGCTGCGTCCTATTTTACTTTCTAATACTCATCAAGTTGAGTGCCCACTAGACACACTAGAAAGCACTGTACAGATCACATCTACCACCGAACTAAATATCCCATCATGTCTTGCAGTCACACACCTGTCACCTCTTGATTACACACACACACACACACACAGCTGAAGCTCGTCATGAATGATTAATTGGACTATATATTCATCACACACACACATTCGGGGCTGAGTCTTGTTATCCGTAATGATACGTGTTTTTGACCCCTTGTTTATTTATTGTTTAGGTTGTTTTGCCCCTTGCCGCGACCTCTTTGCCTGTAACTACGACTACCCTCATGCTACCATTTGCTCCTGTATTAAACTCGCCAGCCCGACCACTCTTGAATAAATCTGCATTTGGATCCTCACCTCTGTTGCCACCCCAATCATTACACATACTAAGCCCTAAACTATACTTTATTAAGAGTAACAGTAAGAGTGTGCAATTGTCATGTCTGTTGTGAGAAATAAATTGATTTGAAGTGTAATTTATAAAAAAAAAACGTGTCACTGATTATCATCCCATCAGCACGTGTTTAAACTGGAGCAGGAGGAGTACATGAAGGAGGACATTCCCTGGACGCTGATCGATTTCTACGACAATCAGCCCGTTATTGATCTCATCGAGGCTAAGATGGGCATTCTGGACCTTCTAGATGAGGAGTGTCTGGTGAGAAGAAGAATAATGTGGAGAAAATATTCAGTCCTAACTAAAATGAAGAAAGGGATGGTTTATATTTAATTGCATAGCCCCGCCCACACTGTAATCTCATTGGTTTAAAACATATAAATCAAAACCTGAATATTAAGCAGCTGTGTTTTGATTGGCGGTTTTAAAAGATACAACTTCTAAATATATCACAGAAAAAATGTATCAAACATTTAAAATGTCTGTCGGTAAAATATTCTGTCTTAACTGTGATAAAAGAATGTGAAGAAGAGCTGGTTTATATTGTGTTGAGTAGCCCCACCCACATCAAATCATTGGTTCAAAACACCTCCCTGCTGAATATTAAGTAGCTATGTTCCGATTGGCTGTTTTAGAAGATACACATTCTGAAATGCATATAAATTAGATTTTAATAAACAGAATATGATTGATTTGTGTGTATTGTGTTAGTTTGTTTACTAACAAAGTCTTTTTTGATATCTCGCAGTTCCCGCAAGGCACTGATAAAAACTGGCTGCAAAAACTGTACAATTTTCTAGGCTCAAAGCCGCTGTTTGAGAAGCCTCGTTTGTCTAATGACTCTTTCATGATTCAGCATTTTGCTGATAAGGTGAGAAACTATTCATTTATTTGTTTGTTTGTTTATTTATTAAAAAAAATTAATTGCCATTTGATTGGCAACTCTAAAAATGCATTAAAAATAGTTTGGCAAAACTTTTAAAATTCCAAACCTATTATTTGAAAATTACAAACTTGTTCTGAAACATTGAAACATCAGGGGCTCTATTTTGACGGTCCATGCGCAGAGCGCAAAACGCAGGGCACAAACGCTTTCAGGGCGTGTCAGGACTTTTTTTAAGGACAATTTAAGGACGGGAAATCTGCCTTGCGCTTCAGTGCATGATCTAAAAGGGTTGAGTTTATTTTCTTAATGAGTTATAGGTGTGTTTTGAGAATAAACCAATTAGAGTCTCATCTCCCATTCCCTTTAAGAGTCAGCTGCGTCGCGTCAAGAGCGCATTCGCTATTTACAGAACACAAAGTAAGTCTAAGTGGAAAAACTGAGCATTTCACTAGCAAACAGTTAACAGTTAACAGCTTTTTAACAGAAAACTGTTAAACAGAGCATCTACTGCGTGAGAATGAGAGATAATGGATCACTTTCACTTTCGCTCTTGGATATGGAAACCTTTACGCACAGACATCAATTAGTCTATAAATAATTGATTTCGTTTGTTAGGCGCAAATATTCGTTTTAAAACTATTTCTAAATTCAGTTCTAATTTCCAGCAAACGAATAAATTAATAATAATAACCAAATGTGGTCAAAAATCTGAGTTATATCCTAAAACACATGCTGTGCCCCATATGGTCTAAAACCTGACAGGTGGGCAAATCTAAGCTTGTTTTTAATTAAAGAAATATAAATATGGATATAATAAATAATACTGCTAATAATAATAACATTATACAAAAGCAAATTGTTATGAATGAACTGAAAAAGCCTCCCGAGATGAAGAAGACATAAAAGCAGTGATTTTTCATATTTATGTAGGCTAGAAAATAATATGTTTTGTAATATTTTAATCCTTTATATTTATATTCTATATCTAGTCTTATTATATCCTATATATATCCTTAATATTTACATTTTTTCATATGTAAAGATATTTGCCTATTGCTCTCTTGTGTGTATTAAGCAGTGCGCAAGCGAGGCGCAACTTTGCGCCGGAGTTTAGACCTTGTTAGTTTTGGTCTAATGAAAAATCTAATATAGTTTCTCAAAATAGCAACGTGCCAGCGGTCCGCCTCAGAACGCCTCCCTTTTTAGACCAGAACGCCTATGGGCGCACAAACGAGCGCTAATGCATTTGCTATTTAAACAGCGTAGCGCAACGCCTCAAAACGACTCTTGCGCCAAGCTGAAACTACCAGAAGGTTATTGCGCCGCGCCTTGCGCCACACTGCGCTGGGTGTATGATAGGACCCCAGGAATCAAATAAAAAATTATTATTAACATAATAATAATAATAAATCAATAAATAAAGACATACAATTCAATACACATTTTTTGTACATTGCATTTCACAGCTTTCCAATATGTTTTTTTTTTTAGTTTGTTAATTGTTCTGCTGGAATACAACACGTCTGAACATTAATTAACTAATAATTGACTCTACTGTCTTATTAATGCTAATTAAAGTGCTGAAAGTGTTTTCTTTAGGTAGAATATCAGTGTAAAGGTTTTTTGGAGAAGAACAGAGACACGCTTTATGAAGAGCTGGTGGATATCATGCGTGCTAGTCAGGTATCAGCCTTTATTTCAAATGATTTCTGAAGTTTCATGTCACTGTTGTGGGTTTAATATCTGGGTGGTTAGTTTGCTCTCTTGGCAGGATTTTTTAAAGAGGAGGAAGCAGATTCTGGCCATAAAATCATCAAAGTGACTCCGGCACAACCTAGAGTCAAAGCGTCAAACAAGCAGCTCAGAAGCACTGTAGGAGACAAGGTACAAAAAACACCATTAAAAAATTCAATTAAAAAAGCAATTACTAATTGAACCATCAGAATGTGTAGCTCAGACTTTTTTTCTAGATTTTAGAATTAAAAAAATTCTAGCAGTTCTTATTATTGATGTTGCAGTCTTGGCATTTTCTCCTAATTCCTTGTTTGAATCTCAGAATTCCAATTTTCATTCATTCATTCATTTTCCTTTGACTTAGTCCCTTTATTCATCAGGGGTCGCCACGGCGGAATGAACCACAACACATTCATTCATTCCTTTACTTTTCGGCTTAGTCCCTTTATTGATCTGGTGTCGCCACAGTGGAATGAACCACCAACTTATCCAGCATATGTTTTACGCAGCGGATGCCCTTCCAGCTGCAACCCAGCACTGAGAAACACCCATACACTCTTGCATTCACACCCACGCATACACTACGGCCAATTTAGCTTATTCAATTCACCTATAGCTTATGTGTTTGGACTGTTGGGGAAACCAGAGCACCCGGAGGGTGCCCTGGAAGAACATGCAAACTCCACACAGAAATGGCAACTGGCCCAGCCGGGATTTGAACCAGCGACCTTCTTGTTGTGAGGCGACAGTGTTAACCACTGAGCCACTGTGTCACCCCTAAAATTCCAATTTCATATCCCGAAACTTCATTTTTCTCCTCATAATTCAAATGTCAAATCTTACATAAATTTTTTTTTGACAGTTTCAAATTGTTACAATTAATAATTCTATATTTTACATATATATATATATATATATATATATATATATATATATATATATATATATATATATATATATATATATATCTGGCAGCTCTATAGTATATCTTATAAATGTGTATATATCTATATATATTATATAAATATATTTTAAATAAATTTTTTTCTTTGTATTACGTAAAAAATGATTCGCTCTCCTGTGATTTTTTTTTTCTTTTTTAATTATTTCCCAAATGATGTTTAACAGAGCAAGAAATTTTTCACAGTATGTCTGAAAATATTTTTATTTTCTTATTTTTTTTTTATTTTGGTTTGAATAAAGTTTAAAATTTTTTAAAAACCATTTTAAGGTCAATATTATTACCCCCCTTAAGCAATATTTGTTTTTAAATTGTCTATAATACAAACAACCGTTATAAAATGACTTGCCGAATTACCCTAACATTTTTCTATTTTCCACACTATCATAGTTTCGAAGCTCCTTGTACCTGTTGATGGAGACGCTGAACGCCACGACACCTCATTATGTGCGCTGCATTAAACCCAATGAGGAAAAACTGCCATTCGAGTAGGTAACAATACTGAACTATTGAGTCTGTTTGCTTGTATATAGTATATTTATCTCTCTATCTCTCTCTCTCTCTCTCTCTCTCTCTCTCTCTCTCTTTCTGTGTGTGTGTGTGTGTGCGTGTAGGTATGACTCCAGGCGTGTGGTTCAGCAGCTGAGGGCCTGCGGTGTGTTGGAAACCATCCGTATCAGCGCTCAAAGTTACCCATCCAGGTAAACACAGGCTTTTCTTCATGTTTATATTAGTTGCAGACATTACAGTTAAAGTCAGAATTATAAGCCCTCCTGTCTATTTTTTTTTCTCCAATTTCTCTTTAACGGAGAGCAGATTTTTTCAACAGATTTCTAAACATAATAGTTTTAATAACTCCTCTCTAATAACTGATTTATTTTATCTTTGCCATGATGACAGCACATAATATTTGACTAGATATTTTTCAGGACACTTCTATACAGCTTAAAGTGACATTTAAAGGCTCCATCTATCCTTACAGGTGGACGTACGTTGAGTTTTACAGCCGTTACAGTATCCTGATGAGCCAGTCGGAGCTGAAGCTGGGAGAGAAGAAGCAGACGTGCAGGACGGTTCTTCAGAGACTCATTCCTGTAAGAAAAGCAGACTCTTGTAGATCTAAAAGTTTAATCGCGTAATCACAACAGAGACATATCGCATGCGCATGACAAAGACATGCATGTTGTGTGCGCACAACATAGACATATACATATCGCGTGCGCATGACATATGTAATGCATATAAAGACATAGACATACATATTATGAGCACACAACATAGACATACATATCGTGTGCACAAGACGTGTGTGTTACATTCCGGTTCACTACTGGTGTGTGGTACATTCTACGTCACTTCCGGGGTGTGGTACATTCCCTTTCCGCAGGGAATCTGTAATTGTAAATTTGTTTCGGGATTTGTAAAAGTGTTTTGCGTCTTGTTAATTTGTTTCGGGATTTGTAAAAGTGTTTTGCGTCTTGTTAATTTGTTTTCTAATATGTAAATTTGTTTCGTCCTTTGTAAAATTGTTTTTCCTATGTAATTGTGTCTGATGATAAGTAAAAATGTTTTTCAAAATATAAATTTGCCTCGAGCTTTCAAACTTTGTAATGTTGTTTTGCACTTCCCGGCCACCGTAGTATTGCGTGCACACGACCTACGCATGGCGTGCGCATGAAATACAAATAGCGTAAACAACTTAGACATACATATCGTGTGCGCACAACATACATGCACGCAAAAAAAAAAGTTCTGAAAAAAAATATATATTTTTTTCGATTTCTAGTGACGAGAATTATGTTTTAGTTTATTGTTTTTTTTTTTTTTTTGGATTTTCGTTAACATAAACGTTCATTGACCAATATTCGTAGTTTTTGTTTAAATTTTTGCTTACTAAAATAACCTTGCAGGCGACGCAGTGGCGCAGTAGGTAGTGCTGACACCTCACAGCATGAAGGTCGCTGGTTCGAGCCTCGGCTCAGTTGGCGTTTCTGTGTGGAGTTTGCATGTTCTCCCTGCGTTCGCGTGGGTTTCCTCCGGGTGCTCCGGTTTCCCCCACAAGTCCAAACACATGCGCTAGAGGTGAATTGGGTAGGCTAAATTGTCCGTAGTGTATGAGTGTGTGTGTGGATGTTTTACAGAGATGGGTTGCGGCTGGAAGGGCATCCGCTGCGTAAAAACGTGCTGGATTAGTTGGCGGTTCATTCCGCTGTGGTGACCCCGGATTAATAAAGGGACTCAGCCAACAAGAAAATGAATGAATAAAAATAACGTTGCTTTGAACAAAATCTCTTCTGCTCCATTTCAGGACTCCAATCAGTACAAGTTTGGTCGGACCAAGATCTTCTTCCGGGCCGGGCAGGTGGCGTATCTGGAGAAGCTGCGTTTAGATCATCTGCGAGCGGCTTGTGTGACCATCCAGAAGCACGTGAGGGGCTGGAGACAAAGACGCAGCTTTCTGAACATCAGACAGGCGGCTCTCATCATACAGCTGTACGTGCGCGGGAAGAAGCAGATCAGGTGACAGTTAAAACTTTCTCTTTTTTCAATTTAATTAAATTTATTTAGCTTTTTTGGGGTATTTAGTATTGACGTACGGATGTAATTCCTGCAATAATTCAATCCTGGCATTGCCATGCAGAAAACAAATAAACCTTACACCTTAGATGCACAGTGACAGCTCAGGCGTTGAAGCAGGGCTGGGCTGCAATAGTGATCCAAAGACACTGCCGCGGTTTTCTGGTACGGAGGATTTACCAGCTCGTCCTGAGAGCTGCGGTCACCATACAGGCCTTCACCAGAGGATGGATGGCTCGCAAACGCTACAAAAAGGTAAAATGACTTCTTATTCTTTGTTTAATACCTTATTATTTGATATTGCTCTGTAATGATTATGTGTCTTTTTTGCGTCGTTGTAGATGGTGGCAGAACATAAGGCTCTGGTTCTGCAGAAATATGCTCGAGCGTGGCTGGTGCGCCGGCGGTTTCAAACCATGCGGCGGCTGGTCATTAATGTTCAGCTATCATACAGAGTCCAGCAGCTGCGTAAGAAAGTAGAGGAGCAGGTACAGTCATTCAAAAACACAGAGGAAAATGCGTATGTCAGTATGTCATTTTGACCACTAGAGGGCGGGTATTCACAACAAACAAAGACGTAGTTTGATCACAGCATGACTGGGTTTGGAATCATGGGAGTTGTAGTCTTCATTAAATCCTACAGGAGTACTGTATCTAGCGATCAATGCCATAAACCACTCAAACACCCTAGTAACTAACAATTAATGCCCTTAAACTAAACAAACACCCTAAAAACTTAGGATAAATCCCCTAAAACCACTTAAACACTCTATTAATTAACAATCAATGCCCTAAAATCACTCAAACACCCTAGTAACTAACAAGCAATGCCTTAAAACCACTCAAACACTCTAGTAACTAACAATCAATGCTCTAAAACCACTCAAACACCCTAGTAACTAACACTCAATGCCCAAAAACCACTCAAACACCCAGGTAACTAACAATCAATGCCTTAAAAGCACTCAAATACCCTTAGTAACTAACGATCAATGCCTTAAAACCACTCAAACATCCTAGAAACTAACGATCAATGCCCTAAAACCACTCAAACACCATAGTAACTATCAATCAATGCTCTAAAACCACTCAAACACCCTAGTAACTAACACTCAATGCCCAAAAACCACTCAAACACCCAGGTAACTAACAATCAATGCCTTAAAAGCACTCAAATACCCTAGTAACTAACGATCAATGCCTTAAAACCACTCAAACATCCTAGAAACTAACGATCAATGCCCTAAAACCACTCAAACACCATAGTAACTATCAATCAATGCTCTAAAACATCTCAAACACCCTAGTAACTAACACTCAATGCCCAAAAACCACTCAAACACCCAGGTAACTAACAATCAATGCCTTAAAAGCACTCAAATACCCTAGTAACTAACGATCAATGCTCTTAAACCAATAAAACACCCTAATAACCATCGATCAATGCCCTAAAACCACTCAAACACCCTAAAGCCTGGTTTATACTTCTGCGTCAAGTGACCAGCGTTACTCACGGCGCATGCAACGCGTGTAGCTGTGCATTTATACTTCTGCGCGCTGTCTCTGTTGGTCTGCATTAACACTTCCGAAACACTAGTTGGCAGTGAGGTGTAAATGTTCCTCTGTGTTGAGTTTCTTAGCTGCTGTTTAGCTTTTCCTGAACACTTCCGGGATGTACAAGTGGCTCAAACTCGCTCATTTTGAGGCAGGAACCGGCAGACGTGCAACAACTTTAACTATGAGGTAAACGCAAAACAAAACTTTCCATCCAGAGCTCTTTCACGGGACTCCACACTTGTAAACAATCGCTCCATCAGGCTCGCACCATTCACGCAGCTCTCGGTCCCACCCAGACTCGTCAGCACTACCAAGCCGACCAATCACAGAGCTTGCGCTGCGCGTCGTTGTGACGTGTAGTTATATTTTTTGAGAGGTGCACATCAGCCACGCCGACGGCCACAGGGAAGGGCTATGCATCAGCGTCATAGCATACGCCGGCGTTTGACGCAGAAGTATAAATCAGCCTTAATAACCATCGATAAATGCCCTAAAACCACTCAAACACCCTTGTAACCAACAATCAATGCTCTAAAACCACTCAAACATCCTAGTAACTAACAATCAATGCTCTAAAACCAATAAAACACTCTAATAACCATCGATCAATGCTCTAAAACCACTCAGACACTCTTGTAACTAACAATCAATGCTCTTAAACCACTCAAACACCCTAGTAACTAATAATCAATGCCTTAAAACCACTCAAACACCCTAATAACTAACGATCAATACTCAAACACCCTAGTAACTAACAATCAATGCCCTAAAACCACTCAAACACCCTAGTAACTAACGATCCATGCTCTAAAACCAATTAAAAAATTCTGTGAAGCTGTGAAGAACAACGAGAGAAACACTAAAGCAATATCTTTTATAATGCCACAGTCCACCCCTTCCAGTTGTTTAGCTTGTTTGTTTCGTTTCCAACCCAGGGGTATGAATAATTTCAGGCTTGACTGTGTATACTTTGCATTATACACTTAAAAAATGACTTTTGCTGTCAAACTATTTATTTAAAATTTGCTGAAACAACACAATCATTGACATTTTTTGGGGCAACAACTTAATTGTTTTATGTTCAATCCACTAAAATTTGTAAACTAAATTCCTTCATGTCGTTCCAACACAAATTGATTGCGTGGAACTCAGCATTTTTTACAGTGCACTTGTATCCTTTGAATGGTCTTTACAGTAAGTTATTTTATACAAAAACGTCTTCTTAGAATAAAGAGAACTGTGGCCTGATGGAGAAACTCACCAGCTTGTCTAACGCACGGGCTCAAGGGTTAGAAAAGATTCAGGCTCTGGAGGCGGAGCTGGGAAAACTGACCAATGAGATGTCAGCTTTAGTGCAGAGGGCGAAAACAAACTCAGAGGAGGCCAATCAGGTAAAAGTGCTACGCAATATCTTTGTAATATTGAAGATAATTTTGAGGATCTTCACTTTGCTTTCTTCTCTCGAAGGCAATCGATGTGCTTCAGAATGACAAAGAGAAGCTTGTTGAGGAAAATAAGGCTTTGGAGCGGAAACTCAAAGATACGACTGTGCAGATGCAAGGTAAAGAGTGGTCTGACTGATTTCAGAACAGTCAAAACGAAGACTGTAACTTTTGAAAAATCTGTTTTTCAGATCAATTTGAGGATGTGAAGCGGAAGCTGATGGAAGATTTAGAAAGAGAGGAAAGACTAAGAAAGTAAGATCTCTTTCTTAAAGCGACAGTTCACCCCAAAATCAATGTTGTTGCCCATCAATCTGATTTTCCAAATCTGTTCTCTGTTTTGTCAGGGTGGCAGAGCACAACAGTGAACTGCAGAAGGAAGACTCGGACAAAGAAATTGTGGCGATAAAAGAGGAAAACCGTAGACTGAGAGAGGAGCGAATCAGACTGCAAACGCAAGTGGAGGAGGACGTGAAGACCAACACAGAACTGCAAGAGCAAATGCTGCAGCTCACCAAACACGTCAAGGTGGCGTATATAAAATGACAAGGCTTTAAAACACATTCTAGTAACGATATGAGGATTTTTAAACAGAAACTTAAAATAAAGTCCTTAACCTAGGAGGAGGAGTTCAAGTATTTTGGGGTTTTGTTCACAAGTGAGAGAAGGATGGAGCATGGGATTGACAGGTCGATCAGTACATCGACGTACCGGTCCATTGTGGTAAAGAAGGAGCTGAACCGAAAGGCAAAGCTCTCGATTTACAGGTCAATCTTTGTTCCTACTCTCACCTATGGTCATGAGCTTTGGGTCATGACCTAAAGAACAAGATCTCGAATACAAGCAGCCAAATTAGTTTGGTCTTCGCAGGGTGGCAGGGCGCATCCTTATAGATAGGGTGAGGAGCGGCTTAGGTTCTCCCTGAAGGAGCTGGAGGAAGTGTCTGTCAAGAGGGAAGTCTGGAGTTCTCACCTGTGACCCGACCCCAGAAAAGCAGATGAAAATGAATAAATGAACTTAAAAGACACATTTTTGAGATTCCCTATTATGTTTTTAAGTACTTGTGATGCATTTAAGATTGAAACATGGAATAAATGATACACGAATCAATAAATTTGTGCGTAAATATATAAAACTGAAAAAATTAATCTGAGAACATTTCCAAATAATCCATTCATTAAATGGCAATAAGTAAATGACTTATAGTGCAGATCATTTTTTTAGATATAAATGTTTTTATTTTTTGTATCATTTAAAGGTCATACCAGATTTACGTAAAGAAATCAACAACCTGCAGATTCAACGAGCTGAAGCTGAAAAAACCCTGAGAGCTCAAAATCTACAAGCCAGAGGTGCTAAACATTATTTAGCTCACATTCATGGTTTATGATTTGTCTTCTGAGCCATTTTCATATATTTTTTTATTGTTGTTGTTTTTGTTAGCTAAGATGAATCTGATCACGAGGCAGCTGCTTGGTGATGCTACAGAGCAAGATCTCATCCAGAGGTGTGTCAGAATATTAGGATTAACATTGCTAATTGTTATTAGGCAGTTTGGATTAGCTTCATTTGAATTTTCTTTTTTTTTTCCAGGCTCAATGAAGAAGCCTCTGATAATAACGATGATGGAGCTGATCTAATCACTGCTTTTGATGGCATGGAGCGAGCTGCTAAGTATGATTTAAATCTGCTTTTTTATTTTCTTGGACCAAATTTCGAAATTCATCTCTTGCAAAACTAGCTTAGGGAAAGCTAACAATGCCAACCATGATAGAAACATGCTTGTACAATCAAATTCATGTTAGCATTTCACTTTCTTAGACCATATTTCAAAACGCATCTCTCTTGTAAAACTAGCCCAAGGCATGCTAACAATGCTAATCATTTAAGAAACATGCTAGTAACATTGGTATTAATTCTAGCATTTTTATTTTCTTAGGCCAAATTTCAAAATGCATTTCTTGTAAAACTAGCCCAGGGCATGCTAACAATGTTAATCATTCAAGAAACATGCTAGTAACATTCTAATTCATTGTAACTTTTTAGTTTCTAAGTGAAAACGTCAAAATGCATCACTTGCAAAACTAGCTTGGGGCATGCTAACAATGCTAACCACCTAAGAAACTTGTTAGCAACATTATAATTCATTCTAGAGTTGTACTTTCCTACTCCTAATTTCAAATTCCATCTTTTAAAAAACTAGACCAGGGCATGCTAACAATGCTAACCATTTAAGAAACATGCAAGTAACATTATAATTCATTCTAGAGTTGTTCTTTCCTTGTCCTAATTTCAAATTCCATCTCATAAAAAACTAGAACAGGGCACGCTAACAATGCTAACTATGCTAGAAACATGCAAGTAACTTTCTAATTCATGCTAGCATTTTACTTTCTTAGTCCAAACTTCAAAATGCACAAAACTAACCAAGGGCATGCTAACAGTGCTAACCATGCTAGAAACATGCTAATAACATTCTAATTCATTCTAGCATTTTACTTTTTAGACCATATTTCAAAAGGCATCTCTTGCAAAACTAGACCAGGGCATGCTAACAATGCTAACCACCTAAGAAACATGTTAGTAACATTATAATTCATTCTAGAGTTGTTCTTTCCTAGTCCTAATTTCAAATTCCATCTCATAAAAAACTAGAACAGGGCACGCTAACAATGCTAACCATGCTAGAAACATGCAAGTAACTTTCTAAGTCATGCTAGCATTTTACTTTCTTAGTCCAAACTTCAAAATGCACATAACTAACCAAGGGCATGCTAACAGTGCTAACCATGCTAGAAACATGTTAGTAACATTCTAATTCATTCTAGCATTTTACATTTTAGACCATATTTCAAAAGGCATCTCTTGCTAAACTAACCCAGGGCATGCTAACAATGCTAACCACCTAAGAAACATGTTAGTAACATTATAATTCATTCTAGAGTTGTACTTTCCTACTGCTAATTTCAAATTCCATCTAAAAAAATAGCACAGGGCACGCTAACAATGCTACCCATTTAAGAAACATGCTAGTAACATTATAATTCATTCTAGAGTTGTACTTTCCTACTCCTAATTTCAAATTCCATCTCATAAAAAACTAGCACAGGGCACACTAACAATGCTAACCATGCTAGAAACATGCTAGTAGTATTCTAATTCATGCTAGTAACATGTAACTCATGGTTACACTGTGTTGAAACATTTTAGAAATGTGCTAAATGTTTCTTTCATTTAAGCCAACATAAAAAAAAACGTATCTACTTTAAACCAAGCTGTTTGTTTTCACCTCACATTATCGGTCCTTTATCTGCAGGGTGATGGAAACTCAACTGCGAGAGCAGAAAGACGCTCACGAGAGTCAACTGGAAGCTCTGATCTTCAAAAATGAGCATTTAAGCAAAGAGAACGAGCAGCTTCAAGCTTTGTTTCAGGAGAAGAGCGACATTAACCAAAGCATTGGACAGGAAGTGACTCGACTCACCGCTGAGAACATGGTATTTCTGCATAATATATGTTTATTTGGTTAGTTTAAAATGCCAGAGCAATATTGATGGACTTTATGTGTGCAGGTGATTCCTGAACTGAAGCAGCAGGTGTCAGAGCTGAACCGCCACAAACACGAGCTGGAGAGCCAGTTACAGGACCAGACTGCTGAGATGAGCGGTGAGACAAAGGCTTTTAATCAGGCTACATACAATATTATTTCGGCCTGATATGCGCAGTAGGATAAGATGTCACACCTCAGGCTGTTTTCACTTCTTAAGCTCACCAACAACTTGTTATAAATGTGTTATTTCACTTTAGCATATCACGCTAGTACGTGTTAAACACATTGGATGTCTTTTTAAAACTATAGAAGTGGTAGCATAGTGTTCAAGTAAGCAAATGCATGTTAGCTATATGTTAAATATGCTATAACATGCTAGCAACACGTCTTGGAAATGTTCCTTCAAACATACTAGCAACCAATTTTCCTGAGAGTCTCCCGTATTTCAGACCCATCTCCCACCACCCTCCCGTTTTGTTATTTCTTCCGGAAAACTCAATTTCACCCAAATTACCCCCCAGTACCCGATCTTAGCGATTGCCCAAACCCTGCTGCATAGTACAGTTACTTAGCTGTGTTCAGACACCTCACCTCCGAGACCTAGACATCACCCATAACCCATCACCCCCCCTCCCCCCAGGTCTCCCGGATTTTCATAGACAATTGGCAGGTATGGCTATCAACATTTTAGCAAAGTCAAAGTATTCCTAATGCAAGAAGAATGTCAAATAATGCTAGCATGTATTAAGCATAATAGACATGTAGAAACAAGGGAGAAGTGCACTAGCAACCTGCTAAGATATGGCAGCATAGTGTTAATTTAAGCTAATGCATATTTATAAAGTATTAAACATGTCAGCTATGTGCTTTAACATGTGATAAACTTGGAAGCAACATGCTAAGCATGTTAAAAAAATAGATATTGCATGTTAGCAATATGTTAATTGTGTTAGAAATGGTATTAAACATGCTTCCCTGCTGAAAAAACCAGCTTGAACCAGCCTAGGCTGGTTGGCTGGTTTTAGCTGGTTGACCAGGCTGGTTTTAGAGGGGTTTTGGTCATTTCCAGGCTGGTTTCCAGCCATTTCCAGCCTGGTCTTAGCTGGTCAGGCTGGGAGATGACCAGCTAAAACCAGCTTGACCAGCCTAGCCAGGCTGGGAGCCCAGCCAAAACCAGCTATGTCCAGCTTAAACCAGGCTGGTCAAGCTGGTTTTAGCTGGATTTAGCTGGTCATTTTCCAGCCTGACCAGCTAGGACCAGGCTGGAAATGGCTGGAAACCAGCCTGGAAATGGCCAAAACCCCTCTAAAACCAGCCTGGTCAACCAGCTAAAACCAGCCAACCACCCTAGGCTGGTTTAAGCTGGATTTTTCAGCAGGGTTAATGGTATTAAACATGCTTTCAATAGGCTAAAACATGCTAGCAATGTGACAATCATGCTAGAAACTAGGATAGTATAATAGGATAGTGTAATACATTCTAGAAGTGTTACAATGTTAATCATGTTAAAAAAAAAATGCGTACATGCTAGCATAGAGTTAAAACAAGCTAGCAACATGCAAAACTATGCTATCAAAATTGTAATTCATGCTAGCAACATGTTTACCATAAAATGCATCTAAATGATAAGCTAAAATCAATTTTAAAGGTGTCGCGGTGGTACAGTGGGTAGCAACATCGCCTCACAGCAAAAAGGTTGCTGATTTGAGCCCTGGCTGGGTCAGTTGGCATTTCTGTGTGGAGTTGGCATGTTCTCGCTGTGTTGGCGTGGGTTTCCTCTGGGTGTTCCGGCTACCCTCACAAGTCCAAACACATGTGCTTAATTATTTACGTAATAAAAATAACTTTACGCTTGCAGCGAAACTGAAGGAGTTATCGAGTGCGCTCCATCTGGCTGTTGAAGAGGAGCAGTCTCAGCGCAGGTGAGCGTTTGTTACACTGTTTTTCGGCTGCAGACGGTGTGTCTCGAGGCTGAAGCTGCATCTGCTGTGCTTCTGCTCACAGACGCCTGCAGGAGGAGCTGACAGAGAGCCAGAGGAGGAGAGAGGAGACGGACAGACAGATCTCTGAGCTCCAGGAGGAGAACCAGCAGCTAAAGAAAGCTCAGATCACAGAGAGCCAAGCCAAAAACACACTCCGACTGGAGACTTCACGCCTCACCGCTGAGAATATGGTCTGTGTGTGAAATGCATATACAGTCACAATTATTAGCCCTCCTCTTAAATTTGAATTCTTTTATATTTTTCCCTAATTTCTGTTTAACGGAGGGAAACACATTTCTAAAAATAATAATAACTTATTTCTAATTGCTGATTTCTTTTCTTTGCCATGATGACAGAACATAATATTTTACTAGATATTTTTCTTAAAGGGACATTTAAAGGCTTAACTAGGTTGGTTAGGCAGGTTAGGTTAAATAGGCAAGTCATTGTATAACTATAGTTTGTTCTGTAGATAATCCAAAAAAATATTGCTTAAGAGGGCCAACAATTTTGACCTTAAAATGGTTTAAAAAATGAAAAACTGCTTTTATTCTACCCGAAAAAGAAACTAGTAAGACTTTCTTCAGGAGAAAAATATATTATCAGGCATACTGCGAAAATTTCCTTGCTCTGTTAAACATTGTTTGGGAAATTTTTGAAAAAGAAAATTGACAGGAGGGAAAATATTTCTGCCCACTGTATATATATTTTATATAGACTCCTCAATAAATATCTATACATGCATATAGCTTTTTAACTGTACTTTCATCTATCAATCTATCACATAACCTGCGGTGTACCGCAGGGATCAGTCTTAGGTCCAAAAACTTTTAGGAAATTGTATTTATAACAGGTTATTATTTATAAGTGTTTATTTATGAATTAGCTAATATAATATTGAATATTATATAATGTTTTGTAAATTTATATATTTTTATTATAATATTTATAATCATAAAAAAGCTGATTTAAAATATATATATTTTACTATGTAATTATAATTGAATGTTTTTTTTGTTAAAATGAATTGCATTATTTATAAAATAAAATTATTTATATTATTATATTTATGTCATTATTTTATTATACACTAATTAATTATTTAATTTGGGCGTCATTGTGGCGCAGTGGGTAGCACGATTGCCTCACAGCATCCGCTGAGTCAAACGTGCTGAATAAATTTGCGGTTCATTCTGCTGTGGTGATCCTTGATTAATAAAGCGACTAAGCCGAAAAGAAAATGGAAAAATGAATGAATGAATTAAATAAAGAATTGGCTTTGTTTAAAATATCAATCTGACATTTCATCTTCGCCAAATATTTTAAGATACTAATCTTAATCTAAAATATTCTGACGTTTTCTTCTGCTTTCAGGACTTCGAGGAGCAGCTAGACATGAAGGACAGATTAATAAAGCGACTTCAAGACCAAATCAAAGCTCTTCAAACACACGCTGCAGGTAAAACTCTCTCCAGTCACCTAATATTACATTCAGCCAATCAGATCTGATGTTTGATTTCCTCATCAGCCAATCAGAAAGCAGCTCCAGCCGTACCCAAAGAGTACCTGGGCATGCTGGAGTACAAGAAGGAGGATGAAGGCAGGCTGATCCGGATACTCATCCTGGGTAAATAAATGACTGTCAATTTCTTTTTCTGTTTCAAATATTTCCCAAATAATGATTAACAGAGCAAAGAATTTTTCGCAGCATTTCCTATATTATCTTTTCTTCTGGAGAAAGTCTTATTTGTTTCATTTTGGCTAGAATAAAAGCAGTTTTTATATAAAAAAACCTTTTAGGGTCTTAATTATTAACTATTATTAATATTTTTTTGTATATATTACTGTACTGTATATATTAAAGTGGAAGGATCATAATTGATGATTGTTTTGTGCTGTTCAGAGCTGAAGCCTCGCGGTGTGGGTGTGAATATGATCCCTGGTTTGGCTGCTCATCTGCTCTTCATGTGTGTGAGACACGCAGATTATCTGAATGACGGAAACAAACTCAAGTGCCTCATGAACAACATTATAACAGCCGTCAAAGAGGTCATCACGGTGAGACATGCTTCATGTACAGAAGGCTCTTTCAAGTACTCGGAGGTATTCAGGAAGACTTTTATTTTGGATTAAACGTCTTTTTGTTCGCTAATTGATGTTTACTGGCGTGAGGGCGGGATTCACCTGTCAATCATGCTAGATGCTCCAATAGAAAATATTTTATTATTCATTCATTCATTTTCTTGTCGGCTTAGTCCCTTTATTAATCCGGGGTTGCCACAGCGGAATGAACTGCCAACTTATCCAGCAAGTTTTTACGCCGCGGATGCCCTTCCAGCTGCAACCCATCTCTGGGAAAATTATTATTTGTTGTTGTTGTTGTTATTGTATATGTCAGCTGTAGATTGTTATAATGATTTGCTTTTGATGTTTTTAATTTAAGTGAATTTTCCCTTTTTTACAGCAAAAATAAAATAAAGCAGAAAATGAATAATTAAATTATTATTATCATTATTAAAATGAATTATTGTTCTACCTTTGAAGTAAAACACATGAGAATTGCTGGGAGGAAAATTAAAATTATGACTTAATAATCGTTTTTACACCTTATTAAGATAATATGTTCGATTGTAATATAACATAGACATTGTATTACATTTTTACAATCATCTACATATGAATACTTATAGAAATATTATAAAATAACATTATAAATAAATGCAATATGATATAAGTTAAATAATAATACAAATCAAGTTTATAATTTAAAGTTTTTATATATATTTTTTTACTTGAGTAATGCATTTGTTTATAATGCATGTATTTAAATTTTAAATATTTTTTTTATTTAAGATTATTATATTTCATCATACATTGTTTGTTGAAATATATTATGTAATAATTACATTACTTGGTTATACATTTAAATACATTTAAAGCTAGGCGACGGAGTGGCGCAGTGGGTAGCACGTTCGCCTCACAGCAAGAAGGTCGCTAGGTCGCTGGTTTGATCCTCGGCTCAGTTGGCGTTTCTGTGTGGAGTTTGCATGTTCGCATTTCCGCCACAGTCCAAAGAGATGTGGTACAAGTGAATTGGGTAGGCTAAATTATCCGTTGTGTGTGTGTGTGTGTGTGTGTGTTTCCCAGAGATGGGTTGCGGCTGGAAGGGCATCCGCTGCATAAAAACTTGCTGGATAAGTTGGCGGTTCATTCCTCTGTGGCAAACTCCGGATTAATAAAGGGAATAAGCCGACAAGAAAATGAACGAACATTTAAAGCACAGATGCTCTAAATTGTTCTTGATGATGATGATGATGATGATGACTGTGATTTCAGGAGCACCAGGAGAATTTTGAACTTCTGTCCTTCTGGCTCTCAAACACGTATCACTTCCTGAACTGCCTCAAACAGTACAGCGGGGAAGAGGTGAGGTCTCTCTCATTACAGTGACCATAAAAAAACACATATCATTACAATTGTAGTGGTCTTCAAAATCCACTCGTCTTCCCATGCTAGAAATGTGCTAATTCAAATCAATTTCAATTCACCTTTCAAGAGTTCACACTTAGATATTGCTGGTCAACTGTAAGCAGGTTTGGCATGCTGTCCCGGGAGAGAACACAGAGCTCGGAGATAGTTGAGCCCAGGGCTCCCGCCAGGTCCATAGAGCATGTGAGGGGAGTACGAGATCAGGTGGTTCTCGAGAGCTCCCCTTTTTTGTAAAGGAGAAAGGGGGTGGATGAGGGGGTTTCTTCGGAAAACGAAGATAAGGGAGTAAACTACCTTGGCTACTTATAGTAAGTTAGGATAGATCTGATTGGCTAACTAATGAGTGTAGATAGGTGGCCAGCTGCAGTCAATTATATCACATGCTCCTCTCGAAATTAGTTTAAAAACTTCACTTATTTGTATAGCGCTTATACAATGTAGATTGTCTCAAAGCAGCTTCACATAAGAGGTCATGTTAAATTGGAGCAGTGTAGTCCAGTTTTCAGAGTTTAAGTTCAGTTCAGTTCAGTCAGTTCATTGTGGTTTAAAAATCACTACTGAGAGTCCAAACACTGAAGAGCAAATCCATCGATGCGTAGCTCTACCGATCCCAAACCATGCAAGCTAGAGGCGACAGCAGAGAGGGAAAAAAACTTTACCGATTGGCGAAAGTGAAGAAAAAACAAACTTGAGAGAAACCAGACTCAGTTGGGCACGACTATTTTAATTTCTCCGCTGGCCAAACGTCTTGTGCAGAGCTGCAGAAATGCTCCATCAGACATACAAGCAACATTCTAGCAAGGTATTACAAATTAAAGAAGCATGTCAATTAACGCTTTATTAACTGACTAAGCTAAGCATGTGTTAAGCATAATAGCCATGTAGAAACAAGGGAGAAGTGCACTAGCAACAGGCTAAGATACGGTATGGTAGCGTAGTTTTAATTTAAGGTAATGCATGTTAAAAAGTATCAAACATGTTTGCTATATGCTTTAACATGCTATAAACTTGAAAAGAACATGCTAAGCATGAAAATAAGTACATATTTCATGTTAGCGATATGGTAATTGTGTTAGAAATGGTATTAAACATAAATGATCCGATCAAATCCACATGGATAAAATTAAGCCCCGCCCTTCATTCAAGTAGCAAGAATACTGACAGTACTTGTCATTTATAATGCTTGAAACCAACAGAAATGATTCCTTGTTTCAACAGGAGTTCATGAAGCACAACACTCCCCGGCAGAACAAAAACTGCCTGAAGAACTTTGACCTTTCGGAGCACCGTCAGATACTCAGCGACCTCGCCATCAACATCTACCATCAGTTCATCAGCGTCATGGAGGATGCGCTGTTTCCTATGATCAGTGAGAAAACACATATGATTATGTGCTTATGATTGCTCACAAACTGTCCAAACACGTTTATAGGGCATTCATTGAAAGTGAAAGTGAAAGTCGTGACGTGGCCAAGAACAGCAACCCATACTCGGAATTTGTGCTCTGCAATTAACCTGTCCAAGTGCACACACACAGCCAGTGGTGGAAAGAGTACTGAAAAATCATATTCAAGTAAAAGTACCATGACTTGCCTAAAAATGTAGTGTGAGTAGAGTAAAAGTATCTGTTGTAAATATTACTCAAAGTACGAGTAAAAAGTAGACTTTTCTAAAGTACTCAAGAGTAGTGAGTATTACGCTGTGAAAAGATGATGCGTTTACATGTAATTTGTGCATGTGTGTGTAAACGTAACATTCTGTAGTGCATCGAGTTATCGTCCAGCAGGCACACCACATCATAAGACATTAACATTAGGTTAGATTGTCTAGCCAGCGTCTAAGGACAACGTTATTTGTTCAATAACAACATCAAATGACGTTGATATTTGGTTGACTTTAGGTTGTGTTGGAAAGTGACCAAAATCCAATATCGAGCAAACATCCAACGTCCTTTTGGCATCATATGCTGACACTTCCATGATTTTCATGGAAAAACAAAATGCAACATCCCCATGACACTGGGGTACAACTTTATTCTGACATCATGTTGACATCTTGTGCTTGCTTGATGTTTAAGGCCATTTCGATCATCATACTGTAAACATCTGTCATTTTCTCATCAGCGACATGCATCTTAACAGTCTCTGGGTCAAAGCATGTAAAGATTTTGGACATCTTGTGCACTTTGTAATGCTTCCAAACTGTTTGCTGCAATTATAAAGCCTGCATGTTTTGAGGTAGGGTTGTGTATCATTTGGGGTTATTTCAATACTGGTGCTAAATCGATACTTTTAAAATGGTACCGGTGCCAGAACGGTGCCTGAACTGATACTATTTAGCCACAAAATTATTTGACCAAAAAAAAAAATATATATATATATATATATATATATATATATTTATATTTTAATCATTATAACTAAACGATATAATTATATATTTATAATAACTTAAAAGTAAACATCAAATCAAATATTATATATTTGAATTGCATTAATATATTTCTTTTGATCAACCCTAATTTGAGGTAGCTCATTATGAGGCGATATACCTTTTATGTGAGATTTGATTGGACAGGAATCACAGGACTGATATTTCTAATCCCCATAGACAAGAAAAAAGAAAGTAGTGACTGAAGGTTGATGAAAAGTAGTGGAGTAAAAGTACTGATTACTGCACTAAACATGTACTCAAAGGAAATTAAAAGTACACATTTTTAAAACTACTTACTAAATTACAATTCCTGAGAAAAACTACTCGATTACAGTAAATTGAGTATTTGTAATTAGTTACTTTACACCACTGCACACAGAAGTGAACACACAAACAGTAAACACATACCCGGAGCATTGAAATACTCATTGGAAAAACAATGTGGGGGTTGTTACAGGGTTATTTGAGGTTGTTACAAGAACTTTTATGTTGTAATCAATGTCACTGAAGTTGTCGTATATGGTTCTTCACCCAATGAAGGGTTAAAAAAAGCATAGGCCTTCATTAATTCATTTTCCTTCGGCTTAGTCCTTTTGTTCATTAGTGGTCGCCACAGCGGAATGAACAGCCAACTTATCCAGCATATGTTTTACGCATACCCATCCAGCTGCAAGCCAGTACTGGGAAACACCCATACACACTCATTCACACACACTCATACACAATGGCCAATTTAGCTCATTTAATTCACCTATACCGCATGCCTTTGGACTGTGGGGCAAACCGGAGGAAACCCACACCAACACGGGGAGAACATGCAAACTCCACACAGAAATGCCAACTGACCCGGCTGGGGCTCGGACCAGCAAACTTCTTGCTGTGTGGTGACAGTGCTAACCACTGAGTGTCGTCCCCTCACTTACTAATAATGCTTAATAATGAATCAATGTAATAATAATAAGAAGAATAGTCCTTATTCTTTAAATTATATATATTTTAGGTATCTCTCTAGGGTCAAAATGTGCATGAATGCATGTCTCTCAGTTTGCTCAAAACTCTGCTCTGATGCTTAAAAATATTGCAAAAGAGATTAAAAACTAAATCCGGATGAGTCAAGTGGTTTAATCCAAGCAAACAAAAGCTCAGTCATACCTGATTAAATGAAATCTGTTCATCTTGTACAGCGTTCGTGTCCCTTTGTCTAGCAGACTTGGATTAATCCTCCTGATTCATATGGATTCATAATTATATTTTAATCTCTTTTTTTAATGTTTTAAAGCAGTAGAGTTTTAAGTGATATAATAGTTTTAATGACTCATTTCTAACAACTGATTTATCTTTGCCATGATGACAGCACATAATATTCGACTAGATATTTTTCAAGATACTAGTATTCAGCTCAAAGTGACATTCAAAGGCTGAACTAGGCGAAAGTGAAGTCGTTTTTCTCTTTTAATGACCTTGAGAAGGTGATCCATGCTTTTATGTTGGGAAGACTTGGCTCTTGCAGCTCTTTGCATGTGGGTATTAGTCAAAATACCAAATCAAAATCAAATCAAATCACTTTTCCTGTCACATCAGCAGCAGCACGTGTGCTATGATGAGTAAAATCTTTCGTGCCGGCTCCAGACAGTACAAAATACAAATAGTACAAATACAGCGACAGCGCAAAATACAAACAGTGCAAATAAAATGACAGTGCAAAATACAACAGCATACTCCTAAAAAAAATAAATAAATAAATAAAAAATTTAAAAAATATATATATATATATGTGTGTGTGTGTGTGTGTGTGTGTGTGTTTATATGTATATATACGTGTGTGTGTGTGTCTTTACATATATATATATATATATATATATATATATATATATATATATATATATATATATATATATATATATATATATATATGTGTGTGTTTGTGTGTGTGTGTGTGTGTGTGTGTGTGTGTGTGTGTGTGTGTGTATATATGTTACATATGTTGCACACCTGCAAGTATGAGCACATATTCCCAGTTTTTTCCTCTCTGGGCTGGCTGCCTGTTAGGTCAGGAATTGATTCTTAAATGATTAATTATTGTTTTTAAATCCTTAAATGATCTGGCACCACCTTACCAGTGGTGTAAAGTAACTAATTAAAAATACTCAAGTTACTGTAATTGAGTAGTTTTTCTCAGGAATTGTAATTTACTAAGTAGTTTTAAATATGTTTACTTTTACTTTCCCTTGAGTACATTTTTTAGTGCAGTATTATTACTTTTAATCCACTACTTTCCCTCAACCTGCAGTCACTACTCTATTGTCCTGTGATTCCTGTCCAATCAAATCGCTCATCGAAGGTAAGACATGGGCGATTTATCATTGCAGCACACTGTTTAATACATTAAAATGTCCAAAATCTTTACACACATTGACCCAGAGACTGTTTAGATGCATGTCACTGATGAGAAGATGACGGATATTTACTGTATGATGACCGAAATGGCCTTAAACACCCAACAGGGACAAGACGTCAACATGACGTCAGATTGACATTGTACCCAAATGTCGTGGGGATGTTGCATTCTGTTCGGAATTGAAAATCGGGTTGACATCAGAAACCAACGTTAGGCCAATTTTAATGCCCAACCTAAAATCAACCATAAAACAACGTCTAATGATGTCACAGCTTGATGTTGTGTGGACATTACCACTATGACATCTATCACATGTTGGATTTTGGTTGTCATACCTGATGAATAAATGTCAATATTTGACGTCAATTTGAAGTTGGTTTAAGATCCTAGCTTGACGTTGGATTTTGGTCACTTTCTAATTATTGGACATCAAAATACGGTGTCTTTAGACGCTGGCTAGACATTGAATTTTGGTCAGCTGACATCACAACCTAAATCTAACCTAATATTATTGTCTTATGATGTGGTGTGCCTGCTGGACAATAACTCGATGCACTACAGAATGTTACGTTTACACACACATCCACAAATTACATGTAAATGCATCAACTTTTAACAGCGTAATACTCACTACTCTTGAGTACTTTAGAAAAGTCTACTTTTTACTCGTACTTTTGAGTAATATTTACAACAGATACTTTTACTCTACTCACACTACATTTTTAAGCAAGTAATGGTACTTTTACTTGAGTATGATTTTTCAGTACTCTTTCCACCACTGCACCTTACTTGTCAGACCTCCTACATGTATATAATCCTGGTTAGGTCACTGATCGGTTTATTCTTTCTGCACTAAGGCCCGGGTGTAAACGAAGTGGCGATCGTGCTTTTGCTGTTGTCACCTCAAACCCCTGGAACAAGCTTCCACCCCACATTAGACACGCTTAAACTGTGTTTTTTTTTTTTTAAAAAAAGAGCTTCTCAAACTGCATCTTTGTTCTTTAGCATTTGAGCCTTTTTAATGTTGAGGGCTTAGCCTTATGTTTTAATTGTTATGAATGTGATGTAGGAAATATTTTAATTAGTATTGATGGTGTTCAGCACTTTGGGCAACGTTGTGTTGTAAAAAATGTGCTATATAAACTAAACTAAACTAAGTTAAAGTAATTAGGCAAGTCATTGTATAACAGCAGTTTGTTCTGTAGACGATCAAAAATAAATATTGCTTAAGCGGGCTAATAATATTGACCTAAAATGCTTTTAAAAAAGTAAAAACTGATTTTATTCTAGCCTAAATAAAACAAATAAGGCTTTCTCCAGAAGAAAAAATATTATCAGACATACTGTGAAAATTTCCTTGCTCTGTTAAACATCATTTGGGAAATATTTAAAAATGCATTCAAAGATAAAACTAATTTTCCCTTCAACTGTAAACGATGACAGAATATTCATCTCAAGGTGAACAAAGCCTTTAGGCGATCTTCTCTTGTCTCTCTCTTTAGTCCCAGGGATGCTGGAGCATGAAAGTCTCCAGGGAATCTCCAGCATGAAGCCCACCGGTCTCCGCAAGCGCTCCAGCAGTGTGTTTGAGGATGGCGGAGACTCCAGCACGTCTGAGGCCTTCAGCGTCAGCTCCATCCTGCAGAAGCTCAGCACCTTTAACTCCAGCATGTGTCAGCAGGGCATGGAGCCGCAGCTGCAGGGGCAGATCGTCAGACAGCTCTTCTACCTCATTGGCTCCTCATCCGTCAACTGCATCCTGCTCCGCAAGGACCTGTGCTCCTGCCGCAAGGGCATGCAGATCAGGTGCGTACATGTGTGTTCAAAGGTCACAGTAAAGACTAACCTAATGGTTAGAAAGTTGGACTTGTGATCGAAAGGTTGCAGGTTTGAGTCCCGGCCTTTGGGGCAGACTAATGGTTGGAGAGTTGGACTTGTGATTGAAAGGTTGCTGGTTCGAGTCCCGGCATTTGGGGCCACCATGGCCTAACTGTTAGAGAATTAGACTTGTGATCGAAAGGTTGCAGGTTGGAGAATTTGACTTGTGATCAAAGGTTGCGGGTTTGAGTCACAGCATTTGGGGCAGCCTAATGGTTTGAGAGTTATACTTGTGATCAAAAGGTTGCAGGTTCAAGTTCTGGCATTTGGGCCAGATTCGGCCTAATGGTTAAAGAGTTGGACCTTTGATTGAAAGGTTGCAGGTTCGAGTTCCGCTTTTGGGGCAGCTGTGACCTAATGGTTGGAGAGTTGGACTTGTGATCGAAAGATTACAGGTTCGAGTCCTGGTATTTGGGGAAGCCATGGCCTAATTGTTAGAAAGGTTTCAGGTTCAATTCATGGCATTTGGGGCAGACTAATAGTTAGAGAGTTAGGCCTGTGATTAAAAGGTTGCAGGTTCGAGTCCCGGCATTTGGGGACACCATGGCCTAATTGTTAGAGAGTTGAACTTGTGATCAAAAGCTTGCAGGTTTGAATCTTGGCATTTGGGGCAGACTAATGGTTAAAGAGTTGAACCTGTGATTGAAAGGTTGCAGATTCGAGTTCCACATTTGGGGCAGCTGTGGCCTAATGGTTAAAGAGTTGGACTTGTGATAGAAAGATTACAGGTTCAAGTCCTGGTATTTGGTATTTGGGGCAGCCATGGCCTAATTGTTAGAGAGCTGGCCTAAATGTTAGAGAGTTGAACTTGTGATCAAAAAGTTGCAGGTTTGAGTCTTGGCATTTGAGGCAGACTAATGGTTAGAGAGTTGGGCTTGAAATTGAAAGGTTTGAGGCTAGAGTCCCGGCATTTGGGGCCACCATGGCGTAATTGTTAGAGAGTTGAACTTGTAATCAAAAGCTTGCAGGTTCAAGTTCTGGCATTTGGGCCAGATGTGGCCTAAAGGCTGATTTATACTTCTGCGTCAAACACCGGCGTAGGCTACGGCGCTGACGCATAGCCCTTCGCCGTGGCCATCGCCGTCACTGACGTGCACCTCTCAAAAATTGTCACTACACGTTGCAACAACGCGTAGCGCAAGCTCTGTGATTGGTCGGCTTGCTAGCGCCGACGAGTCTGGGCAGGACCGAGAGCCGCGCGAATGGCGCGAGCAATTGTTTACAAGTGTGGAGTACCGTGAAGGAGCTTCGGATGGAAAGTTTTGTTCTGTGTTTACCTCATGGTTAAAGTTGTTGCACGTCTGCCGGTTCCTGCCTCAAAATGAGCGAGTTTGAGTCACTTGTACATCCAGGAAGTGTTCAGAATAGCAAAACAGAAGCGAAGAAACTCGACACAGAGGAACATTTACACCTCACTGCCCACTAGCGTTTCGGAAGTGTTAATGCAGACCAACGGAGACAGCGCGCAGAAGTATAAATGCACAGCTGCGCGCGTTGCCTGCGGCGTGAGTTGCGTCGGTCACTTGACGCAGAAGTATAAACCAGGCTTAATGGTTAAAGAGTTGAACCCGTGATTGAAAGGTTGCAGGTTTGAGTTCCGCATTTGGGGCAGCTGTGGCCTAATGGTTAAAGAGTTGGACTTGTGATAGAAAGATTACAGGTTCAAGTCCTGGTATTTGGGGCAGCCATGGCCTAATTGTTAGAGAGCTGGCCTAATTGAGAGTTGAACTTGTGATCAAAAAGTTGCAGGTTCGAGTCCTGGCATTTGGACCAGATATGGCCTGATGGTTAAGGAGTTGGACTTGTTATTGAAAGTTTGCTGGTTTGAGTCCCTGCATTTGGGGCCACCATTGCCTAATTGTTAGAGAGTTGGACCTGTGATCAAAAGGTTGCAGGTTTGAGTCTTGGCATTTGGGGCAGACTAATGGTGAGAGAGTTGGGCTTAAGATTGAAAGGTTGCAGGCTAGAGTCTCGGCATTTGGGGCCACCATGGCCTAATTGTTAAAGAGTTGAACTTGTGATCCAAAGCTTGCAGGTTTGAGTTCCGCATTTGGCGCAGCAGTGGCCTAATGGTTGAAGAGTTGGACTTGTGATCGAAAGATTACAGGTTCGAGTCCTGGTATTTGGGGCAGCCATGGCCTAATTGTTCGAGACCTGGCCTAATTTTTAGAGAGTTGAACTTGTGATCAAAAGGTTGCAGGTTCGAGTCCTGGCATTTGGACCAGATATGGCCTGATGGTTAAGGAGTTGGACTTGTTATTGAAAGTTTGCTGTTTTGAGTCCCTGCATTTGGGGTCACTGTTGCCTAATTGTTAGAGAGTTGGATTTGTGATCAAAAGTTTGCAGGTTAGAGAGTTGAAATTGTGATCAAAAGGTTGCAGGCTGGAGTGCCAGTATTTGGGACAGACGTGGCCTACTGGTTAGAAAGTTGAACTTGTGATCGAAAGGTTGCAGTATTGGGTCCAAGCATTTGGGGCAGCAGTGGTCAAATGGTTAGAGGGTTGGACTTGCAAAAGATTCCAAGTTAGAGTCCTGGCAACTGCATCCTGCTCTGCAAGGACCTGTGCTCCTGCCACAAGGGGATGCAGATCAGGTGCTTACATGTGCATTCAAAAGTCACAGTAAAGACATTTGGGGTAGCCATCGCTCAATGGTTAGAGAGTTGGACTTGTTAAGGTTGCAGGTTTGAGTGCCGAACAAACACAGAAAATGCCATTTTGGCCGATCATTTTCAGCACAAAAATTCTGTGCATCTCTATTTAAAGGGATATAAAATGCAGGGTTCAGACGGTATTCTTAGTTTAATAGTAAGAATATCCAAAGTTGAATAAAGCGTCTGTGATTTACAGGTGTAACATTAGTTATCTGGAGGAATGGCTGCGAGAGAAGGATTTGCTGAGCAGCAACGCTATGGAGACTTTGGGGCCGCTGTCTCAGATAGCCTGGCTTCTTCAAGTCAACAAGACCACAGATGAAGACGCAGCCGAGATCAAGCAGAGATGCTCCGAGCTCTCAGCCGTACAGGTGCAACCGGTGCTGTTTAAACACTGATACTACTATATAAGCTCTGTCTTAAGTCATATACTATTCAGTACATACTACTCATACTTGTATTTCCTGACTGTTAAAAAAGTATTCCTGCATCCCAATTTGCATACTTAGTGTTGTCACGATACTGGGATTCGGTACCAGTCGATACTGAAATTTTACAAACGTCCATTTCCCACTAACATTTGAGCATTTATAAGTGCGCTCTTAAACAGCGCTGATTTGCCATTGTGTTCACATGCTCAACAGAAAAGACTGTGATTGGCCATGAAGGTCATCAGTTCACCAAATTCACCGACACATCATCCACATTTCGTTCACATTTAATTACCAACCACATTGGAGGTTCAGCAGCAGGTTAATCTGCCATTTACGAGCCTTTTATACATAGAAATTTCGTCAGGTGTTTGGATGATTCTGCATTCAGAAGTTAATGTCCAAACACGTCTTCATAAAAGTTCATATTGTTCTTGCAGATGAAATATAACACGTAAAACATGATTTAGATATTGTCCAGAGGGCTACATAATAATAGTCATTCAAACAACCTACCCAAAGTTGTCAAAGAAAGTCAATTCCTTTCTTTTAATCTATTTTAAAATGTGTTCATTTATTCATTTATTTTATTTTGTAGATCGTGAAAATCCTGAACTCCTACACGCCCATTGATGATTTTGAAAAGCGAGTCGCCCCGTCATTTGTACGGAAGGTGCAGGTAAGGTCCTGGTACACTTTTACACTTTCAACTTTACTGTGTAATGTTGCAGTTTGAGCTTGAAAAAGATATAAAACACAAATTCACTTCAGCAGCAGTTAAATGAACACAAACACCTCAGTTGAAGCCCTGAATCTTAGCAGATGCTTTTAGCCAAAGCGTCTTACAATTGAGGAGGCATTCAGCGATTCAACAGTAAGAGGCAATACACACAACAAATGCTAATACAAAGCAACACTGCACTTGGATACACTATAAAAAGCAACTGTTAGTGCTCAGAGAATTAAGTGCTAGCATGAGGTGGGGGATTGTCTTTTTATAAAGAGAAGAGTGTTTCTACAGGTGGTTTGTCAAGCCCACTCACCTGTGTTAAGCTCAATTCATAAATGCACTATTTATTATTATTTATTTCAGAGATGTGTTATTATATGTTCTTCTCTGAACATATACATCACAATACACCAAGTATAAAAATAAGTAATATAAGAGTGTAAAAATAATACAATGGAACATGGATACACTTGATTTCTCACCAATGCTTTGATTTCACAGATATAACCTATATCTTTTGTGTGTGTGTGTGTGTGTGTGTGTGTGTGTGTGTGTGTGTGTGTGTGTGTGTGTGTGTGTGTGTGTGTGTTTGTGTGTGTGTGTGTGCGCGCTTTTGATATAATCATTGTATTTGACTGTCTTTGTGTGCTTTCTTTCTGTCTTTTCTTGTGCTTCATGTCTGTGCATTCATAAAATCATGGCACATGCTTGTTATTGCTGGAGCATATGAGGCACAAGCTGTAAAGGCCACGCCTTCTGTTCTGGAAAGGGGGCGGAGACAGAAGCTCATTTGCATTTAAGGAGACTCAAAATATAACGGTAACACTTTACAACAAGGTTCATTAGTTAATGCATTTACTACATGAACTAATCATGAACAACACTTGTATTGCATTTACTACAGTACATTTACTAATGCATTACTAACATCCAAACTCATGCTTGTTAACATTAGTTAATGCACCGCTAGTTAACATGAATTCACAATGAACAACTGTATTTTCATTAACTAACATGAACAAATACTGTAGTAAATTTATTGTTCATTATTTGTTCATGTTAGTAAATGCAATAAGTAGCATTAACTAATGAACCTTATTGTAAAGTGTGACCAGTATAACAGTGTTACATTTTCATATAATAATTTATTCCTGAAGTATTTCAAACTGGAGCTTCAAAGACTTTCAGAAACTTGACACGTTTCTTGTGGAAAGAGACGTAAGGATGCTCATTCAAAGAAACAGAAGCAGGGTGCTTTCACCCCTGTGAATCTATTCATTTGTTCCAAAACAAGGATTAAAATTGTTACAGTGTTGCTCTTTGTTCTTGGTGCGGTTCACTTTCACACGGCAAAGTTTCTAAACGGACCAAAAGAGCTAAAACAAGTCACCTGTGAGTAAACTCTACTCAAATTGGTCAGAGTTTCAGGGTTTATTTTGCAGAGTCCTTCTCAGCTGTCATGCGTCCTTATTTGAACTTATAATGATGAGTGATAAGAATTTAAATGGTGAGACCGACAGACATCATCACCAAGTATAAATCAGAGGTAAGACTTTCTCATACAAAGCAGTTGGCTTATGCATTATAGGCTTTTACATGAAATACAGACATTTACCGGTAGGAATGATATCCTGTCCTACTCATAATTCTCTCTTCATATAGCTGTATGCCTATGACATATCCATAATACACTGTGATATAGCCGGGCTCGGATCGTATCGCTTTCTCACTACAATGGATCCGCTCCAGAGTTCGTTTTAATCAAGCCGAGACCACCTCATTCAAGCGATCTCGGAGCAATTGATGTGACACGGATCCAAGAGTGATTGCTGGATTCACATATGCCAAACGAACCGCGCTAGCTGGGGAAACAAGACAGGTTCCGAAACAAAAGTCAAGGTGTGAAAGCACCTTGAAACTCCATACAGTACAATTGCTGACCCATTTTTCTGTTTTTCAAAGAAGCCTCTAAATTAAACATGAAACACATTGAGATTGTGCGACAACAATGTGGCCACTGAATTATTTATTCTTGCGTATTTGAAAAGCTGTAAGGTGTGTTCAGGCTTTTAGTTTACTATTGGAAATATATATATATATATATTTGTGTACTGTATTTTAATGTCCAGTTTAATCTTATGTCAAAGCTGCTTCGGTTTTCTTCATAAATCATACAGTATTTAGATTTAATGCTCAAAAAAACTTATTATTATTATTTTTTATTATCAGTGTTAAAACAGTAAATGGTTTTGTTTAAAGATTTTTTAGGATTTTTTGACAAATAGGTTGACAAATGTCTTGACATAATATATGTGTGTATTATGTATATTTATAATGTGTATATATAAATACATGCATGCATATGTTTGAGAAAATGCTTATCTGAATGTTTAATATTGATATAAAATAAATGCAGTTGAATTCAGAATTTTTGAATTTGTTTATTTTTTAAATATTTCCCAAATTATGTTTAACAGAGCAAGGAAATTTTCACAATATGTCTGATAATATTTTTTCTTCTGGAGAAAGTATTACTTGTTTTATTTCAGCTAGAATAAAAGCAGTATTTAATTTTTTAAACACCATTTTAAGGACAAAATTATTAGCCCCTTCAAGCTATGTTTTTTGAAAATCTACAGAACAAACGTATATATTAACGTTATACAATATCTTGCCTAATTACCCCAAGCTGCCTAGTTAACCTAATTAACCTAGTTAAGCCTTTAAATGTCACTTTAAGCTGTATAGAAGTGTGTTGAAAAATATCTAGTCAAATATTATTTACTGTCATCATGGCAAAAACAAAATAAATCAGTTATTAGAAATGAGTTATTAAAACTATTATGATTTGAAATGTGTTGAAAAAAATCTGCTCTCCGTTAAACAGAAATTAAGAAAAAAAAATAAACAAGGGGCTAATAATTTAGGGGGGCTAATAATTCTGACTTCAACTGTATATACACTACCTGACAAAAGTCTTGCCACCTATCCTTTAGGAACAACAAATCATAACTTGACTTCTAGTTGATCAGTTGGTATCAGAAGTGGCTTATATAAAAGGCAAAGGCCTCTAGATTACGCTTATTGTACCAAAACAAAATATAGTCATGTCTTGATTTATAATTCTTTAAGTAGGACAGTACGGTCTCACTTTGCTTAGACAAAAGTCTTGTCACTGAACAGAAATAATGTCCAGTAAAGAATATAAAGTCATGCTGCAGTGGAAACAGAATGAATATTGTGTCTGACTCCATCATGAGCTTGGAGGACTGCATCCATACATCTCTGACATGACTCAAATCACTGATTAATAAAGTCATCTGGAATGGCAAAGAAAGCGTTCATGCAGGACTCCCAGAGTTCATCAAGATTCTTTGGATTCATCTTCAATGCCTCCTCCATCTTACTCCATGTTCATATCTGGTGACTGGGCTGGCCAATCCTGGAGCAGCTTGCCCTTCTTTGCTTTCAGGAGCTTTGATGTGGAGGCTGAAGTATGAGAAGGAGCACTATCCTGCTGGAGAATTTGCCCTCTCCTTTGGTTTGTAATGTAATGGGCAGCACAAATGTCTTAATACCTCAGGCTGTTGATGTTGCCATCCCTTCTGCAGATCTCTCGCACTCCCGCATACTGAATGTTACCCCAAACCATGATTTTTCCTTCACCAAACTTGACTGTTTTCTGTGAGAATCTTTGGTCCATGTGGGTTCCACTAGGCCTTCATCAGTATTTGTGATAATTGGAATGCAGTTTAACAGATAATTCAACTAAAAAATCCACCATATGCCACTTATCTGAATGATCAACTTGAAGTCAAGTTATTATTTTGGATGCGATTATTCGTGATTAATCTTTGCGCAGCACTACTTTAAAATAATAATTTAATAACTGGATTTTATAATAAACAAACATAAAATAATAGCTTAGTGTAAGGCTCGATCTTCAGACACGCTCACTTCTTTGTGGGATCAATCTGGCAACCTGCGTTTGGGGGCGTGTGAAAGAAAAACCCTCCGATATTTTGAATTAGGACTGCAATACTCAGTCCAACCACTAGATGTCAATCCTACTATTAAAAAACACTTCCAGAAAAAAATGGGTGGGCAATAATGCATTCAACTGTGGACTCGAGCTCATCACGCAGGCTTCTGATTGGCTGTTGTTGTGTTTCCATGGTGACAGGCGCTGCTGCAGGAGCGCGAGGGCTCGTCACAGCTGATGATGGACTCGCAGTATCGTTTCCAGGTCACGTTTCCCTTCTGCTCCTCAACACAGGCTCTGGAGCTTTTACAGATTCCCAGCAGCCTTCATCTGGACTTCCTCACCCGCATCTGACTGCTTCAATCTAGTACTATACTAGTAACTACTATTCGAGTAGGTGCTGCACTTGGATTTTGAATTTACTGCACGACCCTTAGAAAAGTGCGTTCTGAATAGTATGATTGGAGCTCGGCGTACTACATATGTCGATAGTCATTATCACATGACCTATGTGAGTCAATTGCGTCGCTTAACTCGCATTCATGAATTCTCTCCTGTTGCATGATGGGATAGCATAGCGTCCATCGGATGCACTCTTCAGAATCTCGTGGGAAGTAGTAGGTCATCCCAGTACTTCACGCATATTATTTTTCAAATGCTTTCGGACATGCTACTCGGCTCGCATACTGTTTTTAGTGTACTATAATACGGAAGTATGCGATTTCGTATAGTGTTTCTGCTGACCCAAACTCATCCTCTAAACACTGCACGTTCTCGTATAAACGCAAAAATGCTAACGATTGTATATTTTACATTTATTTATATGTATTTCAAGGTGAGACACTGCAGGATTTCAGTTTTTTTCTATGAATTTTCATAGTTTAAAAAAAAAAAATTCAGTCTAATGGAAAGTTTTTTTTATCCGAATATACTTTTAAAGTCCCAGAAAAATCTAATTGTTTTTTTTTTTTTTTTTTTTTTTTAGATTTTAGCATCAGTATGTTAGCCTTGATGATATCTGTTAGCTAGTGCGCTCCAAAACAGTGACAAAGTTTTTAGAAGATATTAACTCGTGGTGGGGCGAGGCAGTGGCTCAGTAGGTAGTGCTGACGCCTCACAGCAAGAAGGTCGCTGGTTCGAACCTCGGCTCAGTTGGCGTTTCTGTGTGGAGTTTGCATGTTCTCCCTGCCTTCACGTGGGTTTCCTCCGGGTGCTCCGGTTTGCCCCACAGTCCAAAGACATGCAATACAGGTGAATTGGGTAGGCTAAAATGGCCGTAGTGTGTGTTGCTGGATAAGTTGGCGGTTCGTTCCGCTGTGGCGACCCCAGACTTATAAAGAGACTAAGCCGACAAGAAAATGAATGAATGAATGAAACTAGTGGTGGGCCGTTATCAGCGTTAACGCGAGACTCTTATAAAAAAATATCGCCGTTAATCTATTCTCAAATTTGGCTTGGGAGCTGGGTCTGAAATGCCCTTCTGGATCTTTCACTTACTTTGAAGACACTCAAAGTAGACACTATGCTTACATGGACATCTGTAGTGTAGTTATTTGCCTTAATAGACAATAATATAATGTAAAACATGTAAGAGTGCCCTGTAATTTTAGGTGACTTTAACTGCAGTTCAGCAGTTTCACTTTCACTCATGCACATTTCATTCATGCCCCCGTGACAAACTGGAGTATTAGACGCAAATAAGGAGTGAGGACTGGTTAGAGTGTTATGGAATTTAATAACACACAGCAAATGGAAAGAAAACGGTCCTTTACTGACAGCCACATGTGTGGATCGTGCCATAAAATATGGTGAAAAGTCCTACATGACGGTAATAGTTTGATTGCTGTGCTTACTTCAAAAATGCCACTAATATATGCATACTCCATGTCTTAATTCAATTTCTGTTTAGTCCAGTTCTGACTTTCCTTACTAAAAGTGCAGTAAACTAAAGTATAACTGCAACAGCAGTATATAGAAGTATAACTGCAGTAAAATGAAGTGCAATTGCAAAATTCAATACAATGAAGTATAAACACAGTTCAAATACAGTAAATTAAACAGTTCAACAGCAGTTTAAGTTGCAGTAAACTAGAGTAAAAACAAGTGAACTTTACTGCACTTGTGCTGCTGTAGTCTAATATGTTGTAGTTGTACTGCAGTTGTACATCTACTGTACTTCAGTTGTATTGCAGTAGATGTACTGCAGTTTGTTGTATTGTAGTTCTTCATTTGTAGTGCAGTAATACTGCAGTATACTTAAATAACACAGTTTTTCGGGTCCAAAAAACTGCACTTTTCAGAAGATAACTAAAACTGCATTATTTTTTTTTTAAAAACTGCATTATTCTTTTAAAAAGAACTGCAGTGATTTTTTGTAAGGGTTTAGTCGGATTAAGGTAATTAAAAATCGCTGTTTGGAGCTTATATAGGCCTACAGTTTAAAATTCATGTTTAACTGAGTGAACAGTTAGTAAACACAAGCACATCTTATTGAACATCATTTATTTTCATCACCAATTCTCATAGTTGAACAGTTTCTCAAGCAGTTTGAAGTGCATTTTGGAAACAGGAGATGTGCCCCTGGTCTAATGCGCCACCTGGCTGGAGAAACCCGTTCTCAAACACTTACTTGAGTCATTATTTGGGTAGCACACATGTTCTGAATGCCTTTGGCAGAATTCAAATGAGCCATTTTAATCTAGATTAATCTAGATTAATTTTAAGATTGCAGTGAGATTAATCTAGATTCAAAAAATAACACACCTATAATATAAACATTTAAAGCTGCAGTTTGTCACTTACGACTAAATGGTTAGTTTTTTTTACCTCACCTCATGCTTCAGTTTCTCATCAAATATTCTGACCAATCAAATGCTTTCTAGTATCTGATATACCCCCCCTTCAAGACTTGAGCTTAACCACTCTCACTGGCAGAGATGTGAATAAAACAAAGCGCTATTGGCAGATTTTTTTAAAAAGGGGAGGAGCTACTCTATGCTCCGCCCTTTCTTTATGTTTTAGTTGAGATTATGTCACGTATTGAACAGAAATGCTCGTTTCAAAGCACTTCACGACACCTTTAAGTGTTTCTTTACAGCACTTTCATTCATTCATTTTCCTTTGGCTTAGTCCCTTTTATTCATGTGGGGTCGCCACAGCGGAATGAACCGCCAACTTATCCAGCATATGTTTTACACAGCGGATGCCCTTCCAGCTGCAACCCAGTACTGGTAAACACCCATACACACTCATTCACACTCATACACTACGGCCAATTTAGCTTTTTCAGTTTACCTGTAGCTCCCACGCCAACACGGGGAGAACATGCAAACTCCACACAGAAATGCTAACTGATTTAGTCGGGACTTGAACCAGCGACCTTCTTGCTATGAGGCAACAGTGTTAACCACTGAGCTACCGTGCCGTCTTAAAAATTAAAATGACAATTCCCTGGCAGTATTTTCTCAATTTTGAAGCCATAAAAATGACACTCACAACTAAAATCTCTTCAGTATAAACCTATAAATCATCATCCAGTGTTCGTAATGTATGCAAATCATGCCTCATTTGCATATTTAAGCATGCATATTTCGAAAACTTGTATTACAGATTGTTTAGTAATTCTTAATGTAATCGAGTGGAGGGAAAATATGTGGTAAATAGTGTTTTTGACCCTGTTCACCTGCAGTGTCTTGTTCTTATAATAGTGTTCTAAATCATCTTCTTGAGTAGTTTTTTATTGATTGAACCTTAAATAAACAGTGTAGCTTTCATTTCAGACATGCCTAAAGCAACCTCAGATGCCTTTTGTAGATCCTAAATGATCATTGTCACAAATTGCCGTGTTGAATTTTTTATAAATCAGAAATAAATCAATAAATACGACAGCCAAATGAGTCTTTCTCTCTCTTTGCTCTCCGCCACAGCTCTCATAATATGCTTGCGAATGTAATATTTATGATGGGCAGTCCTCTGAGGACTAGAGATGGAAACTAGCTATTAGTCAATCACAGAACATTTCACAAAAGTCCACATTATTTTGTTGTTACAATTAGGCACGCTTCTCTCATTCTTCACTTCTGTAATTAGAGTATTCATAATATTATAAGTTATTTTTTGAGTTTTAATTATAATATTTGGTAATTTTATCTGCTTTTGTTATTTGTTATCGTTTTTTTTATATTTCGATTAAGCTTTTGTTTTTTCAATGTATTTTTGTTTTATCATTGCATTAATGATCTTTTACATATTACATCTTTTACACATCTCTTACATATATTTTATTATTATTAAAATGAACACATTAAAACTGTGCTATCAAAGCTTTTGTGTTGTAACAATAGTGGATACATATATGATTTATAAAATAATATTCATAGAAAAAGAATTACAAAATGTCTTTTTGAACAAATATTTTAAAACTTTTAATATATTAGTTAATTTTTAAATGTTTTTTTATTTTCATTTTGAAATAGAAATAATGTACAAATGCAGACATTTTAAGAACAATAAAATTTTTATATATATAAATACATGATGATTTTTCAAACATTATTTATTTATTATAAATTTGACCATATAAAAGTATCTTTCACTTTCCATTTTTTTATTTATTAATATTTTAAAAATTTATTTATATTAACAAATTTTAAAATTAATGTAAATATATAAATTAGGATTATTATCCTTATTTTGAATTGTAAATATTATTTAATTCAATATCTGTTATTATTACTTTTATCTATTTTATAAATTTGTTTTGTTTAAATAAAGTAAACAATAATAATTACAATAATAACCATAATAAATCACTAATAATGAAACTTATTATTACTATTATTATTATTGCAAAGTGGTGGAGTTATTATTATTAATATTATTATTAATATTATTTTCTATTATTATTATTACATTATTTACAATTATGAAATGGGATAGCCCCTTGAGACAAACCATTTTATATCCGAGGGGTTCCCTAAGAGGTACATTATTACAATATTACATTAGTATTATTATATTATGCATTATTATTATAAAAATATTTCTTTCTTTATAATGTAGAGCTTGCCCATTGACTCCTAAAATGGAAGACTAAATTGAAAGCTCATTCATTTTCCAGTCGGGGATTTGAGCATCCCTCGCAGTCGCGGAAAACACAAATATTGATCCTCAGGAGGATTTACAGCGCTTCTGACTGACTGACTGATGCTGGAGAGCGGGAGCGCGCGCGTCCTCCGTGACGTCACACCAGCTGCATCATCACCACCATCATCATCATCATCCGCGCGCTCGCTTGTCTTCTTCTACTCCTCCGTCTCCTCTCCTTTTTTCTCCTCATCCAAACACAAATAATAAGATAAAAAACAGCGTAAATGGCGGCGCAGGAGGAGCCCGCGCAGCCCGGAGACTCTCTGGCGACGCTGAAGAGCGAGTCCGACACCCTGAAGAGCAAACTGGAGGAGGAGAGAGCCAAACTACACGATGTCGAGCGTAAGAAACCTGTGTGTGTGTCAGTGTGTGTTTGATGGAGATGACATTATACTGTATGTCAAAAGCAGAGCTGGCGGTGTGTTTACTATAAATCGGGAGATAACGTAATGGTTTGGATAAACCGATTTAGATCATTATTAAAGGCTCGTGGTTCAGATTGAAGATGATGATGAAGCTGATGATGGTGAGGAGGGAGCGTTTATTTTCCATTCAGCTTCACATTATGAGATTCGACATTCGTTTGGGAGTTTTTATTTATTTTTGGTAACGTCAGGCTGATATATTCCGTGTTAATGTTTTGATTTTGGGTTGTGGTTTAAATTTTAGCTTTAGTTATTTTGTAGCGCACTTTTATTCAAAGATAATTCACTTTATTTAGTTTTATTCCGTTTTACGGATGTTTCACGTAGTTGCCATGGCAACATTTCTCATTTCCATATTTTTTAAGCAAATATTTCTATAGATTTTTTTTAAATTCGACTTTACTACTTTTATATTTGCTTTAGTTTCGATGTTAACAACAATGCTAATAACCGCTTCATAAATAAAAAATTAATTTGTTTTCTTTTCGACTTATTCCCCTTGTTAATCAGGGGTCGCCACAGAGGAATGAACCGCCAACTTATCCAGCATATGTTTTACGCATCCAGCTGCAATACATCACTGGGAAACACCCATACATACTCATTCACACACATACACTACGGACAATTTAGCTTAACCAGTTCACCTATATTGCTTGTGTTTGGACTATGGAGGAAAACGAAGCACCCGGAGGAACCAACACGGGGAGAACATGCAAACTCCACACATAAATGACAACTGACTCAGCTGAGACTCGAACCAGCGACCTTCTTGCTGTGAGGTGACAGCACTACCCACTGTGCCCACTATTATTATTATTATTATTATTATTGTTCGTGGTTCAGATTCAAGATGATGATGAAGGTGGTGACGAGGGAGCGTTTATTTTCCGTTCAGCTTCACATAATGAGGTTCTGAGGAACACGACAGATTCAAGTAGCTTAAATTTTATATTTTGGCTGTTGTATACCACCGTTACCGTGTTAGTGTTATGATTTGGGTTTTATTTATTTATTTTCAGTTGTGATTTAAATTTTAGCTTAACTTTAGTTTTTTTATAATGCACACAAAAATGTCATTCCGTTTTTCATTTGTTTCAGGTTGTTGCTATGGCAACGTTTCTAATTTTCACATTTTTTTAAATGAAATATTTGTTTTATTTTTAATTTGACTTTTATATATTTATTTAATTTATGCTAATAACTGCTTGTGAGTAACAGTTCGCAGTCAAGAGCAGAGCTGGCAATGTGTTTACTGTAAATCAGACATAATGGTTTGGATAAACGGATCTACATTGTAACTGATTTAGAGTATTATTATTAAAGGCTCGTCGTTCGGATTGAAGATGATGATGAAGCTGATGATGGCGGGAAGGGGAGTGTTTTTTTTCTATTCAGCTTTACATAATGACATTCGACATTCGTTTGGGAGTAATTGTTGATTTATTTTTGGTAACGTCAGGCTGTTATATTCCGTGTTAATGTTTTGATTTTGGGTTATGGTTTAAATTTTGTAGCGCACTTTTATTCAAAGATAATCAACTTTATTTTGTTTTCTTCCGTTTTACGCATGTTTCACGTAGTTGCCATGGCAACATTTCTCATTTCCATATGTTTTGAATCAAATATTTCAATATTATTTTTAATTTGACTGTACAATTTAGATATTTGCTTTACTTTCGGTGTTAATAACAATGCTAATAATTGCTTCATAAATAAAAAATTCATTCATTCATTCATTCATTCATTCATTTTCTTTTCGGCTTAGTCCCTTTATTAATCAGGGGTCGCCACAGTGGAATGAACCGTCAACTTATCCAGCATATGTTTTCCCATCACTGGGAAACACCCATACACTCTCATTCACACTCATACACTATGGCCAATTTAGTTTATTCAATTCACCTATAGCGCATGTGTTTGGACTGAGGGGGAAACTGAAGCACCCGGAAGAAACCCACGCGAACATGCAAACTCCACACAGACATGCCAGCAAACCCAGCCGAAGCTCGAATCAGTGGCCTTTTTGCTTTGAGTAGACATCGCTACCCACCGCGTCGTCCAAATACAAAACACCTTATAGTGCACCGTGCAATCCCAGCGCACTAATGTTGAACTTTTCTTCGTTTTATTTATTAATTGCTGATCTTTTTTAAAAAGTTTGTTGTAACTAATGGCAAATAGACGTTATTATTTATTTGTTATAATATAGAATTATAGGGCATTATAGGGTGGTGAGGTGGTGAGGTGGGTAGTGTTGTCGCCACACCGCAAAAAGTTAGATGGTCCGAGCATCGGCTGGGTCAGTTGGCAGAAAATGAATGAAGAAATGAATATAACATCACACTGCGTTTCCATTTATTTGTAGTTTTTTTTATTTAAATATTTTATTTATGTTATGTTTTTTTAAATGTTTGTTTCACTATTGATGAATAAATATTTGTATTTATTTGTTATTCTATTATATAACACTATATTTCTATTTATTTTGTCCTTTTTTATTTAAAAAAAATCTATTTGTTTTTTTAAGGCATGTTCACTAATGTTGAATAAATGCATTACTGCTTATTTATTTTGCTCATTTATTATTGATCATTTTTGAAAGGCTCCTTCACTAATGGTTTGTTCACAGTGACAGCCACACGAATGCAGTGATGCAGCAATCTTCATTCATTTTCCTTTGGCTTAGTCTCTATTTTAGGGGTCGCCACAGCGGAATGAACCGCCAACTATTCCAGGATTTGTTTTATACAGCGAATGCCCTTTCAGCCGCAACCCAGTACTGGGAAACACCCACACATTCACACACTGATCCACTACGGCCAAATTAGTTTACTAAATTCCCCTATAGCACATGTTTTTGGGCTCTTGGGGGAAACTGGAGCACCCGGAGGAAACCCACACCAACATGGGGAGAACATGCAAACTCCACACAGAAATGCCAACTGACCCTGCCAGGGCTCCAACCAGCAAACCACTGAGCCACTATGCTGCCCTGCAGCAATCTTAATGAAGGACAAAAGCAGGAAATCAACACTCTACATTTATTATCGTTGTGTTTTTTATTCAGTGCATCAGGTGGCGGAGAAGATTGAAGCTCTGGGTCAGTTCGTCATGAAGACCAGACGGACTCTGAAAGGCCATGGAAATAAAGTCTTGTGTATGGACTGGTGTAAAGACAAGCGGAGGATTGTCAGCTCGTCTCAGGTCTGTTTAATGGACAGCAAATACACAGCTGAGCCTATAATGTCCTTTTATTTACATTACCAGACAGGGAGTTCATCTGAGGTCAATCTCCTGCTGTGCATCAATCTGTCGTTATTGATTCTTGCTCATTTCTTTCACATTGACAACAATTTGACAATTGCTGCATCATTAATTATTTACTTTTTTTCTATAGGATGGAAAGGTGATTGTGTGGGATGCGTTTACCACAAATAAGGTAAATGACAAAGTGAAGAACTGATGTTTATTGATATATTGGTTTATATATGCATCACTAATTATGCTTTAAAACTGCCTAAATAGGCATTGTTTAATTTTTAATTCTATTTAAAATATGTTTTAATGAGTGTATGTCACGTTCAGCGGATGAGGAAAAGAGCGAGGATTCAAATCCAGAACTAAAATGTGGGTTTATTACAAAATAAAACAAAAATAAAGACAACAAAAACTATCCCTAGGGGGGAAACATTGACAAAACAAATAAACTTGACTGGGCAGGCTGGCAGGAATCAGGGCTGAAACAGGACATGGCAGAACAAAGCAATAAACGACGATGAACTGGCACAAGACAGCAGACATGAGGAGAATATAAAGGAGAAATAATTAACAAACAAACAGGAGAACATAATAAGCTAATAATGAGTTAACTAGGAGGGTGGGACTACACAATAGACGGGAGAGCACATGACACAAAGAAACAACACAAGTCATGTGCTCATGTTAAACGGGACTAGAACTTGCAGCCAATGAGAGAACTCACGTGTTCACATGGAGAACAACACTAAAGCATGCAGCAGCCACAATGTAAACACCGCACCACGTGCTTGGACAACACCCAATACAAACAGAACGCAGGACAGGGGCACATGATAAACCGTGCAATCCCAGCGCCATCCGAGACCAACTAGACTGGAGCTCTGTGACCGAAAACACCATGCCGTGAACATATCATCTAGCACACCAGGGCGAGAGCGCGCATCCCGAGCATGCCCGTTCGCACGGCAAAGGCGGCGCTAATATAAAAAACAAACAGGAAATATGGGTGCTTGACCCAAGAAAACATACAAGACAGGACTAATGTCTGAACTCTGCCACCAAAATAAGAATTAACAGGACCGAAGTGGCAGAATTCTGGCAGTGTAAATATAAGAGTGTTTGATATTTAAGTGTTAATTAATTATCCAGTTGTTTATTTCTTTAACTGGTCAATGAAATCTATTTAATTTAAGTATATTAAATTGTATTTTATTTAAAAACTCTTTTTGGGTGATAAAATAAATATATAATTTTTTTATATGTAATATATGTCATTTATTTTGTAGTTTTAAAAACATAATTAAACAAACAAATGCTTAAATTCGTTAAATGCAAATATAATTTTTATTTAATGTGATTTTTAAAAAGATATTTTTTGTTGTAGCCTTTTTTATTTTATATTTATTGAACATTTTTCATGTTTTTTGTATGTTTAGATCATTTTTTATATTTTTTTGTTATTTTATTGTAATAATTAAAATGTAAAGGAGAAATGACTTATTTTGACAACTTTATTTGGTGATAAAAATAATATTTAAAAATATGTATATATTTCAATTTTAATTTCATTTAATATTAAAAAAACTATTTTTTTACATTTAATGTTTAATTTAAATGTCAAAATAATTCAGCTTTTATTATTTATTGCATATTTTAATACATTAATCGTCCTCACAGGAGCATGCTGTGACTATGCCCTGTACGTGGGTCATGGCCTGTGCTTACGCCCCATCTGGATGTGCAGTGGCTTGTGGGTAAGACTAGAGTATTAAGATATTAAATGATCATTAATTATTTTGGAGGGCTGCACTGTGATCCTTAAATAGAGACTTTTATTATGTCATCATATGCATTAACTGGCCTGTTGTCTTCCTCAGCGGGCTGGACAATAAGTGCTCGGTGTATCCTTTATCCCTGGACAAAAACGAAAACCTCGCAGCTAAGAAGAAATCAGTGGCCATGCACACCAACTATCTGTCAGCCTGCTGCTTCACCAACTCAGACATGCAGGTGTGCTTGAGTGGAGAGAGAAATGGTGAACCGCCGTCCTGCTTTTGACTGATTGCTGTGCTTTTTGTTTTATGCAGATCCTGACGTCCAGTGGTGATGGCACGTGTGCTCTGTGGGATGTGGAAAGTGGGCAGATGCTGCAGAGTTTTCATGGACACGCGGCTGATGTGCTGTGTCTGGATCTCGCTCCGTCTGAGACAGGAAACACATTTGTTTCAGGAGTGAGAACGGCAAAACAGCCTCAAAAACACCTGCAGTACCCTAGCAACCACCCAAAATGATTTAGCAATGCTATATTAAGTACATTTTAAAACCTAACAGTGCCATACCATCCACTTAGAATGTCCTAGCAAGTCTTTGCCAGAAGCCTAGTGGTTAAGTGCGCCGACATATAGCACTATAGTGCTCACGGCGACCTGAGTTTGATTCCCGGCTCGACGTCCTTTGCCGACCCTTCCTCTCTCTGCTCTCAACTATTTCCTGTCAATTCTCTGCACTATTATATCCATTAAAAGTTAAAAACCCTTAAAAATAATTTTAAAAAAGAATACCCTAGCAACAAACTAGTAAAACCCTAGCAACCATCCGGAACATCCTAATTATACCTTAACAATTCCTCATAGCACCATGTCAACAAACTAGCAATACATTTGTAATGTCTTAGCAACAAATTAATAATCCCAAAGTGACAGGCTGAAAAACCTAGTCTTGCCTTGGCCACCACAACCTAGCAACAGAGGAGCAATGCCCTAGTAACCACTAAGAACACTCTAGCAACAAAGTAGTGAGACCCTAACAAGCAACTAGCAATGTGCTGGCAACCACTTAGAACACCCTACCAACAAAGAAGTGAAACCCCTAGCAACCAACTAGCATTGCCCTGGCAATTACCTGGAGCACCCTAGCAACAAATTAATGAGACCCTAGCAAGCAACTAGCAATGTGCTGGCAACCACTTAGAACACCCTACCAACAAAGAAGTGAAACCCCTAGCAACCAACTAGCATTGCCCTGGCAATTACCTGGAGCACCCTAGCAACAAATTAATGAGACCCTAGCAACCAACTAGCAATGTGCAGGCAACCACTTAGAACACCCTACCAACAAAGAAGTGAAACCCTAGCAACCAACTAGCATTGCCCTGGCAATTACCTGGAGCACCCTAGCAACAAATTAATGAGACCCTAGCAACCAACTAGCAATGTGCTGGCAACCACTTAGAACACCCTACCAACAAAGAAGTGAAACCCTAGCAACCAACTAGCATTGCCCTGGCAATTACCTGGAGCACCCTAGCAACAAATTAATGAGACCCTAGCAACCAACTAGCAATGTGCTGGCAACCACTTAGAACACCCTACCAACAAAGAAGTGAAACCCTAGCAACCAACTAGCATTGCCCTGGCAATTACCTTGAGCACCCTAGCAAAAAGTTTGTGAGACCCTTGTAAGCAGCTAGCAATGCGCTGGCAATAACTTAGAACACCTTAGCAACAAAGTAATGAAACCCTAACAACCAACTAGCAATGCCTTTGAACTCCCTAACAACAGACTAGTTTGACCCTAGAAACCAACTAGCAATGTAGTGGCAACCACTTAGAACACCCTAGCAGCAAATTAATGAAACCCTAGCAACCAACTAGCAATGCCCTGGCAAGTGCCTGGAACACCCTAACAACAGATTAGTTGGAGTTTAGCAACCAACTAGCAATGCGCTGACAACCGCTTAGAACACCCTACCAACAAAGAAGTGAAACCCTAGCAACCAACTAGCATTGCCCTGGCAATTACCTGGAGCATCCTAGCAACAAATTAATGAGACCCTAGCAACCAACTAGCAATGTGCTGGCAACCACTTAGAACACCCTACCAACAAAGAAGTGAAACCCTAGCAACCAACTAGCATTGCCCTGGCAATTACCTGGAGCATCCTAGCAACAAATTAATGAGACCCTAGCAACCAACTAGCAATGTGCTGGCAACCACTTAGAAAACCCTACCAACAAAGAAGTGAAACCCTAGCAACCAACTAGCATTGCCCTGGCAATTACCTGGAGCATCCTAGCAAAAAGTTTGTGAGACCCTTGTAAGCAGCTAGCAATGCGCTGGCAACAATTTAGAACACCTTAGCAACAAACTAATGAAACCCTAGCAACCAACTAGCAATGCCTTGGAACTCCCTAACAACAGACTAGTTTGACCCTAGCAACCAACCAGCAATGTAGTGGCAACCAATTAGAACACCCTACCAACAAAGAAGTGAAACCCTAGCAACCAACTAGCATTGCCCTGGCAAGTGCCTGGAACACCCTAACAACAGATTAGTTGGAGTTTAGCAACCAACTAGCAATGCGCTGACAACCGCTTAGAACACCCTACCAACAAAGAAGTGAAACCCTAGCAATCAACTATAAATACCCTGGCAATTACCTGAAGCACCCTAGCAACAAATTAGTAAGAGCCTAGCAAGCAACTAGCAATAAGAACCAATAAGAACACCCTAACATTAAAATAACGAAACCCTAGCAACCAACTAGTAAGGTCCTGGCAATTACCTGGAGCACCCTAGCAACAAATTAATGAGACCCTATCAACCAACTAGCAATTTGCTGGCAACCACTTAGAACACCCTAGCAACAGACTAGTAATGACCTAGCAACCCACCAGAGCACCCTGAAAACCCCTCCAGATGCTGAATTGAGTAAATAAGTAATGAATCAGAGCTATATTTAGTCACTTCATTAACTTTTTTTCTGGTCGTCCCCACAATGAGATCTTGTCTGGTTTCCCTTTCCATCCGGGGACATTATGTTACCCACAGTAGTAGTAGAACAAGTCCAAACACAAGCACACACACACACACACACACACACACACACACACACACACACACACACACACACACAGAAGCACAATGGAGCTGTTAACATGCCTGTGCAGTGACCTGTATGTTCTGTCGTCTCTCAGGGCTGTGATAAGAAGGCCTGTGTGTGGGACATGCGCACAGGACAGTGCGTCCAGTCTTTCGAGAGTCACGATTCAGACATCAACAGCGTGCGGTAGGTGTCCACTGGCCTGTTTTCCCTCAAGGTTTTGTCAGGGAGCAAAAAAATCCAGAGGGGCATTTAGGGCATTTACAGCACCGGTCAATATTTATAGTCTGTGCAAACACTCAAAATGTCACGAGAGACTGCATAAACCCGGAAGCTTTGCTAATATGGTCATCGACTGATCTGAGTTGTCTTAAAAGGGTCTTTGGCAGCACCTTAAAGTCTTGTTTACTGAGAGACATTCTCATGACCGATTGTGTTTTATGATGTTTGCAGGTACTATCCAAGCGGAGATGCTTTTGCTTCAGGCTCAGACGACGCTACTGTGAGTCTTGCCTTCTGTATTTTTGGGAAAATTGTAGAAAATAATACTCACGCCCTAGCAAGCACTATGGAAACCCTAGCAACAAATTAGTAATACTCTAGCAACCTGCTAGAGCATGTCATGCCCTAGCAACTGCTCAGAATACATTAGCAACCAACAAACTATGATTTGGCAAAAAAAATAAAGCATTCTAGCCACCATCCTAGCAACCACTTATACAACCCTAGCAACAAACTAGTAACGCCTTGACAATGAGATGCCCCAGCAACCGCTGAGAATACCCTAGTAACCAGTTAACAATGATTTGGCAACTAGCAACATGCCCTAGCAACACCTTGTAATACCCTAGTAACCTACCAGCAATACCCTAGCAAACAGCTAGAGCATCTGACCCTCCCCTAGCAACCACTTTGAATACGTTAGCAACCAACAAACTAGGATTTGGCAAAAAAAACTAAAGCATTCTAGCCATGCCCTAGCAACCACTTATAAAACCCTAGCAACAAACTAGTTATCCCCTGACACTGAGGTAGAATATCCGAGCCATGGCCCAGAATACCCTAACAACCAATTAACAATGATTTGGCAACCAGCTAAAACATTTAGCCATGCCCTAGCAACCATTTGTAATACCCTAGCATTACACCAGTAAAACCCTAGCAACCAGCTTGAACATCCAAGCCTTGTCCTAGCAACTGCTAACAATATACTAACAGCCAACTAACAATAATTTGTCAAAAAGCTAAAACATTCTAGCCATGCCCTAGAAACCACTAATATACTAGCAACAAATCAGTAATGCCCTCGCAACCTGCTATAAAATCTGAGCCATTGCCTAGCAATCACTTAGAATACCCTAGCAACCAACTAAAAATTCTTTGGTAACCAATTAAACATTCCAATAATGCCAGAGAAACCAGTTATAATACCCTAGCAACAAACTAGCAATGCCCCTGGCAGCCAGTTATAACATCCATTGAAGAATAGCCTAGCAATCAGTTAGCTATGATTTGGCAAAAAGCTAAAACATTTTAACCATTCCCTAGCAACCACTGAGAATACCATAGCAACAAACTAGTAATGCCCTTGCATCCAGCTATAACATCTGAGCCATGTTCAAGTAAGCGCTAAAAATACCCTAGCAACTAATAAACCACGGTTAAGCAAAAAAAGCTAAAATAGCCATCATTTCCTAGCAACCACCTATAATATTCTAGCAACAAACCATTAATGTCCTAGCAACCAGCTATAATATCTGAGCCATACCCTAGCAATCACCTAGAATACCCTAGCTACCAACTATCATAACAACCAGTTCTAATATCCTAGCAACAAATCAGTAATGTCCTAGCAACAAGCTATAACATCTGAGCCATACCCTAGCAACCACAAAAGAATAGTCTAGCAATCAATTAACAATGATTTGACGAAAAGCTAAAACATTCCAGCCATGCCCTAGCAACCACTGAGAAGACCCTAGCAACAAACTAGTGATGCCCTTACATCCAGCTATAATATCTGAGCCATACCCTAGCAACCGCTAGGAATACCTCAGCAACCAGTTAACAATGATTTGACAACCAAACAACAAAAAACATTCTAGCGACCACTTATAATATCCTAGCGACAAACCAGTAATTCCCTGACAACCAGCTAGGACATGCTAGAATGCCCCACCAACTGCTTAGCAAAGTAGCCATTTAAAATACCCTAGCAACAAACTAGAACATAAGCACCATGTTCTAGCAACCATATATATACAATCCAATCAGAGATGCTTTTGCTTCATGTTCATGTTTTCATGGGTGGTGAAATAATGAGAAATGTGTTGAAGTTTGTCCTCTTTCTGTGTCTGTAGTGTCGTCTGTATGACCTGAGGGCGGACAGAGAGGTGGCCATTTATTCCAAAGAGAGCATCATATTCGGGGCTTCTAGTGTGGATTTCTCCCTCAGCGGTAAACACTTGAGTTATCGCCTAGCTATATTACTAGTCTGATCAAATATACTATTGTATTTGCTAAATGTGGGGTACTTAACCAGAGTCCATTTATTGAACTTCGGTTTAGTCCCTTATTTATCATTGGTCAACACAGCGGAATGAACTACCAACTATCCCGGCTGGGTCAGTTGGCATTTCTGTTTGCATGTTCTGCCCACGTTGGCGTGGGTTTCCTCTGGGTGCTCCGGTTTCCCCCACAGTCTAAACACATGCGCTATAAGTGAAATGAATTAACTAAACTGACTGTGAGAGTGTATGGGTGTTTCCCAGTACTGGGTTGCAGCTGTAAGGGCATCCACTGTGTAATACATATGCTAGATAAGTTGGTGGTTCATTCAGCTGTGGTGACCCCTGATGAATAAAGGGACTAAGCCGAAGGAAAATGATTGAATGAATGATTTGGTTTTGAGTGTCTTGTTTGTCTTTCTGCAGGGAGACTGTTGTTTGGCGGCTACAATGACTACACAATCAACGTGTGGGATGTTTTAAAGGGAGCCCGCGTGTCCATCTTGTTTGGGCATGAGAACAGAGTCAGCACTCTTCGCGTTTCTCCAGATGGGACTGCGTTCTGCTCAGGATCCTGGGATCACACGCTACGGGTGAGTGGAAACGTTACGCAGAATGAAAATTGAGGTTAAAAATTGCCAATTACAATTCTTAAAAAAAAAAAGTCAGAATTACAAGATTTAAACGTGCAATTTCTGAGAAATAGAGTCTGAATTGCAAAGAAAAATGTTATGCTGTTCAAATAAAATCACAGCTCTGAAAAAAACTCAAATGCAATATATACACTCACTGGCCACTTTATTAGGTACACCTTACTAGTACCCCTTTTGCCTTCAGAACTGCCCTAATCCTTCGTGACATAGATTCAACAAGCTACTGGAAATATTCCTTAGAGATTTTGCTCCATATTGACTTGATAGCATCACACAGTTTCTGCAGATTTGTCGGCATGCTGCGAATCTCCCGTTCCACCACAACCCAAAGGTGCTCTATTGGATTGAGATCTGGTGACTGTGGAGGCCATTTGAGTACAGAGAACTCATTTTCATGCTTGAGAAACCAGTCTGAGATGATTTACGCTTTGACATGGTGCGTTATCCTGCTGGAAGTAGCCATCTAAAGATGGGTACACTGTGGTCATGAAGGGATGGACATGGTCGGCAACAATACTCAGGTAGGCTGTGGCATTGACACAATGCTCAATTGGTACTAATGGGCCCAAAGTGTGCCAAGAAAATATCCCCCACACCATTACACATGAACTGTTGATACAAGGCAGAATGGATCCATTCTTTCATGTTGTTGATGCCAAACTCTGACCCGACCATGTTTCTCTACTCTTGTATCGTCCAATTTTGGTGAGCCTGTGCGAATTGTAGCCTCAGTTTTCTTTTCTTCCTGATGGCTACTTCCAGCAGGATAACGCACCAAGTCATAAAGCGTGAATCATCTCAGACTGGTTTCTAGAACATGACAAGGAGGTCACCACATAAATAAAGGTTGATTGATTAAAAAGAAAAAAGAAGCTCCCGAAATAAATCAGAATTGAGAGATATAAAATCAAAATTGCAAAATAAAAGTCTAAGAAACGACTATATACTCACAAATGCAAGAAATAAAGTCACAAACTCCGAATTTAGACTTTTTATTTCCTCAGAATTGTGACTTTTCTTCTCAAAGTTGTGAATGTTTAGTCTTTTTTTCCCAAATGAAATTTGTCAGGTAAGCAACATACAGTATAAATACTGATTATTGTGTAGAGCAGATAACTAAATGTTCTATAAACATTACTGTTCCTAATTGAGGGAGGCTTTCCAGAACACTGAGCATGTTTCTTGCAGGGGCGGGGCGTCATTTTGTAAACAGAGAGTCCATTGGACCGTTATCCTTTGCTTTTGGTGGATCTCAAATGAGTGACAGCTTGACCCTGCCCCTTGCATCAGCAAACACCAATCAGAAAAGAGATGTCAGGGGGAGAGCTACTTTGATCAAAGATACACATAATAATTCATAATAAAATAAAAAATGGTCTATTTCGTTGTGTCTTTCTTCTGTTAGATCTGGGCCTGAATGTTTCCTCATCAGATTACTCACTTTTCTCACCGCCGGCTGGATTTTCTGGAGGAAAAAAAACAATCAAACCGCAGACTTTACTAGTGTGTTGAGTGCAGTAGAGTTAATGACTGTAGTGCATCTCTCATCAACACAATCACTGCTTTCTTGGTATTATGGGATGGCGTCTATGTATTCTGCGTATGAATCTGTGTGAACACGTTCAGACTTTAAATCCGAGAAATAAACAATCTTCAATATTAATCCTACACTTCCTGACAAAAGTCTTGTCGTCGATCTCACTTATAAGAGCAACACATAATAACTTGAAAAGTGGCAGAAGGTAGTTTTTTTTTCAGTTGAATCATCTGTTGAGCTGCATGCCAATCATCACAAATACTGCAGAAGACCTACTGGAACCCGCGTGGAGACAAGATTCTCACAGTAATCAGTCAAGTTTGGTGAAAAAAAAATTATGGTTTGGGGTTACATTCAGTATGGGGGCGTGCGAGAGATCTGCAGAGTGGATGATCAACATCAACAGCCTGAGGTATCGAGACATTTGTGCTGCCTATTACATTACAAACCACAGGAGAGGGTGAATTCTTCAGCAGGATAGCGCTGCTTCTCATACTTCAGCCTCCACATCAAAGTTCCTGAAAGCAAAGAAGGCAAAGCTGCTGCAGGATTGGCCAGCCCAGTCACCAGATATGAACATTATTGAGCATGTCAGTGGTAAGATGAAGGAGGCATTGAAGATGAATCCAAAGAATCTTGATGAACTCTGCGAGTCCTGCAGGAACTCTTTCTTTGCCATCCCAGATGACTTTATTAATGAGTGAGTTGAGTCATGTCAGAGATGTATGGATCCAGTCCTCCAAGCTCATGATGTAGTCAGACACAATATTCATTCAGTTTCCACTGCAGCAGGACTTTATATTCTATACTGGACATTATTTCTGCTAAAAGACGAGCAAATTCAGACCTTACTGTCCTAATTAAAGAGTTATAAATCAAGGCATGATCATATTTTATTTTGGTAAAATAAGCGTAATCTACAGGCCTTTGCAGGGTTCAACACTAAGGATTTTTTTCAAATGGCCCAATCAGGCCAAAAATTTCTCTGGCCCCACAAAAAAAACAGTAACTATTTCTTACCCACATATTTTAAATAATGTGTCAAAAGCCAAACATAACTTCAGCATAACTTGTCTTTAAATACAACTGACAATTAAAAAAAATACAACTGAGATGTAAATAAATTTGGAAATATATATGTATTATATGCTTAAATTATAGAAAGAAATAACAGATGAACTGATATATTGATATTAAATATTCAATATAGATCAATACTGAGCTTTCTTTCCTGGTGTCAGTGAAGAAATGAACAAAACAATAGGCCTAATGCAAAATATTATAAGATTAACATATGGAAAAATGATCATCATTTCTGTCAGTTTTACTAACAGATAAACAGCTCTCAGTAATATTTCAGCATGCTTTCACTTTCATATTCCACATGAAACGCACATTTGCTGGTAGGAATGACATCCGGCCCAACTCGTAGTGTCTCTCTTCACATAGCCATGACTATAACACAACCATAGTACACTCTGATACAGCCTATTTCGTTAGTTCGTTGGATCATTTTGCTTTCTCATTACAATCGATCCCGGACTGATTGTTTTGGCGTGTATCTGAGCTTGATTGCTGGATTCACATATGCCAAACGAACCATGCTAACTGGGCAAGCAAGACAGATTCCAAGATGTGAAAGCACCCTGTTTGCACGCAATTCACAGTCGCATTTAACTTTAGAGACAAGGCAGCCCATGCCCCATCGGGCCACTAACAATCCTGTCTACTGTCCCGAGCAATACTGCACGCTGGCCCCTGGGCAGTCCATATTGTTGAGCCCTGCCTTTCATATAAGCCCCTTCTGATACCAAACGATCAACTAGAAGTCAAGTTATTATTTGTTGTTCCTAAACTCGGATAGGTGTCAAGACTTTTGTCAGGTAGTGTATAAATACAAACGTATCGTGTGTTGTTTAGGTCTGTGCATGAAGATGAACTCGACGATGTCTATAGGATTATTAACTAGAGTGGTTGTTTATTGAACACTATATCTGATATGCAAGCTAACGGATTTAGTAATGCTGTCTTACTCTTAATAGTCTGATCGTCAGTCAGTTGTTATGCCACTTTACCCGTTCTTTCTTACTGTAGCAAAGTGTATATATATATATAAATATATCGTAATATATCATATAGGTTGTCATATAGACTGATGTCAATATGCATAAACTAAATAAAATGATTTTAAAGGCGATGTGGCGACTGTTTATTTCATGTTTGTTGTAGTGTGTGTTTAATTTTATGGGATGTTTAGATAAAGGTACTGGAATGGTTAATATTAAACAATTAGTTTTACGATTATTAAAGAGAAAGTTAGATATATTTAGTTCAAATCATCTTTATTTCTATTGCGCTTTTACAATGTAGATTGTGTCAAAGCAGCTTAACATAGAAGGTTATAGAGAATTGAAACTGTCAGTCCAGTGTGGTTTCAATTTCACTGCTGAGAGTCCAAACACTGAAGAGAAAATCCATCGATGCTCAGCTCCACAAGTCCCAAACCAAGCAAGCCAGTGGCGATAGTGGCGAGGAACAAACTTAACCAGTTGATGAAAGTGAAGGAAAAAACCTAGAGAGAGAGACCAGGCTCATTTTGGGCGCAACCATTTCTCCTCTGGCCAAACTTCTTGTGCAGAGCTGCAGTCTAGGTGCATATATATGTTGTTTACATAAATCAAAATAAACAACAAATCCGCATATTATTTTGTCAGAGGGTAACCCTAGTATTTATGTCATACTTGTCATAGATGCTCCATAATTGTTGTATTATTTTTCGGTCCCACTTTATATTAAGTGTCCTTAACTACTATGTACTTACATCAACAAAAAATAAATAAATACAATGTACTAACTGTGTTTATAATGTATTTGAGAACACGTGGTGATTTTGAGTTGGGATAGAGGTTGAGTTATGGACAGGTTTGGTGGTATGGGTTGGTTTAAGGGTGGGTTAAGGTGTAAGGGATGATCAACAGTGTATTTACAAATGTAATTACAAAAGTTAATTACAGATGTAATTACATACGTGTATTTAATCAAGCATGTACACAGTAAATACATGTATTTACACAATAAGTACATTGTAGCAAACTATTAATTCCTGTGTAAGTACATATTAGTTAAGGCCACTTAATATACAGTGGGACCTATTTTTCTTATATTATTATATTAATATATATATTTTCTTATTAATTATTTTTTCTTTCATTATGTGGGACCTAAATAATCATTACACATATTTAATTTAGAAAATAAATAGATATACATATTTAGCCTTAATAAATCCGTAAAAAAATTTGTACTTTTCATACACAGTTGAAGTCAGAATTATTAGCCCCCTTTAATTTTTTTTTTATTATAAATATTTCCCGATTGATGTTTATCATAGCAAGGAAATTTTCACAGTATGTCTGATAATATTTTTTCTTCTGGAGAAAGACTTATTTGTTTTATTTGGGCTAGAATAAAAGCAGTTTTTAATTTTTAAACACCATTTTAGGGACTAAGTTTTTAGCCCCTTTAAGCTATATTTTTGATATAACAAAACAAACCATCGTCATACCATAACTTGCCTAATTACCCTAACCTGCCTAGTTAACCTAAGTAACCTAGTTAAGCCTTTAAATGTCACTTTAAGCTGTATAAAAGTGTCTTGAAAAATATCTAGTGAAATATTATTTACTGTCATCATGGCAAACATAAAATAAATCAGTTATTAGAGATGAGTTATTAAAACTATTATGTTTAGAAATGTGTTGAAAAAAATCTGCTCTCCGTTAAACAGAAACTGGGAAAAAAATGGGGGCGAATAATTTAGGGGGCTAATAATTCTGACTTTAACTGTATATTTCATTCTGTTTTAAAATAAACTACAAATCCACATATAATTCTGTCTGGGGAAAACGCTTGTAAGGTAAATAATAATAAAAATGAGTTTGTATGGTTATTAACGAGGAAGAAACCAGAGGAAACCCGGAGGAAACCCACGCCAACACAAGGAGAACATGTGAACTCCACACAGAAACCCCAACTGACCCAGCCGGGACTTAAACCAGCGACCTGTGGAACACGTCAA